ATATAATTCTTACATCATTTTTCATTTTTGCACAGTGTATGCGTTTTCATCTTGGTTATAGTCCCCACACAGTTGCACCCCCCTTATTTTGACCCTAATCCTTCCTCTCCCCGTGCCCCCCCCCCCACACACACACCCCTAGTGTGTCTCTGGTTTATAGCTACTTGCTGATTTTGAGTGGATTTTCTCTTCCTACAGGGCCGGCGTCCTCGGTGTTCTCCAACCAGAGCCACGTCTCACTCCCACGAGCTACAGCCAGAGGTCAGTGTTGGCTGCACAGTCCCCTCCAGGGTCCCCGCGAGGCCGCCGCACGCAGGAAGAGAAGTCAGGGTTCCGTCCGGCCAGGGGGCAGGGAGAGCCTTTGCTCCCACTGAGAATTCCTTCTGGGGAGCTCCTGACTCTCTTGGTTGGTTTTTTTTTTTTTCCTTGACTTGCTTGTTTCCATTTTTGGGTTTTTTTCCCTTATCCCTCCTCCCCCGGCTTATTTTTTTAATTTCACGAGTTTGGGTCATCCATCTCCCCTTGCACTGCACTGGGCAGCCTTTCACCTGCCTGCTCACCCCTCTCCTGAGGGGGGGCCGGAGCCCCTCCCGGTAACGGGCCAGCGGGCCCAATGGGAGACGCAGCACCGGCTGGCTCGGCTGAGCACAGGGGGCAGCGGGCCCTGGAAGACCAGCATCGTGCTCAGGACTGAGGCCTCCGGGGACCTGGGGCAGGGGCTGGCGAGGAGAATTGGTCTGCAGGGCCCGGAGGCACAGGAGGGGATGGTGCAAGGGCCGGGGAGAGTGGTCTTCTGCCGTCGGCCTGCCCAGCAGCTCCCTCTGAGGAACTGTCTTCTTCCTACAGCTTCCATGAACACCCCCCTTTAAACAGAAAGACTTGGCTCCTTCTGTGTGACGGATGAGGAGGAAGCTCAGGGCCCCTCCCTTGTGGGAGTCCCCCCAGAGTCACAGGAGAGGCGCCAACTGTGTCCACACTGTGGGTCACCGTCGTGGCTTGTCCACTAGCACTGGTCAGCCAAGGACGCGCCTCCGAAGGGCGCCTCAGAGAATACGTTGGTTCTCAGTGCGGAGCCTGTGTCTGTCGACACCCTTCCCTGTGGCGGCCACGCTGTGTGAGGCATCCGCTCAGCTGAGACGCTCGGCAGTGCCTGTGGTTTCACCCGCATCACTGGCTTTACAAGATGTTTAGGTTTTAGGTTTAAAATAAAAATCACAGGGCCTCCCTGGTGGCACAAGGGGTTAAGCACCGCACTGTGAAGCAATCCACAGCCTCTGCAGCACGAGTTTGATCCCCGCCAGCCAGGGAGCTACCCACACAGCACAGCAGACCTCTCCTGTCTCCCCCTGCTCCCCTCAGCAGTGGATTTCAGTCAGTCTGCCTGTTCCGCTCCCTGCTCTGTCTCTGGTGGATCCTCTCACCCCCTGCGTCTCTGGCCTGCACCCCAGTTCTTGTATGCATAAAGAAATGTCTTTTAAAAAAAAAAAATAAAATAAAATAAAATAAATATTACATCTACGGATATACGGGGTACATGTAAGCAGCTGCATACAGATACATAAACTTCAGCATATGTGTCATTAAATTATGTTTTATTCTGGTCTGGGGGCCAGTCTACTTCACGTCAGGCCAGATACGCCACTCACGCTCTTAAGGACTTTTCTGTGACTCTCAGATACAGTGGCCAGTTTGGTCGCCACTAGCCACCTGCCGTGGGTTCAATTTAAAGTTCATTTAGTAGCACCAGTCACACGGCGGTGGCCTCGGGAGGTGGACGGCTACTCTCTTAGACACAGTCAGGCTGGATACAGCACAGTTCCACCGCTGCAGAAGGTTCTGCTGGAGAGTGCCTTTCTGGAATGTGCCTGAAACAAAGGGCTAATAACTCAGTTGATTCTAGAACGTCCACTGCGGACGCTGCTGAGCAACTTCCTCTGCCCTGTCAGCGTGTTCGCTTAGAACTTCACAACCGTCCTCTTCTACCGCCACGTGAGAAGCGCAGTGCAGAGTGCTGGCCGGGGCCGCCAGAGGGACCCAAGAATACTCGAGAGAAAAGCCTCTTTTTCTCTGTATCCTCAGAAAAATCAGGTCTAACTAGGAATTCAAATGTGATGTGGAAAAGCTGAGTATTTTTAATCCAAATGATTTGCAATTCAGAGCTTGCCTTGTGAAGATAATCCAGCGGGCCGGTCTGTGAGCGCCTCTGCCACTCGTCACAAATATTCCCCGGGCTCTCACCCCGGAGGCCTGGCGTCAGTTCTTGCAGTCACCCTTGCTTAGATGCCCAGGGGCGCGCGCCGCTGCTCTAAGCTTGCTGTCCTTGCTGCTACATCATGGACTCAGTCATGGCCCCTGTCAAGCGGTTGTTCAGACGGGTTTGAGCCTCTCTCGCTGCATCGGGAGTGTCTGGGGGGGAACCGCCGGGGTAGGCGGCAGCAGGCGCAGGGAACAGCAGCCCGGCTCGGGGGAACCGCGCTCGCCACCGTGGCCTGCTGGAAAGGGGGTGTTTCCTGCCCCCCTGTGTGCTGGGCACGGGGTAGCAGCAGCTTTGTGTTTTCAAGAGCTCCTGTGCAGAAGTGTCGGATGTCCCCCGAGATGGGGGGGGGACGTCCTGTCAGGGGCCAATCCCATGAGCACACGAGGAGTTTTTTTAAAACTTTCCTGCTTCTGAAACCATTGCAAAGTTTCTAGGATTTAGGTTTCATGGAACTTCCACCTAGTGGCTTCTTTAACGTGTGTTTTTATCTTTTTATACGCGTTGGGGGAGAGAGTCCAGAATAATTACACTTGTAAACAGGATAAATATGCATTTAAGGCAACCAACACCAGTTAAGAGCCTAATTAGTGTGACTGGAGACCCGGAGCCCCCAGGGGCTTACTAAGTCTGCTAATTGCAACTTGTGCACACGGTCGCCCTGCCGGTGTCGGTGTGGAAAGCGCCCAGACGCCCTCGGCAGCCACTCTGCGCCCCACGAGTCTGACTCAGAGTGAAGCCGAGGGAGGGAGGGTTGGTCCCGGCGGGCCTCCCCAGACAGCAGAAGTGGGGAGCCCGTCGGGAGCCCCGGGGCCTCATCCAGCCACCCCCAGGCGCTCGGGCTGCGGCCCTCACCGCCACTGCTCTCCAGCCGAGTGCCCCCTGCCCATGCAGCACACGCACCACCCAGCCCTGCGGCGCTGGCAGCAGGCATGAGGACGCGCAGGCTCGCCCGGGTCACGCGACTGGCAGACCACCAGGCCAGGGGAGGTGAGGGCCAAGACTCAGCCCGGGGCTCAGCGAAGCCCCAAGCCCATGTTCTTGGTCTCTGCTTCTCGCCGACTCCCGGCCTTGAGGGCACAGATCCCTGAAGAGCTCTGCTTTACACACCCATCCACCTGCAGGCGCACATCTGTGGGGGCCACACAGTGTGACACCACGCACACGCTCTACTTTTATGCACTATTCCTGGGATTTTTACCGCTTCTTCACGAGACACACTCAGGCCAGCCGAGACGGGACGCATGCGAGCGGCTCTGGCTGCACAGGGAGAGCCTCGCTGTCCCCTCCGCGCCCCGGGGGTCCTTCCAGGTCTCCCTGGGCACAGCAGGAAAACCACCCGTGTCAGACACTGAGTTTCCGACAAAGAAGGGCTCATGGTGACCGTTGATCTTTTTATCTACGAGTGTGGGATGCTCCCGGGTGCGCAGATCCCCAGCAAACGTGTCTGCGAGGCGAGGGAACTAGACTGGGAATCCCGTCAGGGGCCCGTGGCCCCTCCCTGGGCGGGGGGGGGGGGGGGGGGGGCTCGCAGACACGGCTCTGCCAGGTTTGTCATTACAATCCGTGGTTGCTGATCAGGCTACTAGCAAATCACACAGGAGCGGACCGAGCGGAACCCAGCGTCGAGCTCCTGTTTCTAAACCAAGACGAGGGGCACGGGGCACGAGGGGCGCGTCCTTCTCCTCCCTCGGCGCACTCCTCTCCCCTCGCCCCCTCCTCACATCTCGCTCCTTCCCTTTCCTTCCTCCTGTCCCCGTCCCCACGCCTGGCGCCTGGAGCTGCGCTGCTGGAGTGACCTGGCCAGCTCATCCTCCATGCAGACGGCGCTGGCGGGCGTCGCTCCCCACCAGGGACTCCAGAGCACACGGAAGTGTCACCTCACGCTAAACGGTCACACGGTCACACATCACACGTGTTGTGAGGAGGTGGAGACACAGGATCCTGGGCGCTGCCGGCGGGACTATAACTTGGTGCCATCCTCTGGGGAACGGCAGGGAGTCTCCTCGGAAATCAGAAGCAAAACCACCATGTGATTCATCAGCCCCACTTCCCGATCTACGTCCAGAGCAGGTCAAACGTCTCTCGGAGAGAGGCGCCCGCCGCCCCGCGCGCGCAGCAGCACCTAGAGTAGCACGACACGGGGACGCCCTCTGTGCCTGGCAAAGATGGGCATAAAGCAAAGGTGGGGGCAGGGCATGCACGGGTGTGCAGCCAGTGTGGCATCACACCCGGCCACGGGGTGAACATCCAGCTTTAAAAAGGAAGGAAAATCCTTTGTAAAACCTGGAGGACGTGACGCTAAATGACGTGAACTAGACACAGAAGGACAAATACCGCATCATCTCACCTATGTGGCATCTAAAAAAGGCAAACATAGCAATAGAGAGTGGGGGTTACCAGGGACGGGGGCGGGAGGGAAGGTGGGGCAGAGACTGGGAAAGACGCCAAACTTCCAGTTATAAGGTAAATAAATCCTGAAGCCCAAAATGCACAACATGGTAACTGTCGTTAATGACTTACTGAAAACTAAAGAAAGTAGTTACCAAGCGCGCTCGCCACACACAGAAAAAAGGTCACCACGCGAAGTGACGGTGTTGAGATTCGTCGCTCTCACAAGGCATACGGGAATTTTATTTTTGGATCATACATCAATAATCCTGGGAAGAGAAAAGAACATTTTCTCTTTTTGTCTCACAAAGAAACCTGCCTTTGCCTGTTTTGCTTTAAGGAACGCCCTGCATACCTTGTTTGCCGTTAGGACGGACAGGAGGAAATGGAAAGAATTTCCTGACCCCTTTCGGTCGCTCGCTCTCCTTCTTCAGAGCGGTGGGATAGTAGATGATACGGATGTGCTGATTAGTCTCTCTGTCTCGTGGACTCAAAAATTCCGGGTAGTCATCGATCTGGAAAAAAATCAAGTTGAAGCTAAATACAACCGTGTATTACTCTGGAATCATCAATCCTCCTAAAGATCAGGGCAGTTTAAATTGCATCCTTTCTTTTTTATGCCCCCCACCCCGGAAATCTTTCCTCTTGTTGTTAGATTTACCAATTTCTCCTCTATTTGTTTCTTTTCTTTTATTTATTTATACAAGCACTGGGTACAGTCAGAAGCGCGGGAGGGTGAGAGAATCCACCAGAGCCAGAGCGGGGAGCAGAGCAGGCAGAAGGACCGAAGGACACTGCTGAGGGGAGCAGCGGGCGGCAGGAGAGGTCTGCGCGCCATGTGGGACCCTCCTCCCGTGGCCGGGGAGCAGCCGGGGATCGAACCGGCGCCACAGAGGCCGCGGGCAGCTTCGCAACCCAGCGCTCACCCGCTGCGCCCCCGGGGAGGCCCTCCTCTATTTGTTTCAGTTCTTACTGGAAATGTGCTCAGCAACAGGACCCGAGAAACTATGCACCCTGTAGGAGTGCTAAATAAATAGTAACAGTGGTTTTGTTTATTAAAATGTCCCTCCCCAATTTCATTTTAAGAACAGACCTTTTTTCAAAGGTCATGAAAATATATAATTAACTGGGCTTGAAGGAGGAAACAATGCCCACTGGTCGAAAGCCGTCTCCAGAGACTGTGAATACAAACACGCAGGCCTCCGCTCCCACAAGTTCCCTGCCCCGAAACAGTGTTCGCGATTGGTCCACAGACAGGCAGAGAGAAACAGAGAAAGAGTCAGAACGGGTCTCTAGAACTACTTTGTTCACAATTTTCTGACTGTATGTCTTAAAATAAGCTTTACGCATAATGAGTTTAATTCTGTTCTGCACATGAATACTGAGCTTCGTTAGGTTGGAAATAAGATCATTCACTGGCCCACGGAGCATTGAAATTGTCTTCCCAAGACTGTATCAGAGTTGGAAGAACGGCTTTCCCCCGATACCTGTCAGGACAGGTTGTTATAGAGCAACCCCGATATTAAACGGGTTCCTGGCTGTGGGTCCTCACCCGCGCGCTTTAAAGGGACTTATGAATACTCTACTACAGACACACACAAAAGGGTTAATAAAAGGTTTATTTACAAGAGAAAAAGAAATAAGGAAAATGGACAACTCAGGGAGAAATTAGGGAAATAAAGTCTTTCATGCGTCCTACCCGATCCGACGACCTGGAAACCCAAAGTCACTCTCAGAGCTGGCCGGACGCTGCGAGCTGGCGGAGCCAAAAATGGGGGACCCCCCCAAAGCCCACGTGTCTGCCTTTTGTATCCACCTGGCTGCTTCACCCCACCCTCAGGTCCCAGCCCCCTTCCCTTGGGTGGTGATGGGGTTTGGAGTTCCCAGTGTCTTTGGCTTTAGTCTGGAGTGGGAGTGGAGTGCACAAAGCCTGTATGGGATTAGCTCAGGACATCCTTTCCCCCTAACAATTCCCCCCTTTCACTTGTTGCCACCATTTCCATGGTGATGAAGATCGAATATATGGAGGTTGGGACCAACGCAAGAAAAATTACTTTGGGCTGGTCAACCACGGGTGAAACTTGCAAATCACGTTTGGGCGCCAAGCTGTTATAGAGCAACCCCGATATTAAACGGGTTCGGGACATCCTTTTTCCCCCTAACAAGGTGATCGTTGAAGAGTATCTGCATGAAAATAATTTGAGAGCTCCAAATCAGAACACGGGACCGATTTTTTTCCTGTGACTTGCTGACATCAAAACTCACAAAGCCATTTTACCCAATGTGTGTGTGTGTGTGTGTGTGTGTGTGTGTGTGTCGGATAAATGATCCCTTGTAAACATAACTGCACGAAGTTACGATTGCCCCGGGGCTGTATGCCTGCTGCACTAGTATCCGCAGCCGCTTCAGCCCCTTTCCTCACTAGAAACTGAGCTGGGGAAGTCGGAGTTATTTGCAAATGGCCTCCCACGTCCTCCCGCCCAGTCAACGCGGTAAGAAGCCTAAGACAGTTTTAAGTTGTGGTGCCTTATAACACCTGCTCTTTCTTTGCCTCTGAGAAAGCTGACTGTCACGTAACTCCCTGTAGTCTGGAGTCCAACGGTGGACCAACTGCTAGTTTCCCAGTAAAATCTGGTTCTTTAAAAAACCCTAACAAACATTTTACCTGTGTGGAAAATAAACAACCGAAGGTGCTTGAGACAGACCACGTAAGAGGCTCATCGCAGAGCGAGAGCCCACCTCTTCAGGAAACCCTACTCTGGCCAGCAGATTAATTTGAATTGAAGAGAACTGAGGCCCCCAAAGGAGGCAGAGAAGCTCTTCCCCTTTCAGCGAGGACTGGGGCAAGGCAGTGGAGGGAACACTATTGCCCCGTGAAGGGTTATCTGTGGAAATGTCCTGGGTGGAGACGAGAAACCCCTCTTTATTTGCAAAGTGAACATGAGGCCCTTCCCTCCTCACGCGGCCGTCCCGGCCGCTCTCCCTGGGGCGCCAGGCCCTTGGCCCCGTCCTCAGTTCAGCATCTAAATTCTGTTCTCCCCAACCGAGGCCGGGGTCCTCGTAATCTGTGTGGGTTCCCCTGTGTGCACATGACTAAATGGATCCTTTTCTTCTGCCAACCCATCTGATGCCTCGGGCCCAAGAAGAGCCCAGAGCAATTGGGGGGCTTTCTCTTGAGCCCCAACATCACGAGAAAAAATAATATAAATAATCTCTCAGTCTGTAAGCTACTGAGGCGGCAGGTCTGGGGTGGATCTTGCACAGTCCCGGGAGGCCTGTCTCAGGGTGGCCCCGGGGAGGGCCGGCCCTGGCAGGCACCTGCTGAGCCTCACAGACTCTGCCAGGGAAGAGTGTTCTGTGAGCTTGAGACGGTCACTCGGTGCCGTTTGAGCAGATCGGCTTATTCTGACAATGTCGTTGTCACAATCACCTGTTTTTGCTAGGCGAGGGCAGGGTGGTGAGCGAGGGATGGGATCTAATGGCCAAGGTCACTCCGACAGGTCATGGATGTCTGTGTGACTGACCCCAGCTAAACCCTACACACAAGGCTGCGGGAGCGTCCCTGGGCCACGTGTTGTCACACATCGCAGGGGAGGAGCCACCGTGCAGTGCCCTGGGCGCCACACCAGGAAACCTGCGTCTGGTTTTCCTGAATTTCACCCCAGGCGTCTTTTCCTTTCACTGACTTTAGTCTAGAGCCTCTCGTCATAGGCCACTCTGAGTCTCCTGAGGGCCAGTGAAGCCACCGGGCGCCTGGACTACTGGTTCTGTCCCCTCTGGGCACTGCACAGCTCTGTCCTCTCTCAGGCTGCAGGGCAGAGAGGGGTCAGCCCGCTGCTGCTTCCTTCCTCTTCCCCTTCCAAGGAAAGGGAAGGATTCTGATTCTCTGTCACCAGACTCTCTGCATTATGAAGACAAGGAAAAGGAAGAAATCAAATGTTCCAACAGTGTTGCATAGAAAATTATAAAGTTCAATGTCATTACACTGGTTACATATTCTTTTCAGTACTTTGTAGGCGTTAGCTCGCTGACTCCTCCTACAACCCCATGGGGATTTCAAGAGCCTCACAAGGATCAGAGCAGAAACTAATGAGCTAGTAAGTAGAAAATAATAAAGAAAATTAACAAAACCAAAATATGACTCTTGGAAAAGATCAACATCATTGACAGGCCTTTAACAAGAAAAAGAGAGAAGACTCAAGTGCTAACATCAGGAATGACAGACGGGACATGATCACCAACCCCACAGAAGTAAGAAGGACTATATGGGACATTATGAATAAGGGATTATCAACAACTTAAATTGCTTGGATAAAATGGAAAAATTCCTAAAAAGACAAAAACTACGAAAACTGACTCAATAAACAGAAATTATGACTAGACCTGTAACAAGCAATGTAAGTAGATATGAGACTGGCCTAATAATCACAACACTTTCCACAAAGACAGTCACAGCACTCGATGCCTCCCCTGAGAATCTGGAACAGATTTAAAGAATTCTCACTAATTCTTCACAGCCTCTCTCCAACAGTGCACGAGGAAGGGGCGACTTCTGTATTAGCCTGATACCAAAAGCCAAAGACTTCACAAGAAACTGCAGAGCAAGACTTCTAGTGCTGGTGGGTGTAAAATTGCTCAACAAAATGCTCGCAATCCCCGTCTAGAAATACACAGTAAAGATGAAAAGGTACTGGAGCTTGGGCTAGAGATACAGCAAAGTACCTCGGCACAAACATCCACTCATCCAATTAATTGCCTCCCCTGTTCAAGAAAATTCTAAGTGAAGCACTAATGAGGGTACGGGGACGCCCAGCTGTCATGATGTCAACTCCTCCTACTTAGAAAACACGGGTTTGGGGGATCATCATCACAGTTGCTCTGTTCCCTTCCTTCACCGCCTGGCCTACTCCACATACCTGGGGGAAATTGTCTTTCTGTTTATTTAGCATACAAAGGAGGCAGCTTCTCTGATGGAGAAGTGATGCCAAACAAGGAGGCAAAACTTGGTTTTGTCAAGCTCGCGTTAAAGTGGATTCTCGAGTAGAACATGAAGGAGGAAATGCAGAGGCAAGTGATGCTCTAGAATCCCCGGGCCATGTCTCCCGCCACCCGCGCCCATGGGGAGTGCACAGAGAATCAGTCAAGGCCACCGTGTAGAGACAAGGACACACGCGCGGAGGAAAGGGGAAGACTGGACACAGACACTACGTGCTGGACACAGCTTGGGGTTCCGTCTGCTTAGTGCGCCATGAGCTGGTCGAGGTAAAGCCCCCACCCCCAAAAAAAGCTAAATTGTGAGGCATCTTTGAACTTCTGGACTTTTCAGAATTCAGCTGCTGCTTTGCACGGCAAGCTCTCACTCTACAGTTTCCAACAGAGGAAGGAAAGCGAACAGTAAATTAATTTACTTGAATTACAACTGAAGGAATTACCTGTTCCAAGGTTACTTCCCAGGGAATCTGAAGGAGGACCAATGACAAGCGCGGAAGGTGGGCTCTGCTGAGCGGCTACGGTATGTGCGCGCGGACCCTGAATGGATTTCACTCAAGTTACACCACATCAGTGCGTCCCTGCGTCACACCATACATAAGTAGAAGCTATTTTTACATTTAGCACTTGGCAAATTATTCCACTGCCATAATTAAAAACTCGCTGCAAGCTTCACCAGGTGGTTTTTTCCATTATACTCTGCCTGGGCTTTAGAGCGCCAGTCCCTGAGGAAGTCTAACTCCATAGATGGGCTATTTTTGGATGATGTGAAAATGGCTGGCATGAGGGATCCATCCACGTATTCCAAAAGGAATTAGCCGTTTGGAGAACTGGGCACTGCCCCGTCATCCTTCTGGAAACACCCTGGACTATTTTAGTGTCAGGCTTGGAAAGTCACTGCCTCGAGGACTGACGGGGGGGCCTTCGAGACGCGGCCCAGGGAAAAGTGTGACCCGGCCCGGACGGCCGGCAGCAGCAGGAAGGACGGTGCTCCTGCGCAGGGAGAGGGTGTCGTGAAAGGTTTTTCTTTATAATTTCACCCCCTCCTCTCTGACCACCAACGTGCAGGCACCAGGTCAGCGGCATCCCCTGGCAACTGTGTTGTCCCTACTGCAAAACCTAAAAACGCTACGGCGGCACCGTGAATGTGCAGCACGCCAGGCGTTGCTACGTGCGTGTGGTGACAGGGCGTCGGCCTGTGAGGTCAAGACCCGACGCTGCATTCCCGCTCGTGTTTTCTTAGTGCCTGATCTTCGGCGGGTATTTATGTACCCGTTCCTGCCTCCGTTTTCTCATCTGTGAAAGAAAAATCATGTCGCCTTCCTTTCAAAGGTGGCGGGATGAAATGAGACAATCCATGGAAAACGTCTGGCGAGAAGCTGGGCCGGCGCTCACACCCAGCGGGCCTTTGATGTAATGAGTGACCGAAGGGGCCGTAAGCGCATCGGGGATGCAGGGCTGGGTCGGAGCCTCCGCTCAGCCGCCTGCCGAGGGCCTCTGATGGCGGCAGGGCGCTCGGGAGGGAAGGGAGTGCTCTTTTCTGGTGCCGTCCCTGCTGGGGTTTCTCAGGACTTCAACGCAGCATCCAAACTTGCGTGCCAACCAACGATGAAGAAGTCATCAAAATGGCTGACCTGCTGCCTCCGCAAGGGGAGCTGTGAAACGTCATGAATGAATCAAAAGAGAAAAAAGGCGCGAGAAGACGCGCTCAGAGAAGGTCTCGCTACCTCACGAAGTGCACGAGGCGGCGGCCAACGCAGGGGCCGTTTCAGGCCAGCAGGGAAGCCTCGGCGCGCCCAGGACTCAGCAGACCCGTGAGACTGTCCCGCGGCAGCGCCCCCGCGGGCTGCGTGACCCACCCATCTCGAGCCCCTCCGCGCTGACAGTGAGCAAGCGAGGCTCCCCTCTGAGAGGTCAGCTCTGTGATGGCCCCGGGCATCCAAACGTTCATTCTTCCTCCAGCTGACAGTCGCTGGCCACTCCTAGTGGGGGCTGAGGCCGCGGCTGAGCCGCACAGACACTCGGAGTGCGGGGACCCTGGGAGGCCGGGTGGGGACATCAGACACCCGAAGCCAGCGCCTCCTCACGGGGGCGGGCATGGTTTTCAGTCTGTCACTCACTGCCTGCAGGTGCTCGGCGGTCGGAATAGACCCCTCGTAGGGACCCTGCTGGCCTGGGGCAACACAGGGTATTTTTTTTAAAGATTTATTTGTGCACACAAGAACTGGGGTACTGGCCAGAGGTGCTGGGGTGAGAGGATTCCCCAGAGACAGAGTGGGGAGCGGAACAGGTGGATCTGCTGAAACCCACTGCTGAGGGGAGCAGCAGGAGACAGGCGAGGTCTGCTGAGCCGTGTGGGTAGCTCCCTGGCCGGGGATGGAACTCGTGCTAGAGAGGCTGCAGATTGCTTCATAGTGCGGTGCTTAACCCCTTGCGCCACCAGAGAGCCCAACGCAGCGTACTTTAAACCCTAAAATATCTGCATAACAAGCTCAAAGACAAAAGCAGCAGGTTTTGAGTTGAGATAGTTTAACATACACAAGGTACTCAGAACAGTGCCTGGCACGTAGTAGGTGCGCAGCGGCTGTTATTTAAAAAGATTTAACGTGTTTATGGGAAAAGTAAGAAGTCAACGAGAATGTGCTGGCCCACTGGACTGTTTTTTCATTCATTACACACTTTGAAACGCCTGCTGCACCGGAGGGGGATCTTCCTTGGACCCACCCAAGCTGTAGCCTGTCTTCTGGCCGGACCTTCGGTTCCGCGGCCCCTGCCCCCGCAGCTCCCCCGCTCCCCTTGCTCAGGGCGGAGAATTTTATCTGTATATTTGCACATTTTTTCCTAAAATGAACTGTGCCGTGTTGCACCATGGGGCACATGAAGCCAGCAGGGCCTCTGCCCCCGAGGGTCTTCATGGCCGCGAGTCCGTAGCAGCAAAGGCGGAGCGGGAACGGGAAGTAACTGCGAGTTAAACAACAGAAAGACGAACTTGCCCGTAAAGGAGAAAGCCTGTGAGGACAGAAGGGCGTCTGGAGCGTTGGCCACCGAGAAAGGACAACGCCCTAGCCGACCAGGAGATTAAATGGTTGATCGTTCAGGGAGGAGCCGGGTCTAAAAAACAGTCGCTCGACACAGAAATAACGTAACTGAAGTGACGGGGTGAGGGTGGCCACGTGGGACGTAACTCCAAGAGGAGGAAGAGTCTCCACACGGCGGCGTGAGGTCCGGGAGAGCGGGACAGGAGGACGGTGGTCCAGCCCCCGCGGCTGTTAGCTGGGAGTGGGGCGAGCGGCCTGTGGCGCCTCTTTGTCACACGGCCTGTGGGTGACGAGCCGCTCGGCTGTCCTGACCCCAGAGACGTTCAGTCGTTAACTCGGGAGGCGTCTGCGCCTGGCGTGGCTACATTCATTGCTCGCTGAAGCGGTTTCTGAAGGTTCCCGGCTGACAGCGCCAGGGCAGGAAACACTTCCGTGTTCTTTTCCTAAAAGCTGCCACAGCACCGCACGCCCCACAAGCGACGCTAATTTATTCTCCTACAGTTCTGGGGGGTCCGAAGTTCAAAGTGGGACCCCTGGGCTAGAGTCCAGGTGTGGACAGAACTGTGGTCCCTCTGGAGCCCGGGGAAAGCCTGTGTGGGCGTCTTCCCGGCCCAGGGGCTGCCCTCCACCCCTGGCCGGTCCCGCTCGCCTCCCTTTCCTGCCTGAGGGTTTGTCCCCAGACTGGATCCGCTCTGAGAGCCCAAAATGATCTCCCCCTTTCAAGCAACTGCTCAGCGACCTTAATTTTCCTTTGCCATGCAACAAACATTCGCAGATTCTGGGGGTATCTTTGGGGGTCACAGTCTGCCCACCGCAACTTTAGGGAGATTGTTCAAGACGGACATTCAGTCCAGCGGCGACGCTGAGATCCAGACTCGCCCAGGCCCGCAGAGACGCTGCCCATCGCACAGGCCCGCAGGCTGGGCCCCGCATCCTCGGGGGCTTTCTGGACCTCAAGCAGCTCGACGAGAAAGATACATAACAATGACTGGGTACGTGTCCTGTGTCACTCAGGGGGGCAGTAACAGAACCCTAAAACCATTGCTTTGTGTTCAAGAGCGAGTGTGTACACCGCAGACGCCAAGAAAAGCTGAGCATTTAATTTTTAAAAAACATTTGGTCAGAAACGTAAACCTTCACCTTCCAGCCCAGGAACGCAGCCGTGCGGGCCGGCGTCTCACTCCAACGTCTACTTTTGAAAAAGCAAACGGGTGGGGCCTCCCCGCGGCCGGCAGGCTGGGGGCAGCGCCGGGAAGCTGTGCGCGGCCTCTGCAGCGCGCGTCCATCCGGGCGGCCTGGGGGCTACCCACACGGCGCGGCGGACCTCGCCTGCCTCCCCGCTGCGCCCTCAGCGGTGGGTTTCGGTAGATCTGCCCGTTCTGCGCCCCGCTCTGTCTCTGGGGAGTCCTCTCAGCCCCGCACCCCAGCTCTGGTGTGCAGAAATATTTTTAAAAAAACAAAAAGCACGTAGGTGCTTGCAGGCGGTAGGAGGATCCCCGAGCCCGGTCAGTGTTATTCCCGCTCGCGGGGTGTCCTGTGTCTGGGGCCCACACGTCTCTCCTGGGGGCGGAGGCTCGGGCGGGGAAGAAGCCCCAGGCCCGCGGGGAGGGACACGCCCCAGGCCGCCAGGCGAGGGGGGCCGTGGCCGCCACCTGCGCTGGCCGGGGAGGCCGCGCCCCCCGCGATGCTCCTGCCGGGGGACCGTCCAGGGGCCGAGGGACCCGGGGCCGGGGCGCGGGATGGCGGGTCCGGAGAGGCCGAGCGCCCCCGCCCCCCGCCCCCCCCCCGGGGGTCGGATCTCGCGGGTCCGGCTCTGGCCCCGGCCGACCGCGCCCCCGACGGGACGGTCCGCCCGCGCCCCCCGCCCCCCGCCCCCGCGCCCCCGCCCCGCGCCTCACCAGCTCGATGGCCGCGACGTCCCGCAGCGCCGCGACGCGCCGGAGCCGGCGGGGCGGGTGCTCGGCCAGGTAGAGCCGCCGGTCGCTGAGCACCACGTGCCGCAGGGCGCGCCCGCCCGCGCCGCCGCCCACCACGCACAGCTCGCAGGCGCGCACCCGCTCGTAGGCCGCGGGCGCCAGGCGCCGCCGCAGGAACGCGTCCAGCCGACGGCCGGGGCGCGCGGGGCCCGCCATGGGCGCGCGGAGCGGGGCGAGGAGCCCGCGCCCGGCCGCCCCGGCCCCGGCCCCGGCCCCGCCCCGGCCCCGTGCCCGCCCCTCCCGGCCCCGCCCCGCCCCGCCCCGCCCCGCCCCGTCCTCGTTCCCGTCCACGCGCCCGCCCCCCCCCCGTCCACGTCCCCTCCCCGCGCGCCCCGGGGACCCGGCGCCCGGCCCGGCGGGACCCCACCCCGCCCCGCCCCCCCCAGCGGCTGCGCCGCCCCGCACCCCGCCCTCGGCCGAGCGGCGGAGCTTGGGGGCGCCGCGCCGGGCGCTGGGGGAGTTTGTGGCGCCTCCTTTCCAGCGGGCCGGGCGGCCCGTCCGGCGCCCCCGCAGAGCCCGCCCGCGCCCGCGCCCTGGACGGGCCGACGGAGCCCCTCGGACACCCGGGGGAGGGGCCGCCCCGGCCCGGCGGGGACGCGGGTGCGAGGTGAAGGGGGGACTCCCATCCCCGCGCGCCGGGCCTCGGGGGCGCGGCTGGGCCCACCCACCCCCGCGCGGCTCTTGGGGCGCGGCCACCCCGGCGGGGACGGGAGGCCGCGCGGAGCCCCCCGGGGCCGGGGCTTTCACTTAACCTCGGGCCTGGGAGCCGGACCCTCCCGGCCCCACGCGGACTCCTGGCCGTGGGCGCGCCGGGCGTGGGGCCGGGGAACCCCCCCACGACGTCCCTCCTGCCCGCGCCGCCGGGGGTGGCCGCCGCGGGACGCCTGGGGGGGCAGCGGGTCACCCGTGTGAGCCCCGCGGCCCCGCGCTGACCAGCTGTGCGCGCCCCAAGACGCAGCACCCCGGGCTCGGCGCGCTCCGCGGGGTCCACACCCGCCGCCGTCGGGTCCGCCCCGCAGCCGCGCGCACCCGGACGTGCTCCCCTGAGGGCCGGCGGCCCCCCCCCCCCCCCCCCCTCGCGGGTGTCCCCGGTGCCGCCGCACACCCGCAGCGCCGCACACCCCGCAGCGCGCGGGAGCCGTCGGGGCGCCGGTGGGTCCCGGGGAGGGAGCGCGTGGGCGGCGCTGGGGAGGCGCGGGGGGGGGGGGGGGCCGCCCGCCGAGGGTCTCCAAGGCCGGCGTGTTGGAGAACCGTGTCCCCCGGGCGTCCCCCCAGAGTGCCCGCCCCGCGCACCGTGCAAGACGCACGATGCTGTAAAAGATTTTAAAATTTAATATTAAAAAAGTAAAGAGGTGGATGAGGACAAGGATTAAAAAATAATAAAAACAAATTACCTGGCAATTAAAGCTGTCCTCGAACCTGATCAAACGCCTGACGCGTCATCACTGGCTCAGAGGCGAGTCCCCGGGCGCTGCCCGCGCTCCAGGCCGGGGCCTCCCTGTGACGGCCGCTGCTGAGCCCAGACGACAGCACGTGGGGAGGAACGGGCGCCCCCGAGGGGGAGAGGCCCCCTCCGAGCCGCGGGCGTCCTCTCCACACGCACCCCTGGACTCAGCGAGCAGGAGGACCTCCTGGGCCTCCCTCCACCCAGGCCCGCGCGGGAGGCGGCCTCAGGGCGAGAGCGGCTCCTGGGAAGGGCCTGCAGCCCGGCTGGCGGCCAACCCAGCCCTGCTGAGCCGTGACCTTGTGGCGCCGAGAAAAGGAATCGCGGGTCCCGGGCCTCAGAGCTCCGCGCTGCGGCCAGGCCCGGCCCGGCCCGGACTGCAGGGAGCGGCTGGTGCAGAGGCCGCCCCGCGTGGAGGCCAGCGAGCCGCTCAGGCCTAGCCCTGGGGTCCCCACCGGGATTTTCAGAAGCTCCGTCTTCTTGGGCCTCAGTTTCTTCCTCCGTGAAGTGAAGCTACGGTGCTGCGTGTCCCGCTTTCTTCAGAGTTCGGTGAAAATCAAATGCAATGAATTGCAAAGCCTGAAAGCGCCCTCGACGTGGAGTAGTTGCAGTCCCTGGTCTTTTCCAGACTCGATCTGGACGCGCAGCGCGCGTGCACCCGGGTGAGTCCTCGCTCCCGGCTTCCTCGCCCACCCCAGCTCAAGAAACGCGTGTAACAGGTTCTGTTCAATCAAGCACTTAATAGATGTTTCTTGATAAACTATCAAAAAGAAAGGAACATTGGGCCCCCCTGGTGGCCAAGGAGTTAATTCTCAACACTGAGGCTGTCTGCGGCAGGGGTTCGATCCCCGACCAGGGAGCTACCCACGGGGCGCAGCAGACCCCTCCTGTCTCCCCGCTGCTCCCCTCAGCAGTGGCCTTCAGTAGATCTGCCTGCTCTGCTCCCCACTCTGTCTCTGGTGAATCCTCTCCCCACTCCCCATCTCTGGCCTGCACCCCAGCTCTTGTGTGCATAAATACACAAAAATAAATCTGAAAAAAAAGAATGGAAAATTACCTGGAACTAATCCTCGAAGGCACGCTCCTCCACCAGAAATGCCTTCCACAGAAAGAACAGAGTAGCCTCGGGTCTAGGGATGGTCATTCAGGTAGTGTCCGAAAGGACAGCAGGAGTAAGCATAGGACTGTACAGCGAGATCACCAACTCCAGCACTCTCGTGCAGGGGCTGAAGGACCCTGGGCAAATTTTTTTACTTCACAGTAGCTCAATTTCTTCACCTGTGAAATGAGGATAGTAGCACCAACTTCAAGAATTGTTATGAAGAAATGTTTCTCGAGTATTTGGAACAGACGAAAGAGACATAATACTATGTAAGTGTTTCAAAAAATAAATTGAACAGTGATTTCCTGGTACAAATACGGTCATTCTGTTGCCCATATACAAAGTACTGTTAAATACTTTTATAAAATTTACTTTTATTTAATTTTTTAAAGATTTATTTATGTATGCATACAAGAGCTGGGGTGCAGGCCAAGAGATGCGGCAGGCCAAGAGATGCGGGGGGGGCTGAGAGGATTCCCCAGGGACAGAGCAGGGAACAGAACAGGCAGACTGACTGAAATCCACTGCTGAGGGGAGCAGGGGGAGACAGGAGGGGTCTGCCGCGCCCTGTGGGTAGCTCCCTGGCGGGGATCGAACTCGTGCTGCAGAGGCCGTGGATTGCTTCAGAGTGCGGTGCTTAACCCCTGCGCCCCCAGGGAGGCCCTACTTTTATTTAATTTTTGAACACTAGATGATTTCTTCCTTCAGGTGTGGTCGCCGTCGCCCTCCAGCCACCAGAGCACCTCGCTGTGCCCGCCCCATCTCCCGTTCCCACCCCCTCCCAGGGACGCCGCTCATGTCTGTCGTCAGCTTTCAAGGTTTGTCTTTGTCTGACCGTGTTTGGTTTTTCTGTTTTCCACACGGAAGTGAAACCACCCGATATTTAGCGTTTACCTTCTGACTTATTTCCCTTAGTATCAAATCTCCCAGCTCCATCCCTGTTGCCGCCAAGGGTGTGAGTTCATCCTTCCTGCCTGGCGAGTAGGATTCTTCTGAGTACACAGACCAGTAACGCCACAGAGAACGCTGCTCTCCGTCGGGTGCCATCTTAGACGTTTTAACTTTATTTCTGTAGTAGGTAAAGAGAACCCAAATCTTTAAAGTTTTCTGACTTAGGAATCTTAGTGTTTCTACTTGGTTAGCAATGGATACCCACCAATTACATATCTACCACAAGTGGGGCGCAGTTCATGTCTGAAGGAAACTCATAAAGAAGCCTAAGCAACGAGTAAATGCTCTGGGTTTAAAAAAAAAAAGTCTTTTACTGAACAGAGCCCAGGGCTCTGCTCCACCCCAGGTTTCCTGCTTCCTTCCCACTTCCTTGCAGAGGAACCAGGGATTGGACTCGGACCAAAAGAAGACAACTCATCTGACCTGTTTTCCAATTTCTTTCTCTGTCAAAAAGTGACAATGATTAGGTCTAAGAGCACGCAGGTGAAGCCCAGGAAGAAAATATGACACAGAACTTAGTGGTTGCCAGTTCACAATTATCCAATCAATCCAATACATTTCACAAATATTTACTGAGAAATTATCATCTATAAAGAGAGTCAGGTTAAGACAATCACTCGGCTAGAACTGACCATCTAAATAGATAAGGCAACCACACAAATAAATACAAAACAGAAACATTTAAAATAGGGCCTCCCTGGTGGCGCAGGGGTTAAAGACAACGCTATCAAGCTATCGCCAGCCACTGCAGCACCAGTTCAATCACCACCAGAGAGCTACCCACAGGGCGCAGCAGACCTCTCTGGTCTCCCCACTGCTCCCCTCAGCAGTGGATTTCATCAGTCTGCCTGTTCTGTTCCCCCTCTGTCTCTGGTGAATCCTCTCACCCCCAGTGAATCCTCTATACCCCAGTTTTATATGCATAAATAAATAAATCTTTAAACCAAAAAATGCAACTCAGGGAAGACATGTGAAGAAAACAAAAAATTATAGGCAGAAAACATGGTATACTGAGATGGGAAATTAGACTCAAGTCTAGGGTTCTACCCTGACATTTACTAACCGCGTAACTTAGGATTAGTTGCTTAAAATAGGTCCACTTGGTTTCCTTGTCTACGAATTTAAAATGATACCTCTTCCATGCCTGTAAGGATAAGAACTAGAAAAGGTATATGAAGGCATTTTGTAAACAGTGAAATATACAAATGTTATCTATCATAATTTTTTCGAATACTCTGGCATCTGAAAGAGAAGGGAGGTATGGGAGAGAAACAAAAGGACCTGCCATATTAGTAAGTACTAACTTAGTACTATAGTCCCACAGAGTCATCGTCCTCAGTGGACCTTGATCCGAGAAACTGGTTAAGAACAGACTCTGAAGTCAGACCATGGGGTGGAAGCCCAGCTCTGCTACCTTTTATGCACCTCAGCCTCATCTGTAAAATGGGGAGATGAGAGAACCTCCCTCAGAGTTGTTGTGAAGATTAATGTATGAAAATGAAAACGAACTATTCCTGGCACATATAAATGCTTAAAAATGTTGGCAATTATGAGTAAAAGCACTGCCATGTGCAAGCACACATGCTTTAATTTAAAACAATGACTGTTATTTCTCGCCATTTTGATGACTGGCATTTTGTATTAGTCTGAGGTAAGGAACTGCCCCGCCCTTCATGGACAGGGGAGCCAGAATATCAAGTGGTTCAATTTAATCTCCCTGTGAGGTCCTCTTCAGCTGGACTCCACCAAGTCTTTTCTTATTTGTTCTGAAATAATGAATTTACAAAATCAAGAGATTTTTACAATCCTCAGTATCTGAACTACCATAAAGGGCCAGTGCTGCAGGATGAGATGAGCTGCAGGTAAGCTTCCTGTGGCATTTAGCATATGAAGAGTCACAAAATGAATTTGCAAGCGAAAGGGTCAAATGGAAAGTTACAATAATTGAATTTTAACATTCCCTTAGGAAGAGGCACTGGAGTATATGAAAATATTAGACTTCGAAGCCACTCGGGCCAGATTAGTCCTGGCTCTGGACTGTCCCTGGTGACACACACCGCTCTGAACAGGAGTCAGGCTTCGGGGTCTGAGGTGGATTGGCGGAGTTGATTCCTGAGCTGGAGCTCCAGGCCGGACTCCGAGCAGACGCTGAATTGGAACAGGAAGCCTGGTTCGATTTTTTTTTTTTTTAAGATTTATTTAAGCACACAGGAACTGGGGTGCAGGCCGGAGGCGCGGGGGGGGCGAGGGCGTCCCAAGACAGAGCGGGGAGCAGAGCAGGCGGAGCCGCGGACACACACGCTGAGGGGAGCAGGAGGCGGGAGGGTCCGCCGCGCCCGTGGGCAGCTCCCTGGCCGGGGATCGCCTCGCGCTGCGGAGGCCGCCACAGCGTCACGGCGCGGCGCTGAACCCCCGCGCCCCCAGGGAGGCCCCGGTTTGCTAAGTGGGACGATTACAAACGTGAGCAAAAGTGATTCGGGACACGTCACGCTGGCAGGCGGCGCCCCGCACGCGGCGGGAGGCCAAGCCGCGGCCTCGGGCTGCTCGTGCCCCACGCGGCCTCCCGGGCCCGGGGTGCGGCTGTGCCCGGGGCGAGCCCGGCGCCCACGCGGGGACCGCGGCGACGGCCGCCCCGGGAGCGCAGCCCGACCGTTCAGACGGACGGGCGGCAGCACGGACCACGCCGCCCTGCCGGGCCGGGCCGGCCGCCTCGCGCGGGCCTCCTTCCACGAGCGCGGAACGGGAGCGCGTGAAGGCGCAGCCCAGCGCGGCGGTGAGCGCCGCGGGGCCCGGGGGCCGTCGGGCAGCCCCACGGAACGCGCAGACGCCGCCCGGGCCCCGCCGCCGGGACGCTTTCGGGCCGGACCCCGATCCCAGCATGCCCCGCGACCCCGGCGGCCCCCTCCCCGCGGCGCGTGCGCGCCGGCCCGGACGCCGCCCGCGCGCTGCACGCCGGGACTTGGAGTCCGCGGGCGCGGGGCGGCTGTGCGGCGCTCCACGCAGGCTCCGGCGCGGCCCGCGCGGCGCCGACTCGGGGAGCGCGCCCGGCCTGACTCAGCGGGCGGCCGCCGGCCTCGCGCCGCGTCCCGGGCCCCGCCCGCGCCCGCCCCCGCGCCCGCCCCCGCCCCCGCCCGCCGCGCAGAGCAGGCCGGGGACGCGGCGTGAGGCGCGCGGCCGCAGCTCCGTCCCGGCGTCAGCGCGGCGCCCGCCACGGGTCGAGGCCGCCTGCCCGCGCGGCGCTGCCGGCCGAGGGCCCGGGGTGCGGCGGGCGCGCCATGGAGTGACGGAAGGTGACTGGCCGGGGCCGGGCCGGGGCCGGGGCCGGGCCGGGGCCGGGGCGCGTCGCGGGGGTCGTCCGTGACCCGCGCCGCCACGAGGCTGCGGGCGGCGGCGCCTGAGTCCGCGTGCGGGCGGCTGCGGCCCGGCGGGGCGGGCCCGGGAGCGGGCCCCGGGGCCGGGGGGCGCCGGGCCCGAGCTTCGGGGCGCTCGGGGGCCGCGTGTCCGCGCGCACCCCGCGGGAGCGGCCTCGGGGCGCCCGGGGGAGCGCCCGCCGGGGACAGCTGCGCGCCGCGGGCCGCCCCAGCCCTCGGCGCCCCCCGCGGGCGCGAGGCCGGGGTCCCCGGGGAGGGCGGCCCCGCCCTGCGCGCCCCTCCGTGGGGAGCGCCCGCCCGCGAGAGGAGTCCGGAAGGCGGGGACCCCCCCGCGGCTCCCCAGCCGGGAGTCCGGCGCCCCCTGCGCCCTGCACGCCCGCGGGCCCCTCCCCGCCCCACGGGCCCTCGCCCCCCGCGTGGCCGTGCGTCCGGCTTGACCGCACGCCCAGCCCCCCAGCCCAGGGGCCCCCGGCCCCCCAGCGCCCACTGGGGGCCGGGACGCCTGCTCGGGGGAGCGCCCTCGCGGCGGAGCTGGAGGACGGGGGTCCGGCCCATGGAGGGGACAGGCCCGGGGAGGGGGTGCCCGAGCCCGGGGGTGCTGGTCTGAGCTCCCCGGGAGGGACCCCTGGCAGGACTTGCCGGGGCTGGGCCTCCCCGCCGCGGCGCTGCCCGCCCCGCGCATCCAGGTCGCCCGGGAGACAGAGCAGCCCTTGGTGGCGGGGTCCTCGCGGCCGGCCGAGCCCCACTCTGGAGCCCGTGCTCGGGCCCCCCCCACCTCCCGCAGCCCTCAGGCTCCGACCTTTCCTTCAGGGAGCCGCGCCCGCCGCCTCCTCCGGGGGCAGGTCCAGGGTGCGCTGCCCACCCTGGCCGGTGGGGAGTGACAGTGACGGTCATTGGAAGTTTGGTCCTTGTTTCCACAAACACATGCACGTTCTTTCCTAAATTAATTTGCATTTTGTAGCTTATGAAGTTGATTTGAGAACATTAGATCCTATGCTGTGAAAGAGTGCACTGCTTTGCAGAGAAAAAATTCTTAAATAAGAGCAGTCAGAATTATTCGTCGATTTTTGTAGCCACGGACTGTTAAAGACTTTTTTTGGAATATATATCTAGAATTTGCGGGCAAGAGCAGAAATCTGTAAGAGCTAATCCACTGTTCAAAAGCCAAATGATACTTTTTACTGTTTCCTTTTTCACTTGACTTCTTTTGAAAGACTGGGTAGACATGCCAGTAAGAGTATGAACTCTGAGGTAACTAGTTAGCCCTTCCAATTTTTTCAAAAGGTTTGTGAGATTGATAATCATATTTAATAAGGTTTTCTGGATCTGTTCTTTTTTTTACTTAAAAAGTTGTGCAATTGCACTTTTAAATACTAGAGATGATGAGTACATCTACTACTTAAGTAGGAAAGAATTTCTGTATAAATTGCTGATACTGAAGAATTAGAAAATTTGAGACCCTTAATGGCATTCTTTGGGTTTTCAGAAATTACACGAGTGGAGCAGTTAGTGGACCGTTCTTCTGAGACTCACTCCTTTAGCTGTACCCTGGGTGGTTAAAAGGAGCCTTTGACACTTATGTCATGTTTTCCACCTGTTAAAACATTCTGGATAAGCATCTGTTTTGTTTATCAAGTACTGTTTTCAGTCAGTTTTGTGTGTGTGCAGATGTCTGTGGATTCCTCGGTGGGATCAGAGGGCACGTGGACTGTCACCAGGAGACCCCAAGAATAGCAGCAGGGATGGATGAGCAGGCTCTTTTAGGGCTAAATCCAAATGCTGATTCAGACTTCAGGCAAAGGGTAAGTGAAAGCGGCTTAATCATTTTTTTAAAGTAAGTGCCACAGATTGGCCTTAGAGAGCTGGAGTAGAAATACCTAGTGATACCTGTTGAGTTTGGGAAGAAATGAGTCGAGACAAACAAATGAGGTGTTTGCATATGTTCTGAATACAGAAAGTGAGTGCTGTGATATACTTTCTGTTCTGTTTATTTCTAATTATTTGAAAGCTGTAAGGCTGACAATTGTTCGAGGGTCTTTTAATAGTAGCAGATCAGCATATTTTCTTTTCCCATGGCTTGACTTGGTCTAAACAAGTTGTTTAGCCCTCATGACACTGCCATTCAAAATCCTGGCTATTTAGTCCCAACAGACATTTAAATAAGCATTTATGATAGGCCATGTCTTAGATTATGTAAAATGATTACATGACGAGGAATCCATTATGAGGTACCAGGATATTTGGGATAAATATAAAAAGTTAAACATAATGTATACACCTCTCATCATGTCATGGCAGAATAATAAAAGAAGAATCTAAAGAACAAGCCTATAATTAAATTTTTAAAGACATGGACATCTTGAAGTAAAGAGTTAAGTGGAAGGAGAGGCGTTTTCTTTTTGCATCTTATAGCATGGGCTCTTTTTAATAAATGAGGTTAACAATCTTACTAAATACTACAGCAGTTTTTGTTCTGCTTTTAGGTAGTAATAGGGGGAAAAATCCAGTAATTCTTCAGATAGTAGTATCATGCGCATGCCGCTGCCAGCCCTCAGGAAGAAGGAATTAATGAAAATTGTGATTTAAATGTCTAATTACGAGACTCCTATCAAAGCAGTTAGGATACAAACGACATTGAAAGTTGATTGTTCTGTAATCAGATAGCCGTCTCGGTTACTTTTATGTTTTATTTTTTGAAGTCTTATTTTTCTATTAACTTTCATCATCTGACGGATTTTTTTTTTTAATGTGCATGATTTTCCTTTTCAGAAAAGTTAAACCTATGCGATCTGAGTGGTTTTAGCACAGAAGTTGTTTTCCATCAGTAAGAATGGGTTCTCTCAGTGATACGCATAAGTTAAGCACTGGGGTTCAGGCTTAGTTTGATAGCCCATTGAACTAAAATGATGAATGATTAATAAGGATGAAAAGGAAGGAACCTTAAGGAATTCTAATCGTCCTGATGTTGGCGCACGAGTACTGGGAGTTTAATTCCGTTTGGTGGTGAAATAGATGCCTGCAGGTTCCCTTGTCTACCCCGGCCTGCCCTCGCCCCCGAGCACTCCTGAAGGACGCCCTGGGTTCCTTGGGACATCGCTAGACAACACCTCCACTGGGTTATTTTTCAGCTGCTTGGATTCCTGTATTCCTAATTTCTAAAGATAGCTGCTGTCATTTATACTTAAGATAGTGTTCGGTTATGTTCATCTGCTCACTTTCGTGTACTTGCTCCTCTGTGGGTGGGGGCAGCTCTTGAGACCACATGCAAACCCATTCCTTCATGCGGTTGCGTGGAGATAAGAAACTATCACCTACATAATGGTGGTCTTTTTGCTGCTGCTTTTTTAAGCTCTCACCCTAAGGAAAAAGAACTTTACATCTGGATCCAATGTATAGATGCATATGTACGTACACAGCTAAAGCCAGGTACATAAAATAAGTCATCCTTGCTAAGTGAAAGGCACTGAGATGTTCTATTTCATTTTTTAAAATAGCTAATCAAGACTGGGGGGGCACAAACCACAGTCTTAAAATCTATTCCTTTAATCCTTGTTATTTCTTATTTCAAAGTTTGTGTCAGTACATAGTTGCTTTAACATCATCTAGCAGATGTTTCTTGTTTCTGTGTAGTTTTCTTGGCTGCTCGAGAGTCTTTCACAAGTTGTGGGATTACTTACTCTTTGCCACCGCGGTGTGAGATCTGCGCCCGTCGCTGACGTCCGTTGGGTAGCGCGCGTGTTCACGTGGTGCTGCGCCCCTGCGAGCGCGCCCTCACACTGCACGGCCTTGAGCTCGTGAGCAGAGGGATGAGAAACCTTTTGTAGAGCGTTGACCTTTTCAATATTCATATTTGAATATTCATATCGTATTAATATCACCCAAAATTCAGACCATGGGTTGTGCTCTAGTTTTTTCCTCATTTTCTTAGGAGACGCACATGATAGAGCTGAAGAACTGAAATACTCTTATTTTCTGTGTGACAATGGATCAGGTGATGTGCAGAGTAGGTCTCGTCTTGTACACCCACCTCTACGTAGTGTATTTGTTGCCAACTCGGAAAAACGCCCTTAATATGTCACTTTCTAGCTGTCCCACATAGCACATGACACTTAGCCCAGTGCTTGTGTGTGTTTTCTCTCAATTCTGCTAATGAGGTGTGGGGAGGGGGCATTTTTTGTTGTCTCCTTTGCTATTAGGAAACAGGTTTTTAGTATCTAACGAAGGGAATTTGTCTCCAACTTAACCTTTTTTCTATGAATAATCAAAAGACACCGAGTAGAGTGTTTTAGCTATTTTTCTCCTGCTTCACTGATTTGTTATTGGTTCGCTACTCCCAGAATATTTAGCTTTGGCAAGACATCAAGGTTGACTATTCCAAATGTACTTTCTGCTTTGCAATCTTAACAGGCCGTGGCCTATTTTGAGCAGCTGAAGATTTCCCCAGACGCCTGGCAGGTGTGTGCTGAAGCCCTAGCCCAGAGGACGTACAGGTAACTAAAGCGGAATCTGTGCCTCTTAACCGATTTTAAACTTCTGTGAATTTGACAAGACTGTTAAATTTACCTGTATTTGGAAAATGTTTTCATAAAAACATTTTATGATTTGTATTTTAGAAAACCATTCAGTTAGAAGTGAGAAAATAGTGACTAATTTTACCATTCCAGGACTGACTTTTCAGTAAAACTGCTTTTGGCCTTATGCTTTATGCCACACGGAATGGAATGTCACACAGTAAAAACTTCCTTAGGTTGTTATAATGGGAATTGGTAGTTGATATTCTTAAAAGTTGGTGAAGGAGATAATTATAAATTATTTATCTTAATTTTCACTTTTAAAGTATGTAAACATTTCATTACTAGTTTTTTGCTACTGGAACAAGGTCTTTTATTTATGTATATGCCACTAGCATCCACTTCATTCTATGCTCACAACTATGACCCTACCTTCTGTGATACTACTTTGACGCTCTGGCCCAGAGTTTCAGGAGCAGGTGCAGATTCCTATACTTTCTAGTTATTTGTCTTGCCTGTCCATGTCATCTAACCCATATCACTTATGTACAGGTTATTTCTCCCTGCAGTGTGACTTTCTATGAAGTATCTCTGAAGCATTCAACTTAATATTTACAAAACTAGGGCCTTTCGTGATACTCATTTCACTAGTTTATATAGTACTTAAGTTACTAAATTATGAAAAAGTACAATGGGCATAGTGAGGCTTGGGGATGCCAATTTGACAAGGTGGCAGCAGACAACTAGCCGGTTGAGAATAGAAGTAGGTGGAGGTCAGTGGTGGCTGTAGGCGTTCCCTGCTGCAGCTCAGCCGCTGTCCTTCATAGCTCCAGTGCAGTGACAGTTTCTCAGTATCTTATGTCTTACAAACTTAATCTTTGATTATATACCTTACGAGTAAAAACCCTAGCACTGGCTTTTAATTAAAGGCTTCCTGTTCGCTTTTTGACTGCAAAATCTGTCTTGCATAATTAAGAATTCAGTGTCATCCATGATAACAATAGAAACCCTAAGGTCTTAGAATGCTAGTTAAACCTAATTTTAAAAAATACTTTAAAAAAGTACTTTAAAAAGATGAAGTTCTGTCTTATGTGTGAAATTATTTTGTTTGGTTAATTCGTGTAATCTAAAATAAAAAAGCTTCTCCATCCTGGATTGAAGAGTTGATTTTATGTATGTTTATATAAATTGTTCCATTACTAAGCCTGACCCACACCATCTTGGATGAACAGACAGTTCCCAGAGGAGCTTTGTCAGATTTTGTAGGAACAATTGAAAGTAGATAATTGGTTATTTGTCCTTGTTTTATAAGGACAATATAATGTATTTGTAAATTAATTTTCTAATTGCGGCTAGACTGCTAAGCCACGTCACCCTGCTGCCTCTTTTGGATTTGGCTGCAATGGAACTATTGAGGGTTGAATCTGAAATACGACTTTAAGGACTATCTCTGATTTGACTCAATCTCTGCTATTCTGCCACTGGTCGTTTTATACCTAACCTGTCTGTCGTCAAGTGTAGTGGTTGTTCAGGAATCCTAACATTTAGAATTTAGGGATGATGCCATGTGTTTGCAAAACACTGTGCTCAAGGTAAACCTTAATTTGGTTATACTGCTTGTCAGATTCAGTGGGAAAATATATAATATTGTGTAATATTTAAAGTTCTCACTTTTTTAACATGTGGATGTGAATGTAGTAAATGAGATCAATAAGTAGAAAGCAAGGTATGGTCTACTTTGAGAAACTTTTTAGTTTTGTTATTTATTAATAATTTGCGGGCCTCCCTGGTGGCGCAGCGGTTGAGCGCTGGGTTGCGAAGCTGCCCGCGGCCTCTGCGGCGCCAGTTCGATCCCCAGCTGCTCCCCGGCCACTGGAGGAGAGTCCCACATGGCGTGCAGACCTCTCCTGCCGCCCGCTGCTCCCCTCAGCAGTGTACCTCGGTCCTTCTGCCTGCTCTGCTCCCCGCTCTGGCTCTGGTGAATTCTCTCACCCTCCCGCACTTCTGACTGTACCCAATGCATGTACAAACAAATAAATAAATAAAACATGCCTTTATTAAAAAAAATAATAATAATTTGCCTATGATTTGTTTTCCCAGATTTATATTCTGCTTACCCAATTTTCCTTTTTTTTCTTTTTTAGTGATGATCACATAAAATTTTTCTGCTTTCAAGTACTAGAACATCAAGTTAAATACAAGTAAGACTTTATACTGTTTTGACTACAAGTTGTGGAAAGAGGCCTCTCTAAATTTTAATTAAATTAACAATTTTTCCCTCTTTGGGGAAACTATAACAAGTTGTAAATTGATAGTAAATGTCACTTATAGTTTATTGATGAGGTGTTTTGTTTTTTTTTTTATCCCAAAGTGCTTTTAAATTGAGCTCATTAGTTACATATAAAAATCTAGCCATTTCACAAATGATAATAGGTTTCCAGCTCCTCTGGAAAAATCAGAAGATCTAGCAATGCCAACCCAGTTTTTGTACTTGACGTCTTATTGAGTGGCATAATGGGCACTTATATGCGGGACCCTGCTTTAATAGAACAAAAACAATAAATCACTGCTCAGAGAACCCTTAGTTTGCCTATTGATTGATTCTGTAACCAGGCAGACATATTTCCATTTGGAAAACTGTAGCTTCCGTTTTGATTCAAAATGAACTGAACTGCCAATCAAACTTAGATCAAGATTGATACACCTGCCACTCCCACCCATAGCTTTTCAAGTTATTTATTTTTTATTTTCTTGTTTTACATCCTTGTTGTAAGGATCTAGGATTGGACAATATAGTATCTCTCCCCTCAGGTGTGGTTACCATGGCTCTCCCAATACCCCCATCTTTCTTTATTTAATTTTTCAGCATACCCCAGCATCTTTCCTTTAAATCAGTGATTAAGCATTATTAGAGTAACCTTAGAGAATTATGAGTACATTTTGCCTTTCAGGCATGTAAGAGACTATTAGTTTTTAAAACCACAGACACCAAATATACCCACTATTATTTTTCTTCTTTATTTTGAACAGATATTCCGAACTAACTGCTGTTCAACAACAGCTAATTAGGGAGACACTCATATCTTGGCTTCAAGCGCAGGTAACATAGTAATGTCACTCAGTACTTCAAATTACCAGAGATTTAAATTTCTATTTTTTCAAAAGTTTGCAACTTTACCTCAAATGTTAACCGTTTATTCTACATTTGATCCTGTAGCTTTTTTAAAAAGCACTGGTTTTCATGATCATGAGTAGAGAAAACAAAGTGATAACTTAAGATTACAGCAGTAAATGAAGCTGTCTTTCCTTAACACGTTTTAGAAACTTTGGTTTTCAACTATGATTTTTTTTTACTGTTGAAAAAAGGGGCTTTTCTGTGCATTCCTGAAGGTGAGCCCTTCTGTATGGATCACTAGAATTCTTCCCAGGATGTTCTTTTTTGTTCATTTTCGCTAACTTATAGAGCACTTGTGTTGCTAGGCCTTTTCCTTAAAGAGCAACACATTTTTCTTCTTAAAAAAAAAAAAATCAGGATTAGTAAAACTCTGCACATGAAACTTCTCTCTAAAAATGTGAGAATGAGCATGTTTGTTCACTTGGTAGTCCTTCTTCGGACCAGTCACTTAACTGCTTTGGTGATTTGGAAACATATTTGTTGCACAGTTATCTAAATCATACTGAAATTTAGTGGGGTCTGCCTGTTAATGCTAAAATGAGGGGGGTGTTTTTGGTCTTTTTGGTTTGTTTAAATTCATGGATTTCTTTGTCTGTCAGATGCTGAATCCCCAACCGGAGAAGACCTTTATACGAAATAAAGCTGCCCAAGTCTTCGCCTTGCTTTTTGTTACAGAGTATCTCACTAAATGGCCCAAGTTTTTTTTTGACATTCTGTCAGTGGTGGATCTAAATCCAAGGGGAGTGGATCTGTACCTCCGAATCCTCATGGCTGTTGATTCGGAGTTGGTAGATCGTGATGTGGTGCATACCTCAGAGGCAAGTAACTTCCATGGACACTCGGTTGTTAATGTGGGTTTCTTAGGGGATAATAGGCACCTAATAAAAGGGGCAGGAAGTCTTTCTCGGAGACAGACTCTCCTAAGAATAATTATAAATGTTCACAATGTTTTGAATTTTGTTTTACAAAGGAACTTTTAAACTTGGTGTTTTTCACCACATTGTAGGTTGTAATTAGAGTATTAATTTAGATTTCTTTTTTAAGTAGGAAAGCACTTTCTCCAATGAATCCGTTGGAAATTTGTAGAGAAATGTAGTCTGTTTGCTGTTGCTATCTAGTGACTGAGTGAGGAAAAATTGCTTAGTTATAGTTTGTGCTTAAGAAATTAAGTCTGGCACTGAGGAGCAGAACAGACAGGAAACAGCAGGGATCCGGGATATGCCTTGAGCGCCAACAAACTTAGCAAGTTGGCAGTTTCTAGGGTGGGAGATGCTGTGTACACCTCTTGAGATGGCAAACATAATTTTTCCAGGTAATACACTTTGATATAGGAAGTTTTGTTTTCTTAGGGTTTTTTGTTGTGTTATTTTTTTTTTTAGGAAGCTCGTAGGAATACGCTAATAAAAGATACCATGCGGGAGCAGTGCATTCCGAACCTGGTAGAATCGTGGTATCAAATCCTGCAGAATTACCAGTATACTAACTCAGAAGTGACGTGTCAGTGCCTTGAAGTAGTTGGGGCTTATGTCTCCTGGATAGACTTATCCCTTATAGCCAATGAGAGGCAAGTACCTCTGCTTTGAAATAAAAACATGCAGAATTACAGTATGTAAAACTCACGAATTTGAAAATGTTACAACAATTTTATTCCCTCATTGCCAGGTTTATAAATATGCTGCTAGGTCATATGTCAGTAGAAGTTCTACGAGAAGAAGCATGTGACTGTTTATTTGAAATTGTAAATAAAGGAATGGATCCTGTTGATAAAATGAAACTAGTAGAGTCTTTGTGTCAAGTATTACAGTCTGCTGGGTTTTTCAGCATTGACCAGGTCAGTAAACTTATGTATAAAGTTTTGAAAACTTTTAGAACAAATAAGGGCATGTAGTAATTTAAGCATGTTTTTTTTTCTTTCTTTTTTACGTTGGAAACTCTCCTTGAGATTATAATATTAAAACTCTGTAGTCAGAAAGTCATAGTGTTACCTATCTGTAACATTTGCCTTGGACAGTAACTTAAACCATTTCTTAGAATTTGGAGACCTGGGATCTTCATTAGTTTTTAATGTAGATTTTTTAGGAGATCATGGGCATGTAATAAAAGGAACAGGAAGTCTTGCAGACTCTAGTAATGCAGCTGCTACTCTAGTCCGTGGACCATACTTTTAAGTAGCACAGTATATGCTATTACCATGACAGCACATTTTGACCAAAATTAGACTTAGTAGTTATAAATATCATGGTTATAAATATTATATAGTCATACTTTTGAATTGTTAATTCTTTGAGCTATTAGAATTTAGCCCTGAAAAGTAAGGACTTGGTAAATTAGTAATTTAGAAACAGAATTTGAAAGCTTTTATTTCAAAATTACTTATGGCAGTGATAGTTACTGAGAAGTCTGTATTTTATGTCAGTAATATAGCTCTAGTGTTTCCTTGCTCATGGGTGAATAGTAACATCATCTTACATTGCTAGTAATTGTCTTAGTTTCCAATTCGAGCCTTTCTGTAGGAGAGCATCATGAGAATAATTAATGCAAATAATCTAGGTATGTGTTTTGACTAATGCTAATGTGCTCTTAGGCAGGTAATGGTAATAGCAGTTCTCTTTGCACATAGTTAAGGTGAAAATAAATAGTATAAGAAAGGAATATTGTAAATTCTTATACATAAACACATGTAATGGAATTGTGACATTATTTATTAGAGCATATTTATTAAATTCAACAGTTTAGGGAGAAGGTTTAGAAACCACAGATCTTTTTTTACACTTTCATAAAGTGGCACTGTCTGTAGGACTGTATTCATTAAAAATAGTTTCTTTAAAGAGGTATAGTAGGTAATAGTAGTAGAATTCAAATCATGAAAATTCCCCAGGTAAAATGATAGAATTGTTGAATGTCTAATGTTAGGTTTTACTATTGAATCTCAGGATTCATGCTAGAGTGTAGCTTTCCTCTTGGGTGGGTGACTTTACCTTGACTTTGACTGTTTACAGGAAGAAGATGTTGACTTCCTGGCCAGGTTTTCTAAACTGGTGAATGGAATGGGGCAGTCACTAATAGTTAGCTGGACTAAGTTAATTAAGAATGCAGATCTCAAGAATGCGCACGACGCACTACAAGCAATTGAGACAAAAGTGGCACTGATGTTGCAACTGCTGATTCATGAGGATGATGACATCTCTTCAAACATTATTGGATTTTGTTATGATTATCTTCATATTTTGAAACAGGCAAGTCCTTGTAATCTTTTTGTCTGGCATATACATAGACAAGTCATAAAGAATTAGAAAATACCCAGAAAATGAAAATAAGTGAAAACCCATAATTCTACCTAATGATATTTACATTAAATGTTAATGTATTGACATCTTTTTTTTTTTCTTTAAATTTCTTAGCCATAAAATAGGAATGGCTCTAAAATTCACTAGACTAACAAGCTTCAAAATTAATTACAAGATTAGGTTATTATTTCATTTTGAATTTGTGTTTATTTCTAAATATGGTACTAATTTGTTAAATATGATTCATTATTTTAATTGCACATACATCATTTCTTATAAGCAAATTTTTACAATTAAAAATTTCCCCCAGAGAGTTGCTTCCAGTAAAAGCTTAAAATATATGACATTGGTCTCCAATATTATAACATACAGGCTTTTAAAGAATTAGTGACTTCTTCTGATGTGAGATGAGAGAACTGTTTCTAATTATATACATTGAATTAGTTGAATCAGGTCAAACTTAAAATATTTTTTTCCAAATTGAGTCTATGTGTTGCGATTATATATTACATAGTTTATACACACACTCATATGTGTATATACACTTTATATAGATGTATACCTCAGGAAATTTTAGGCAATGTAGAAAGGTATAAAGAAAGTTAAAATCACTATTAATTATCTCGCTCTGTATCTTTCAATGGATTACTGGACTTGTTTTAAAACAAAGTGAGATCATACTTTACTGATCCATAATCGGCTTCTTTGAATACATTACAAGTATCTTTAAAAATCATATTTATCTACATGTCAAATTATTTACTAGAAGTGAAATTGCTAGATTTTCAATTAGATATTCAGTATAGGAAGGGTCTGCCAAATTGCCCTCCGAAAAAGTGTTTTAAAGGATCTTAATTTATTAGTAAGGTATTTTGATAATCAAGTTTAACTTTAGAAAACCTAATAAATTATTGCTTACTTTTACAGCTTACAGTGCTCTCAGATCAGCAAAAAGCTAATGTAGAGGTAACAGACTTTTTTTTAAGATTCTGTTTGTTTATGCATACAAGAACTGGGGTGCAGGCCAGAGGTGTGGGGGGTGAGAGGCTTCACCAGAGACAGAGTGGGGAGCAGAACAGGCAGATCCACTGAAACACACTGCTGAGGGAGACAGGAGAGGACTGCTGCGCCATGAGGGTCAGCTCCTTGGCCGGGGACCTAGTAGTGACAGGGCTGAGACGTGACCTTTATACTCCAGGGAGGCCCAGTAATTGACTTCTTTTTGAACCAATGATGGTATCTGTGACTGCAATCTCCCTAAAAATCTAGTTTAATTTCAAGTGATAGCAAATCAAAGGAGGCCATCTGACATCATTTTTTATTTTTCTTCATTCTAGGCAATCATGTTGGCCGTTATGAAAAAATTGACTTATGATGAAGAATATAACTTTGAAAATGAGGTAAAAATTTTGCATTGAGGAGAAATCAGTTTTAGTTTTTTATTACTTAATATGTAGAGTTTTGATTATTTTAGGGTCCTATAAGAATAGAAGTATTTCAAAGATTAGTCTTTATATTGTGCCCAACCGTTAGTAAAATTAATGGGAGCCTCCTGAGCCTTCATTTTTTGCTGTTTTGTCCCTTTTTAAAACACTTTGTAGTGTCAATCTTTGTATCATGCTCACAGTATTATTGGTGATCATATCTCAATTTGTATTTAAGTTGAGGCCCAGTCAGCTCACCTCTGATTATCAGTATCTGACAGAGAGGGAATGAGACACCTGTTTGGCCTAGTTTTAGTCAGAACTCATGGTGAGGGTTTCTAGTGAGTCAGCTTCCCACTAAACACAAGTGTCATCAAGGGCTTTATAGTGTCAGTCATGACAGCGTGTTGTTGAGCTGTGTGCTGAGGAGCTCTAGTTCTTACCTCAGACATTCAGGAAACCTTGCACTGTATCAGGGTAACAGGGATGAGAGCCGACATGCTGCACACTTGCAGAGTGCCAAGCTCGTCGTCACCGTGTCTTCCACTCTGCACTGTGAGGGTGTTTACAGGGACCCTGAGAGACAGGGACCAAGTAAAGGCCCAGGTTCTCGCCAAGCCCGGGGACCCCACCCTGGCTCCAGATGACCATCCTTCCCCATCTCAGTGTGCTCTTTCTGGCTCTGGGCTTTGGGGAGCTAGGGCTGTGCTCACAAATATTAGTGAGCAGTAGGGGAGGGTCAGCTAAGTGTGGTGGTTTCCTATATTAATAAATACCAATTTTACAAACTAAGCATTAAATGTGTAAGGAAAGAAAACTATGAGAACAATTTATGTAGATGTTAAGGCCTTTAAAGTGATTAAAATAAGAATTAAATTATATCTTAGGGTGAAGATGAAGCCATGTTTGTAGAATATCGGAAACAGCTGAAGTTACTGCTGGACAGGCTTGCTCAGGTGTCACCAGAGTTACTGCTGGCTTCTGTGCGCAGAGTTTTTAGTTCCACACTGCAGTAAGTTTGTTACTGATTATGTAACAAGTTGCTTTTATTTTCTCCCTCAATGTCTACAGTCAGTGTTTCATAGGATGAACCTGTGTTACTTAGTCAGATCTTAGGTGTGTTTCTGAAATAACGCACTTATTGGGGGGCGGAGGGAACACTGCTGTTTGGAACATCATCAAAGGATTAAGTCACTTATTTCTCCTTTTGTTATACAAATTGTAATCAAACTTTTGTCAGTCTCTGCATCACTAGTTCTATAGAACTCACATCTCCTGTGCCTTGTTAGGAACTGGCAGACGACACGGTTCATGGAAGTGGAAGTGGCAATCAGGCTGCTGTACATGCTGGCAGAGGCGCTCCCTGTCTCTCACGGCGCCCACTTCTCAGGGGATGTTTCCAAAGCTAGTGCTTTGCAGGACATGATGCGAACCGTAAGTGTATTGAGCATAATTTTGAGCTTAATTTTCTATGTTTACTATAAACTAATGGGAGCTTTCTTATAGCTAGAACTTAGTAACTGTTAATACTGGGTCATTTTGATGTTGCCATAAATAAAGATACATGTCTCAAATTTTTTTCTATTCTAGTTGGTAACATCAGGAGTAAGTTCCTATCAGCATACATCTGTGACATTGGAGTTCTTTGAAACTGTTGTTAGATATGAAAAGTTTTTCACAGTTGAACCTCAACACATTCCATGTGTGCTAGTAAGTATGCATTTTACTCTCAATTTTTGCTTTATTTCATGTATTTCGGCCTATGATCAGATAGTATTCTCTCTATAATTTGTTCAAGAACCAAAAGTTTTCCCAAACCCTGGAACACACTGAAAATAGCCCCTCCCACATTTCTTTAAATTAGACCGCTTCTGTCTGTCAGTCATCTGAAACACATCCCAGAGGACCTGTTTGTCTGTGATACTATGTTACTTTTGTATACCTGGTCTCTGTCCTCTGGGAGCTAAGAAATAAAATTTTATGTGAGCAAAAGTGTTTTGTGACAATTGCAATGAAAGTCTTGAATAAGCACAAAAATAGTAAAAGTACCTCTGTTTCTTTAGATGGCTTTTTTAGATCATAGGGGCCTGCGGCATTCTAGTGCGAAAGTACGGAGCCGAACTGCCTACCTGTTTTCTAGGTTTGTCAAATCTCTCAAGTAAGTACAAAATTTCAGCTATTTTGTTTAATTCTGGTTTAAAGAATTTTTGAATTTTTGACTTTCTTGAAGTTCTGAAAAATATATTTCTTGGAAATTTGTATTTTAATTTAATCTGTCTTATATTCTGTTGTTCTTTACTAGTACAGTTTTTTGGTATGAAAAATGCTTGCTCTTAAATTTGTTAGTTGAGAAAACATACAAGTATACCTTGTACAGAAATGAATAATTTTGTAAAATATATATGTAAATATTAAATAAACCAAAAAATCAACTAGTCTTAATCATGTGATTAACTTAGAACTGAACTTTTTTTAGTTATGTCTTAAAAGGAGAATTTTCTGTTTCAGCAACTTTTCAAGCATTATTTTTCATGTAATTGTGGTTTTCCTTTCTGTCTTTCTTCAGTAAACAAATGAATCCTTTCATTGAGGATATTCTGAATAGAATACAAGATTTATTAGAGCTTTCTCCGCCTGTGAGTATCTGTCCCTCCAAGTGAGGGGTTCTCTCCAGATATCCTCAGGGCGGCACGTGCCACAATAGTCCTTATTTTGACTTTTTCATTTTACTTTTTTCAGATAAATATTTATCGAGGTTTTTAACTTAGACGCTGACAGCATTATACATTGGCTTCTGTAGTCAGCTACCTCAGTAGCCTTTCGTTAGTGCTAATGACTGGGGGGCATTTCATTTCCACTGAATTAGAAGTTTCAGCAGAAACAAAGCTTAATGAGATAGAAAGGAATTAAGAATTGATTAATGAGTTTGTCAGTCTGCTCTCTGTGAAGCAGTTATTTCATGGAGGAGGAGAAATTCAATTTTCAAACTATGCTCTACTTAGTACTATGATCATATTAGCCATCCCATGGCTGTTACTATTAGACTGAAGTTTTTCTGTGTAACTTTAGTCTTTTGGTAAAGAAATGTGGGTGTTGGTTAAGCTGAATGTTTTGATGTCTAGAGAGATTTAACTTGAGCTACTTTTGTAAGTCCATTTTGACTTATGCATGTTTTTGTGTAAAGCAAAATATTGGTATTGACTTTTTTTTGGTTTTGATAGACTTTATTACTAGAGCTGCCTCTTGAAATGCATTCAACATAAAATAATACTTTTGTTTTTTTAAGTAAATCAACATTTAGGATACAAAGGTTTTATTTCACTGCATGAAAGATTAGCAGTAAATTATATGGTCAGTTTTTCTTTGCCGTCACCAGTTAATACCAGTATTCCTTGAGTTTACAGTGGCCCGTAACACTTCAATATTCAGGAAGCCATGTTAGGCCATAATCCCTTATAGGTATTAGGCATTATTCATGTTTTTCAAACAGTTCATATAAATAGTAAATTATACTATCTCTATAATCCTTTTTAAAAAAAAAAAACATTTATTTATTTGTTTATTTATTTATTTATTTATTTATGCAAGCACTGGGTACAGTCAGAAGCACGGGAGGGTGAGAGAATTCACCAGAGCCAGAGGGGAGGTCTGTGCATCATGTGGGACCCTTCTCCAGTGGCCAGGGAGCAGCCGGGGATTGAACCGGCGCTGCAGAGGCTGCGGGCATCTTCGCAACCTAGCGCTCAACTGCTGCGCCACCAGGGGAGGCCCTATCCCTATAATCCTTTAGTATATAAAAGTACCTGATTCAAATTGGTTTTACCAAATGTTGACTGCTTAATAGGGTCATAAGTACCCATTTTTAGGTAGGTAGATAGGTAGGTAGGTAGGTAGATAGGTAGATAGAGTGAGCTGTATATGAGCATGTGTGTGAGTGTGTGTGTACTGTTGTATACAAGCGTACCCTTGTGTATACACATTATATGTCAGGGAGCTGCAGTGTGAGCCTTGAGGGACTGCTGATAGTTCCTCTCCCCTTGGTTTCTCTGAGTGCACAAATGTGGACAATAACAGACCAAATAAAAATTGGTCAGCATATGGGATGTTTACTTGTGATTGAATGAGATCTTTTTTTTTCCATTTGCAGTTTTGTTTTCACATGTTCTAAAGTATATGTATGTGTATGTATTTTCTGTGTGGATTTTGTTATTCAACTCTTCCAACATTCTTTAAAATACTAACTTTGTTTAGCCTGTGCACTGACATTAGCACTTCTATCCACCTCATTTTCAGCCTCACAATTTTACACGTAAGATTTTTACAAAAGAAAACAAGTTAGAAAGCTGACTAGTGGTTACTAGTGTAGTTTAACTACACCATGACCATTCTCAGAGTCTTGTTAGGATAAAATTGGGCCCATGATCTTTTGACCTCTAATTCAGTTTTCTTTTTTTTTTTTTTTTTTTTTAAAGATTTATTTATTTTTTTTTATTTTTATTTATACAAGCACTGGTTACAGTCAGAAGCACGGGAGGGTGAGAGAATTCACCAGAGCCAGAGCAGGGAGCAGAGCAGGCAGAAGGACCAAAGCACACTGCTGAGGGGAGCAGCGGGCGGCAAGAGAGGTCTGCGCACCATGTGGGACCCTCCTCGGTGGCCGGGGAGCAGCCAGGGATCGAACTGGTGCCTCAGAGGCTGCGGGCAGCTTCGCAACCCAGCGCTCAACCGCTGCACCACCGGGGAGGCCCCTCTAATTCAGTTTTCTTTTCAATATAAGTTCCTAGGAAAATTTGTTGTTTTTCCAAGTGCTCAGTCTACTTTTTCATAATGAGTTGATGGTTACAGGTTATATTTCCTACCTCCCTTGCATTTAACTCTGCTTAAATGAAAGGAACTTAACAAAGGAAAGTAAGACAAAATTTCATTCTAGGAAAATGGTTACCAGTCTCTGTTGAGCAGCGATGACCAACTCTTTATTTATGAGACAGCTGGAGTGCTGATTGTTAATAGTGAATACCCTGCAGAGCGGAAGCAAGCATTGATGAGAAATCTGTTGACTCCACTTATGGAGAAGTTTAAAATTCTATTAGAAAAATTGCTGTTGGCACAAGATGAAGAGAGACAGGCATCACTGGCAGACTGTCTCAACCATGCCGTTGGGTTTGCCAGGTGAGTGTAACTACGGTTAAAATGGTGGCATGTCTATACACACACAGAACCGTTTACTTGGATCTTTTAGGTGTGGGCAAACATATCCATGTTTCCAAAACTGGATTATCTGAACTTCTAAATCCACTGAATTAGAAGTTTCAGCAGAAGAAAGGAGTAAATCACTTAACATTCTGCATTTCTGTCTTGACAACTACTTAAAACTTTAATTCCTGTCTTTTTTTGGTATAAATTGATGGTACATGTAAGGGGTTTAGCAAAAGTGTTTATACACCAATGACATATTGGGACATCTTAGCTCAGTTTTGGTACCTAACAGAATGTTCTGAGATGTCTTTAGCTTTTGCACTGTGACCACCCAAGCTGCCGTTTCTTTCTCTCTACCCATGCTTTTTCTTGGCGCACAGTAATAGCATAAAAGTCCTGGTGATTGCTAATATTAAGCTACAGAGAATTGTTTTACAAAATACTTATTGCAAAAGTGAATATTAGAGTGTATTAATTTGATTCTAAATATTGTTTGCAGATTATCTAGTACTGCCTAGCCATACTATGGAGATTTTATTTCATTTGAGCCCTCTCTGGAATGGCAGTTGAAAGCAGCAGTTACAAACAATTGTATTTGCTAAAGATGGATGTAGTCGTGACATGGAAAATAAAGAACTGGCTTCTTCATGTGACAGTTTTGTAACTTGTGACTTGTTTATGATTGCTCCATAAAACTCTCAAGGATAAGCTTAAAACTGATTACCTGCTTTTTCCTTACGTAGTCGAACCAGCAAAGCTTTCAGCAACAAGCAGACTGTGAAACAATGCGGCTGCTCTGAAGTGTACTTGGACTGCTTGCAGACGTTCCTGCCAGCCCTCAGCTGTCCGCTGCAGAAGGACGCGCTCCGGGGTGGGGTCCGCACTTTCCTCCACCGCATGATTATCTGCCTAGAGGAGGAGGTTCTTCCGTTCATCCCATCCGCCTCAGAGCACATGCTCAAGGACTGTGAAGCCAAGGACCTCCAGGAGTTCATTCCTCTCATTAACCAGATTACAGCCAAATTCAAGGTACCACAACCCTCAGGCCTCAGAGTCTCCTGACTGGAAATTTGGATGCATTTATTGATCTTTGGCTGTATTTCAGCATTTGCTTGTTGGCTTTTTTAAAAAATATGGGTTACTTGAGGGCATGAATCGTGTATGATTTACCATCCCCAGTGTCTGTTAGGCTGTCTGATACAGTGAATGTGGTTAAGTGGATGTTTTAATAAAAATAAATAGTACCTGCTCTGTGCAGCACAAGAAAACGATTAGTTTGCTCTTTTAGAAAACTGTAACAGCACTGAGTACTAAATGTCTGAAGAGGTAAATAAAAAGAATTGCAGTTTGGATGCCTAAGCAGGCATTTGAAAGCGTGCTGAAAGTTGGTTATGTATGAGGAAATTTGTATCAACCATATAAACAAAGAAGAGTAATACTTACTGCTTTCTGTGTTCCCCATCTGTTCCGAGCATCTTCTCGTCTGTGAGTGTGTGCAATCCTCTTAATAACCCTCATTATAAGGATTGTCATTTGTAGACGATGAAACTGAGACACAGAAAAGTTAAAGAATTTTCCCCAATGCATATAAAGCCTAAATACTAAGTCATATAATTTGTGATTTAGTAATTAATAGAATTCATTTCATAAGAATTTAAATTTCAAAAGATTCCTGGCAGTATTTGAATGTGAAATAAGTCTGACCTCCTCGTTATTTCAACTTGAATCTTGAACTCTAAGAAATGGGTTGAACTTAATGGTCTTGGGGCTTTTGATAATGTATCTGCTATGTAGATTAACGTTCATATTTGCTCATTGTGTAAATATAAATCCCAACTAGAAACTGAGGAAATGATTTATGAAAACATGTTTTTTCTAAGCTTCATGTTAATAATATTCTCATCATTTCTGAAGTAATAATAGGTGTCTCTGCCCTGCAGGTACAGGTATCACCGTTTTTACAACAAATGTTCATGCCGCTCCTTCATGCGATTTTTGAAGCATTGCTCCGACCAGCAGAAGAAAATGACCAGTCTGCGGCTTTAGAGAAGCAGATGTTGCGGAGAAGTTACTTTGCTTTCTTGCAAACTGTCACAGGCAGTGGAATGAGCGAAGTCATAGCAAACCAAGGTGGGAATCCATGGGATGCCTGCACTGTCTGAGGAGGTCCTTGTTAAAGCAAGAGCAAGTTGAAATAATTACTAAAGTTTACAGTGGTTGTGTGTTGGCCCCTAGGATGACACTTCACAGAGAGGACCTTCAGATTCATTTGTATCAATTCCTGTTCCTGAGGAGCTGTTCTTTAATTGGTTCTTTAGTAGTGTAAATATGTAGCATGGTGGCAACTTGCCAGAACTGGCCTGACAGTTGGGTCCTACTGGCCAATTTGCCATTCTGAAATTAAAAATAAATGGGATTGTATAAATCAGCATAGAGAATTTTGCTATATCGGAAATCCACAGGGCAAAATAACAAGATAACAGTGATTTTTTTCAGTGGTTTATGATTAAAGTTTAGGAGCCAAATTAATATAAATTGAGGGACTTTATCAACTTTGTAAATGCCTTTATCTCGTTGGTATTGGTAAAGTGAGAACTGCAGGTTCCGTTTCTAGTTCCGTTTGAAATTAAACTCATTTTTTTTTTTCTTTTCAGGTGCAGAGAATGTGGAACGTGTGCTGGTTACCGTCATCCAGGGAGCAGTCGAATATCCAGATCCAATTGCACAGAAAACCTGTTTTATCATCCTTTCAAAGCTGGTAGAACTCTGGGGTAAGATTATTTTATTTTTTCATATGCATTCCCCAACCTGCTTCCTAAGACTATTGAAATGAAATGGAAACCTCGCCTTTATACGGACAGCAGCTGGAGTTGATTTTCCCCGGTGAGAAATTAATTTTCTTTTTATACAAGATGAAACTTTGAATTTTCTTGACAGGTGGTAAAGATGGACCAGTGGGATTCGCTGATTTTGTCTATAAGCACATTGTGCCCGCCTGTTTCCTAGCTCCTTTGAAACAGACCTTTGACCTGGCGGACGCACAGACAGTGCTGGTAAGCGCCCATCTGTCTTTGTCGCCTCATGTCCTCGTGACTACTTCTTCAATGCCAGGTTGATTAGGTTTGATTGATTTTTTAAATTTAATAATTTCAAATTAGGATTCATTTATGAAAAGTTGAGGGTACCTCCTGGACTTTTCGTGGGTTCTGAGTCCCTGTGAAAAGTTAAACACATGGACTTCAGCTCCATCAGCTTTAATAACAAGACTTTCTCTAATAAGAGTGCGAGAGCGCCTGGCACCTTCTCTCGGCTTGACTGAGTTACTTGTTCCCACTGCTGGTTCGTTCTACAGCGCGCTGAGTGCTCTGTCCTAACCGCTTGCAGTAACTGCCCCTCCTTACATGAGGCCCTCAGACTGCCCCTCGGGATACTCGGGCATCGGGCGCCTGTCCTGTCTCTTGTTTCCCACCGCCTGCAGAGCTGTATTTCATGACTGTGATGTCATTAATACAGCATTTCTGCCTCTTCTAGTTTTTTGTACCTTTTCTATCAACCCAACTTGTTCCATCTGCTTGTTACCATTCCTTTTCACATCCCTTCTTTGGGGTAAATGTTAATGAACAGGTGCTGGAAAAAGAAAGAAAAGGTTGAATCAGTAACTTGAAAAGTGACCTTACTATAATTCTTAAACTTGCTTTTCACAGGCCTTATCAGAGTGTGCAGTGACACTGAAAACCATTCATCTCAAACGGGTAAACATTGGTGTTTGTCTCCTGTTCTTGAAAGCTGTGTCTCTCATGAAAATTAATTTAGTTACCTATTCTTTTAAAGTAGTTATGCATACAGGAACTGGGGTGCAGACCAGAGGTGGAGGGGGTGAAAAAACTCACCAGAGACAGAGTGGGGAGCAGAACAAGTGGATCCAGTGAAATCCACTGTTGAGGGGAGCAGCGGGGAGACAGGAGAGGTCTTCTGCGCCAGATGGGTCAGCTCCCTGGCCAGGGATTGAACTCAGGTCGTGCTGTGATCGCACTTAGACTTTACCCCAACGACCCCGGGAAGAACCTATTATAGTTCTTAACATAGAAGTACTGGAAGAGGGCAGTGAGTAACGATGGTTTTAGAAGTTGGGTGACCAGCATTTTAGTGCAGATTTAATCAACTGAGGCTGGATCTAGGTTTCCTCATCTGGGAGTGAAATTTCTGTTGCCTGGTGTGTTGAACAGGACAAGAGAAATGTGCTTTATTGTCATCTAACGTTCCACCTTACTCTTTCTTGTATTTTAGTTTCTAAAGATGGTTATGGCACTGGTAATGTCCCAGGGTCTTCCCTCAGGCACCCTTAGCTGCTCTGTGTTAGTATAGCCTGTCTCCTGGATTTAGAAAAATACTTGTTAACTCTTTAGCACCGGGTAACACCAAGTCATGTTACTGTGGAGTGAATGCTAAGCGCTATTGTAAAAGTGTTACATTTCTTAACTCATCTAGTCTTCACAATAACTTAAATTTTCAGATGAGAAAACGGAAGCTCATAGAAATCAAAAGTAACTTACCCAAGTTACCAGACAATTGCCAGACCCTTACTTCACATCAAGCAGTCTGGCTCGTCTGTATTGTTAATTGTAATACTGTATTATATTTAAAAGCGTGTAAACGTTATTCCAATTTCTTTTCAAACATTATTAGAGTAAAAGAAGAAAATAACATCGTTATAATTATCTTTTCGTTTTAAGGGCCCAGAATGTGTTCAGTATCTTCAACAAGAATACCTGCCTTCCTTGCAGGTGGCTCCAGAGATAATTCAGGTAAGAGCTGTCCTAGCAGATTTTCCTCTTAATTGAATTAAAGAAGCATGACTATGTAGTTCTATCTCAGTTCTCATTCGGGAAAGCTGGTTGCATTCAGCTTGATGTTTTCTATATATGTATGGAATGAATAACAAGAATTCAAACTTTAGAGGGATCTGTGAAAATGATTGAGAAAAAGATGTGTTTTTATTTTCACTAACCTTTAACAGAAATTTCATTTCCTGCCATTGTGTAGGTGACAAATCCCATGACCTGTGACTTTGCTGCTGATACATATTTTCGTATCACCTTAGTCATTCAGGTCTCAAAATATTATTTGTATTTATTCACATTTTCAAGTTATGAGTTACTAAGATAAGCCACTAGACCTTGTGATCTAAGTCAAAAAATCTTATTCTATCACATATCAAAAATATATTTGAGGGTCTCCCTTGTGGCGCAGGGGTTGAGTCTTAGCACTGTGAAGCTGTCCGCAGCCACTACAGCATGACTTCAATCCCCAGCCAGGGAGCTACCCACATGGCACAGCAGACAGACCTCTCCTGTCTCCCCGCTGCTCCCCTCAGCAGTATGTTTCAGTGGATCCACCTGTTCTGTTCCCCACTCTGTCTCTGGTGAGTCTTCTCACCCCCGCACCTCTGGCCTGCACCCCAGCTCTTGTGTGCATAAATAAATAAAATAAATCTTTAAAAAAAATTGATAACAATAGTTCATTAAAACTCATTTCCTTCATAACCCTCTGTATTGTACGGGTGCATATTTAAAACCCTCCAAGGAGTCCAGCGGTCCAGCTGTGAGAGGCTGCACATGACCTGTTCTGGAGGTCTGCACCGGGCGGTTCGTCTAACAGGTGCCGGTTATCAGTGCTGAGCTTGTACATCTGGGGCTGTATTTTGAGGCTGAGTAGCTGGAACGCTATCTTATACTTTTAAACAAACTTTTTAACAAAGTTTTTTTTATAATGGCATTCAGTTGTTTCCTTGGCAAATAGTTACCCAAATTTCTTGTCCAGTACCTCATAGCTCTCCTGAGATAGCCAAGTTTTGATTAAAACTAGAGTTAGAGTTAGAATCTTTCGTGTGGATTCTTTTTTTAAAGATTTATTTATGCATACAAGAACTGAGGTTTAGGCCAGAGATATGGGGGGCGGTGGATGAGAGGACTCCCCAGAGACAGAGTGGGGAGCAGAACAGGCGGATCCACTGAAATCCTCTGCTGAGGGGAGCAGCTGGTGAGGCAGGAGAGGTCTGCTGCACCATGTGGGTAGCTCCCTGGCCGGGGATCGAACTCGTGCTGCAGAGGCTGCGGACAGCTTTACAGCACTGAGACTTAACCCCTGTGCCACCAGGGAGGCCCTTTTGTGTGAATTCTAAGAACTGTTTCTTCAAGAATGTTTTAAGTTTTTATAATGCTGTTTTAAAAGAGACATTTAAAAATTGAATGGGAAATAAGGTCTCATCTAGAGTGATCATAGAATTCATTTTTATTGAATTTATGACCTCTTATTTCATGACATGCCATCTGTAAGTAGAGATTAGTGAATATTCTCAGTTACCATCTGTCATATAGCTGTATATTTTAATGAAAAGATTGATTACTAATTTCTCATTTAATCTTAGTGGCACATCAAAAAACTGTAATGTCCCATTTGATTTTGAATGATATTCTGCCAGATTGCTGAAGTGAAGCCGAGCTATTACATTTCTGTCTAATAATCTAATGATAAGAGATCCTCAGTTTCCCGTTTTCATATGCCTTCTGACAACACTTTCTGCAGGATTCTTTTAAGGAGAATTATCTTTTTTCTGGTCTTCTCTGCTGAGTTGCCCCCTGTATTACATGAGAACAGCCATAGCAATGTAGGTTTTTGTCCCGCTCACCTTGGTAAGCTCGGCAGGAGAGCCGTGTTCACAAAAGTGAAAATGGTCTGTGCTACAGTTGTTACATTTGAAAATGCCATATAACCTTTTTTAATAAGGAATTGTATGGGTTGATTTTGATAAATTGTAACATAAAAATACTGTAGATTTGAAGCAATCTAAATGTCCTTTGAGGGATGAATGGTTGAATAAAATGTGGTGAAAGGTCATGCTTCACTCAATGGGATATGCTTTGTTAGCTGATTTCTTCACAGCATGTAGTTACATGAACTAGGTGATGCAGCCTGCGCACCCCACTGGTGGGGCCGTGTTAAGGAACGCGTGACTGCATGCACACACAGGGAATACCATTCAGTCTTCAAAAGGGGGAACTGTTACACGCTTTAACATGACTAACCTTTGAGGACATCATGCTCAATGAAATGCCAGTCACAAAGAGACAAATACTGCATGATTCAGCTTACATGAAGTATGTAAAGTAGTCAGACTCTTATTATCAGAATGTAAGATGGTGGTGGCCAGAAGCCCGGGGGGGGGGGGTGTTCAGTGGTGCAGTTTCAGTTCTGCCAAATAAAATGGTTCCAGAGAGCTGTTGCACATCAGAGTATATATAGGTAACACTGCCGTACACATAAAAACAATTAAGATGGCAAATTTTCTTGGTTTTGGTTTTCTGTGTGTGTGTGTTTTTTGGGTTTTTTTTTTTTTTTTTTTTTTTTTAACAATGTTAAAAATACTATGAATTTAATACAAATGCATTTATTTTTGTCTTTCCCTCCCTGGTTGCCCAGGAGTTTTGCCAAGCACTTCAGCAGCCTGATGCTAAAGTTTTCAAAAATTACTTAAAGGTAGGTATTTGGAAAATTTACCTCATAACCGATGTCATGTTTGAGAGCCAAGAAAGGACATATTATGGAACACTGTGTCAAATTCTAATTTGGCCAACTGCTACTTGTTTGGGGGCGCTCTTGCTCTAAACCAGCTCCTGCGAACCTGCAGTGATAGTTACTGTACTTCTGTAGCTTGAGAGTTTTCTGTACATCCCCTTTCAGCTGATAATACAGAAGGTCACAAACAGGTGAACACGGTGTGTACATGCCTCAGCATGTTGGTAGCAAACATCGGTGTGATAATTTTCTGATGTCAATAAGTAAGAAAGGTTTGGGAGAAGAATATTGAAGAACATTTGTCCATAATGAGTTGAAAGGACAGAAGTAAAATAGAAAAGCATAAGGTACATGGTTGTATCTTGTTTTGGGTTTTTTTGAATTGTAAAATGGATAGAAGTAGATTCCTCAGATTTGTCCAGTCAGGACTCTCTTTCCATTCATAAAATTGCTGGAAAAAGTACCCTCCGTGTTGGTAAGAAGTACCAAGTGTTTGATATTCATATTTACAACAAAATCCACGACGCAGACTCTCTTGTCTCACCTGTCCGACACTCAGCACCTGCCGGTGGCTTTGATCCACTGGGCTCCGTGTACCTGCTGCACACAGCATGTGCGCACTGTCCCTGCCCGCAGCGCTCGGGGTCTGTGAATGAGATTACAGTGACAGAATGAGGAACTGATCTTTGTTTATTACCTTCATAAACAAATTTGAGAGCAAGGGACTATGCTCAGTTCCTTGAGAGTAGGTAATTTAATGGTCCTCTCGCTAAGTCAGTCAGTAGAATTCATGAATTACGAAGGTTTCTCATTACGTAACTGCGCCATCCTTTGATTTTGGTTCCAACATCTTCTGTTGTCAGTTTCCCCTCGTAAGTTTGTCAGCCTGAACTGGCGAGAGTCTGTGAGAAAATTGAAGTTATTTTTGATCACTGGGTGCCCTCCCGACTCTGTTTCCCCCTTCCCAGGCGAAGCCCCGATAAAGGTCACCCTGTTACCAGCCAGGCCACCGGCTCTGGGCCGCGCTAGCTGTAAGGGCAGGTCCAGACACGTTGCAGCGGGTTGTGTTGGCTGAATCTGACCTATCCAACGGCATCTTTTATAAAATGTCTTCTTTCCAGAGCCAGCGCCGCTGCAGTGATAAATTGTTCTAATTAGAAACAACGAAGTTCCTTTGTGTGCCTATTCCGGCATGTCTGATTGATACTCGGATCCTGCTGGGTTTTCCTCCTTTCTCTCGCTTCCTTGCGGCGGCTGCTGCTGCTGCTCCACTGCTGTCGGGCTTGTGGCCGCATTCTCGCCTCTCTCTTTTTGTTGTCTGATCTCTCGGGATGCACTGAACAGTCCTCTGAAATTCATTCCCCTTCCTCATGATCTTCTTAAGTCTGTTGTTGACTTAAAAAGTTCATGGGTCTTGTTTGGCATTCTTAAGTTTTTTATTTGTTTTCATATCCTCATCTCCCCTTTCTGGTTTCTCTTACAGGAACAGTCTTTGCTGTTTTTTCTGTTCTTCAAAAGGTCCACTTTATTAGCAAACATCCTCCTTTAGAAATCCTGCCTGTTATCCAGGCTTACCTTGAGCTTGGCCTCCTTGCAAGGCTTTCTTTTGATTGTATCGTGATAATTATGGAGGGTAGTGTGAATTCCAGTCAGTGCCTAGGACACCTTCTAAGTCTACGTGTGCACCGTCAAGTGGTGAAGTGAATTTTTTCTTTTTAATCAAATAGTAAATTCTTTAAGGGATAAGAGCTGCCTTTTTAAGAATTTGACTTGGATCTTACTCAAATTTTAATTTCTCATCACTAATTTTGACAATCGTACCAGTCACAAAAAAGGGATGGAGGGCCTCCTCAGTGTTGGAGCGCCACGCTGTGAAGCTGTCCGTAGCCTCTGCAGCGCGGGTTCAATTCCCAGCCAGGGAGATTCCCACATGGCACAGCAGGTCTCTCCTGTCTCCCCGCTGCTCCCCTCAGCAGTGCTTTCGGTCCCTCTGCCTGTTCTGCTCCCCACTCTGTCTCTGGGGAATCCTCTCACACTCCTGCACCTCTGGCCTGTACCCCACCTCTTGTATAAATAAAAAATAAATCTTAAAAAAAGGGGGGTATTGAGAACGTGTTTTCCTCTAACCATTTAAATCAGAGCATTAGAGGTAATGCCATTCCTTCTGTGAAAGCGTGACTAGCACTCAGTAACTTGGAGCCATTCTGCAGACGAAAGGTACTGTCTTCTGGCCTCAGTACTAATGGGACTAATACTTTGTTCACAGGTGTTCTTCCAGAGAGCGAAGCCCTAAGGGTGGATCTTCCCTGTGCCTACTTCATGAGGAATTCCAGTTTATAATTTATAAAGAAACAATTTTTGTGTGCCATTCGCACTTGGTCTCTTTAACATTGCTTTGAGCTTATTGCAGTATATGTCTTGGGGTTTTCTGTAACATGGGTGTAATTTTACCTAAATACAGGTATGTGACAACAAATTAGTTGCTTGCATGCCAATTCAAATTGTTCTATATAAAAAATGCTGTTAAAAGATACAGAAGAATTATTCTAGTACCTTTTTTGTTTTTACTTGAAACTTCTAAGTCCTTTATAAAGATCATAGCAGGAAGCAGGAAAACAGTGTACTTTTTTTTAATTGCTGAATATAAAACATTTGAAAATTTTCATTTTCTTCTGTGTGCAGACTCTCAAAGTATGGGGGGGAATACAACAATCGAAACTACTTTTTTGTAGATAGCCATTACATTTCTTTTAACCGTTTCAATGCCAATGTGTATTCTACAAAAGAGAATGGTTTCATAAAGTAACTGATTTCAGAGTAGGTGCCGGTGTTACACATTTTTTATAAAAAAAAAAAAGTAATAAATTTTATGTAGTGAAATCTACAAAGTATTTTTTTGGAGTTATTATGAGTACTTTAGCCTTATTTTCTCATCTTGTTTCTCTGATTTCCCATTTAAAGGTTTACACGGGTAAGCATGTGGACGATTCACTTAATGACGCTGCTAAAAGGTTACATCAGCAGTTGTGTTAAGTAGAGTATTTTTTAAATGCACTGGAAAGCAAGCCCGTGTGAATCTGTTGGGGGGGAATCTTCTTAAATCCAGTTTCCCCTCCACTATTGGGTTCACTTAGGGTCCGCTATGCCTGTGTGTCTGCCATGCCTGTAAGTAGCTGCCCACTCGGCTACTGAAAGTCCTTTCCCTGCTCACCCCGTTTTTATTCATGAGGCGACAGAGCAAGAGAAGAAATCTCAGTACACGTCGTAGTAATGGAAACTTCGGGACAAAAGCCAAGTAGGAGGGTCACTAGTCATTTGTGTGTGAGTTCTGCCAGTCCACGGTGGCTTTGCCCGCATTGTCTTTGGGGTTTCATGGATGGGCTTCATAAACTCCCTGAGATGACATTCTTAATTGTGCGCATACGTCTTTGTCAGGGTTAATTCCAGAAGAAATTTTAAACACTTTTCTTCAATCGTAGAATAAAGATACTAAACTAAGTTGACAGTTGTAGAAATAAATGAGTGGAATATATATCATACTGCAACAAAAATGTTCGTAGAAATAGGTGCGTAAAAGCTGATGGTTTCCTTGAGAAGCTCCCGGTGCTGAGGGAGAGGCCTGTGTCTGATCCAACAGTGTCCGCAGTGAGGCGCGCTGAGCAGCACGACGTCGTCCTGGGCTGAGCTTAGTCTCCACATGCGGGTTTCGTGGGTTCCCGGTCTCAGCGCCTGGCGCAACCCGCCCCGGCGAGCCCGTCGGGAAGGTGGGAGACAAAGGGCTTCCCGAGGTGACACGTGAAGCCTGAAGCCGTCGCTGCTGTGCCCCGACGCCGCGGGTGGGACGACGCCCCTCCCCGGCTCTTGAGGCCGTCAGAGGAGCCGCTGGTGGTCGGCGCTCAGCAGTCGGGGCTGCGTGGAGTCTGACTGGAAACGGGCTTCGCGGTGCGTGGCTGTTGCGCGACGCCCATGCTCACCCCTGCGGGGCCCGAGGCCTCCCCGCGAGGAGGCGTCGCTCATCAACTACTCGCGGTCACGGCGCGGAAGTCGGGGCTGGGGCCTGGCTGGAAGGAGGGTTGGCGCCCGCCCCGGCCGCGCCCGCCGCCCGCCGTCCTCTCACGCCGCGGCTCGGCCCAGCGCTCGCGAGGGTCCGACTCCCGGACCGCGGCCTCCCGGGCGCGAGCGGCGCCGGCGCGGCGGGTCGCGGCCCCCAGCAGGGGCCGCGGACGGGAGGAGCAGCGAGCGGCCCCGTCCGCGCGGGCGGCAGCCGGAGCGTCACGCAGGGACCGCGGCAGCGGCTCGCCGGGCGGGCTGGCCGCGAGGCCTGACGGGCTCCCGGGCCGCGCGAGGCCCCGAGTGGGCGTCCGGACGGGGCGCGGGCGCTGCGCCCGGCCCGCCCCCCGAGGCGCCCCCCGCCCCCCCGGCTCTGCGCGGGTGCCCGCCGGACCCTCGTCTGGGAAGGCCCCGCCGTGCCCTCCCCGTCGGGGCTCGGGGTCCCGCGTCCTCCCGGAGCGGGCGGGGCCCACCCCGGGCGTCCAGGGGAACGGCCCTCAGGCCGGGGGCGGGGCCCGGGCGCGTGGGGGCGCCGCTCTCCGCGGGGGGCGGGGCGGGGCGGGGCGGGCCCGACGGCTGCGGCTCCGCCTCCCGCCCCAGGACGCCGGGGGCTCCGGGTCCTGGCGGCCGCCCGAGGCCCACTTGAGTCAGCCCCTCGGGGGGCGCCGCTGGGCGGGAGCTGGCGGCCGTTCCCTCGGGGCGCCGCCGCCGACCGGACACCGCGGGCCTCGGCTCCGGCCCCGGCGCGGCGGGACCCAGGCGCGAACTCGGGCCTCGGTCGCGCCCCCCCTCGCCGGCCGGGCGTCTCGGGGCTGCGGCCGCCTGGGGAGCGGCGACCGGCGCGGCCTGACCGGAGTCCGGCGCCGGGAGTGCCCGAGCCCGCGCCCTGCCCAGCGCGCCGCGGGGTGATTTGAGGACCCCCCACTTCCCACAGCGCGCCGCGGGGTGATTTGAGGACCCCCCACTTCCCACAGCGCGCCGCGGGGTGATTTGAGGACCCCCCACTTCCCACAGCGCGCCGCGGGGTGATTTGAGGACCCCCCCATTCCCACAGGGCGCCGCGGGGTGATTTGAGGACCACCCCACTTCCCACAGACCCCCGCGGGGCGGCTTTGAGGACCACCCCACTTCCCACAGACCCCCGCAGGGCGGCTTTGAGGACCCCACACTTCCACAGCCCCTCGCGGGGCGGCTTTGAGGGCCACCCCACTTCCCACAGCGCGCCGCGGGGCGATTTGAGGATCACCCCAAGTCCCACAGCGCGCCGAGGGGTGATTTGAGGACCCCCCCCACTTCCCACAGCGCGCCGCAGGGCGGCTTTGAGGCCCACCCCACTTCCCACAGTGCCCGGCGGGGCGGCTTTGAGGACCACCCCACTTCCCACAGCGCCCGGCGGGGCGGCTTTGAGGACCACCCCACTTCCCACAGCGCCCGGCGGGGCCGAGGCGGCGTCAGCGCCCGGCGACCCGACGGCCCCGCGGCTCAGATGACCGGGGTCAGCGTCGCCCCGGCGCCGCCCCGCCTCCCTCCCCGAGAGGGCCGCGCGGGCTCTCGTCCCGGGGCGCGCCGCCGCGTCCAGCGCCTCCCGCCCGCGCCCCGCGGCCCCCCCCCGAGCTCCCCCCCCAGCGGCTGCCCGGGCCGGGGCCAGGCCGGGGCGGGCGGCGCGCGCGCATGCGCACCCGCGGGCGCGGTCACGTGGCCGGCGGCCGCGAAGCCGGAAGCGTCCGGGGCGCCGGGGGCCGCGGAGCGAGGCGGGAGCGGCGGGGCCGGCGGTGAGCGGGGGCCGGGGCGGGCGCGGGGGGGCCGGGGCGCGGGCGGGGGCGGGGCGGGGCGCCCGGGGCGCCGCGGCTACTCGGCCGCGCGGGGGCCGGCCCGGGGGCCGGGGCGGGGCGGGCCGCAGGGCCGCGCGGCCCGTCCCCCTGGACCCCCGCCCGCCGGGCCCGCGGCCTCGAGGGGGCGCCCGGGCCTGCGCCGCGGACGGGCCTCCCGGGGCGGCCCCGAGCCCCGGCGCGGCGGAGAGACCCTCCCGGCGGGGCCGGGGACGGCGCGGAGTCCGGGCCCGCGGCCCTCGCGGCCGGCCAGGCGGGGTCGGCGGCGGCCTCGGCTGGTCCCTGCCGCGACGTCCGCCGGCCGCGAGCCGGGCCCGGGAGGCCGCCCGCGACGAGGGCCCCGGCCGCGCTGGCCCCCCGCCCCCCGCCCCCCGCCCCCCCCCGGGCGCCCGCCTGGCGCGGGACGTGGCCCGGGGAAGTGGCCGCGGGGAAGTGGCCGCGGGGCCTGGCCGCGAGGCCGCGGGCCTGGCCGGGACCTGCTGAGTCACGTTTGGCCGCGGAGCCCGGGTCGCGGGGCAGCGGGTCCTGCCCCGCGGGGGTCAGCAGGTGGCCGAGGCCAGACCCGACGGCCCTGGACGCCCCGCAGCCGGGAGCGTGGGAGGCCAGTGGGGATTCTGCTCACCGCGGGCGCCAGGCCCGGCTGGCGGGGGGCGGGGGGGCTCGGGGGGGCTGTTGCTCGTCTCCAGCAGGCTGCGGGGTCTCGTCCGAGTTAGAGGCCGCGGAATCGTGTGGGTGTCCGTCCACGGGCCAGGGCCAGGGCCGGCCGCGCCGGACTTTGCCCCGCGGACGTCAGATGGTCTCAGTGGACGTCCAGGGACTCAGCTTTTCAGTATTTCTTCACGTCAGCTTTAGGGTCACAGCAAAACTGAACAGAAAATACACAGATTTGTCGTATGACCGCCGTCCCAGCACGCGTGACACAGGACAGCTGTTTGTATTCGTGTCATTCTGCCCTTGAGGAAAGCACAGGGACTGTTTTCTGTATTTCTGTTATGCTTTGCATTTTACTTTATTAGAAAACACTTTACAATATAATGTCTCACGAGCCTTTCCGATCACTTGAAGGCAGGCAAGTGACCAATATAGCTGTCATTGACAAAAAATTAGAAGGCAAATAGATGTTTCCTTCAGTCCTGTGACAAGTCAGTTAAACTGAATACATGTCATTCATTCATTAATGTTTTTTCAGGCCCCACAAGCATTTTATTTCAGCTTGTAATGTCACTGGAAACTTAGATTTTTACATTGGACTCTACACTTCAGTTTAGCAATAAGTAATGGGTAATCTTATTTGAGACTAAAAATAGCTAATACTTGTTTCTCATAAATATTATTCCCACAAAACAAACATGCAAATATTTTCTTTTCTCTTAGCACAACAAGAGGATTGCCTGACTGCGCAGAGATGCAGAGCACTTCTAATCACTTGTGGCTTTTATCTGATATTTTAGGCCAAGGAGCTACTGCAAATGTCTTTCGTGGACGACATAAGGTTAGTACGAAAAAACTGAAGCCTTTTTAATTGCTGTATATATTTTCTTTTGAGAAGCACATTTACACTAACTGTGAAAAAGAAAATTCCTGCTTCCGTGGCAGTTACAACTTGTCTCAGAGGCAGTGGTTATTACCTACCCAATGATAGCAGACGTTGTGTGTTGGGAAGTGGAAAAAACTGGGAACTTGGTTGAAAAAAGGGATTGGGGAACATTAATATTGCACCTCTGGATTCTGTCCCAAGCTGGTCTTCCTGTGGCCTGGAGTGAGCTCATGAACCGAAGTTGAGTGTGGCATTGAGATGGTTGAGAAGCAGGTTTGTAGGGGAACCCGCAGAGGAGCCGCAGAGGTAGCTAATGTGCTGTGCTAAGCCCAAGGTGGACTGGAGTAAAGTGGGATTATCAACAAGGCGCCCATTTCGGAAAAAATGATGCCTGTCCCAATATAAGGTAATCGGAATTTGTTAGTGGAAGTGAGAATAGAGTGAAAGGCTCCTCCGAGAGACACTTGAAGAACCAAACAGATTTTGTGTCAGTCAGTATTAGGGGATGAAATTAAAGATAATTAAAATAATTTAAAGTGAGGAAATTTAAGATCATTTCAGTTTCATATCTGGGAAAGAAGATAGGAAAATAATGGAGTAAAAATAATCCTGTTAGCATGCAAATAATCGTACCCTGATCTTTCAGCACTGAATTTGTTTTGAGCTAAGTGATATTTGGAGTTTCCTTAATTCTTATTTTCACAAACAGGAGCTTTAAATGTATTCACTATGAAGGAATTTCTTCATATATTTCTATAACCTGGAGATCACCGGTCAGTTTTGTCAGTGACAATGAGCTGGGCCTTCGCAGGGGAAAGGACCGATTCTTCGAGGGGGAGGTTATGACGATAAACAGCGTCTGTGGCTTGTAGAGGATGAATCAGAAGTGTCACATGGACAGCTTTTAGCTTTTTTTCCCCTGCAGTTCTAGGTTTGTTCACAGGCCCTGGTTCCTTGATCAGCCTCACTGTGACCAAGCGTGGGTATTTCTGTCCTAGATATTTTGCCTTGTGCTCTGTGCCAAGGAGAGAAAATGGGGCGGTGACAGAGGATTCACCACTGAAACACATCTGACCCTGTCTTCCTGTGACCCAAATTAACTTTACAGATTGTAGTGATTGCTTCCCTGTGGGCCCGGTACTGTGGTGGGCCCAGTGAATGGAACTATGAATAGTGTATCATTCCCGCCCACAGAGTGGGTTTAGTAGCAGGGTGGCATTGGAAGGGACAGCAATTGCAAACTGGCCGAATGACCGGCAGTCCAGGATAGATGCAGTGAGGCATATTCAAAATGCCCAGCACTGCTGAATGTTTCGCATATTCTTTTTCTCTCGCCTCATGTAGTTGACATCCTTCAAGCAAGTGTCTGCACATAGTAGGCACTCCATATGTGTTTTTTGAAGGAAACGATAAAAGAATGAGTGAGGACAGATTGTACTAACCTGAAGTTCTTCGGAGGAAACAAAGATGTCCTTTATCCAATGTAGCTTGAAAAACTACGAATTCGATAAACATAAAATTGCTACCATCCACTTCAGTATTTAGTCCCAAGCAGACTTCCAGGGGGTGTGTTTTGAGGAAACATGTTTGTTTTCAGTGACATCAATTACAAAGGTTTCGGACTATACACAAAAAATCCTGCTTGTCCTTAGTAACTTTTTTTTTTTTTTAAGATTTATTTGTTTATACAAGAACTGGGGTACAGGCCAGATACTGGGAGGGTGAGAGGATTCACCAGAGACAGAGCAGGGAACTGAACAGGCAGACTGCTGAAATACACTGCTGAGGGGAGCAGTGGGCGAGACAGGAGAGGTCTGCAGCGCCATTTGGGACCCTTGCCTGCCGGGATCGAACCCACACTGCAGAGGCTGCGGACAGCTTCACAGCACGGCGCTCAACCGCCTGTGCCACCAGGGGAGGCCCTCCTTAGTAACTTTTTAAGATTTTTTTTTAAACAGTCCAGAGGTTCTCCCTCACACACACCGCGTCCCTCCCCCCACACACACCTTTTACGCCATGAATCCATAGGGGGCGGGTCCAGCAGCTCAGGCTCCTTTCCATATTTTCTCACAAACTGTACTCTGGGTGCTTCAGGCTGTTCCTTCAATTAAACCCAAGAACCGGGCCTCCCTGGTGGCACAGGCAGTTGAGCGCCGCACTATGAAGCTGTCCGTAGCCTCTGCAGCGTGGGTTCGATCCCAGCCGGCCAGCGAGAAGCCCACATGGTGCAGCAGACCTCTCCTGTCGCACCCGCTACTCCCCTCAGCAGTGTACTTTGCCAGTCTGCCTGCTCTGCTCCCCGCTCTGTCTCTGGTGAACCCTCTCACTCTCCCGCGCATCTGCCCTGTACCCAGTACTTGTATAAAAATAAATAAATCTTTAAAAAAAAACAAAAAAAAACACCCAAGTGCCTTTCTCTTTGGCTTCCTTTTTCTGATTATTTTCTTTCACAATTTCCAGGAAGCGCTCTCTGCGCTCAATATGAACATTCATTCTCTTGGCAGGAAGTGTGCCCCGTACTTGTCTACAGCGATGCCAGCTGTATGCTGGGGGACATTACTGACTTCCAGTTTTGCCATAGTAATGACATATCTGGGACATTTCTGTTTGAAAAATGCCCACCCCCTGGGTGTCTATAATACCACCTTTCTTACAGATTCGCGTGTGTGTGGCCAAAGGAACAACCCCATGTTTTCCAAGAGGCCTAGAGAACATAGAGCAGGTGCTTTCCTCTCCCGCTTCGTGTTGGTGTTTTGGTGACTTACTGGAAGGTGGCAGTTCCAGACAAAAGGCTGTTTAAGAATTTTTAAACATGATACTAGCTAAAATTGCTTAGAATACGCGGTCCTCAAGTTTATTATGTAGCGTTCACTGTGTACTAATCTCCTTAGTCTGTGGGAAGTGTGTGGATGGATGAGTATGTGTACAAGAGCTGTGGCAAAGTGAAGAGAAGAGGAGTGTGGGAAGGGCGTGCTGAGCCGCGCGTGCAGCTGTCTGTCCACGCAGATCTCTGCATGCCGTCAGGTCTGGTTTGACTTAGGGAGAAGTTTGCAGTTGCGTGAAGCTTGGAAAATACTGGCATTGATCACGATGGGTAGATTACAAAGAGGGTATTTTTTTCTCTGCTTGTTCCTATGTTAGGATTCTCCTGATTTTAAACTAAATTAAAGATAAGTGTCCTCAAGAAAAATCTCTGTTGATAGTAGAGCTTTTTGGCAGTGTCCTTAACCCTGGTTGAACAAGTGTGCATATAATGTGGTTCAATTCTTGTTCAGCTTTCCTAGTGTCTGACTGTAATCAGTGGCTCCATTCCTCCGGAAAGAATGCTTACATGTTACGTGTATGTGATTGGGGGTGGAGGGAGTAGTTCATAAATGGTAGTCTCCAAGCAACGATACAGTTTTAAGAAAAAGATATTTGATTCTGGAGTGAGTGGGATAGGGTGATGACTAAGTAGAGCGGACACCAAGGCAGAAACAACACAAGAGCCTTGAAATATTTAGGCAGTAGATGCTTGAACACCAGGCCCCCCAAAAATTATCTTTTTACCTGCTTCATAAATCTTGGATTATGGGAAAAGTAAGTTTAAAGTTTGAGAATCTGGACTGATTAGAAGGAAATGGAAGAAAGCCTCAAGGTGAATAAGAAGAGCGTGAGAATGTAATGTTTGCCTGAAATCAAGCATATATTTGCACCTGTAAGAATCACTCCTTACCTGCTTCAGTGTGCGTGATGCAGAACTGAGGTGGGGGCGCTGCAGGCCCCTCAGGAATGGAAACGCCTTTGATCCTCTGGAGGTGGCTGTAAGCAGCAGTCTGCCCTGGGGCACAGCTGCAGAGCCCACCCCTGGCTCCCCCACTGCACTGCACTGTACGAGGTTAGCTGGCAGCTCCTAAGAGCTGATGGTGTTACCAAACGCCAGCCTCAGTTTCCCTCAGCGGATGAAAGGAAGCAGAGTTTGAGGAAAAGGAAAGTGGTTCAATTTGTCGACAAATGAGGGCAGCAGACTCACGTCTGAAAGACCACCGTCCTGGGCCTCCCCGGTGGCGCAGCAGTTGAGCGCTGGGTTGCGAGGCTGCCCGCGGCCTCTGCGGCGCCGGTTCTATCCCCGGCTGCTCCCCGCCACCGGAGGAGGGTCCCACATGGCGCGCAGACCTCTCCTGCCGCCCGCTGCTCCCCTCAGCAGTGTCCTTCACTCCTTCTGCCTGCTCTGCTCCCCGCTCTGGCTCTGGTGAATTCTCTCACCCTCCCGCGTTTCTGACTGTACCCAGTGCATGTATAAACAAAAAACAAACAAATAAATAAAATAAAATAAAAACATGCCTCTATTTAAAAAAAAAAAAATTAGTTTTAAAAAAAAAATAAAAAAAAAATAAAAAATGAAAGACCACCGTCCTGCTCTTAGGTGGAGGGCAGGGGTGTTTATACAAAGGGGAAAAAAGTGGAGACGGGCGGGGGTCTGCAAAGGGGAGGGGAAGGGGTCGGCCCTGAGTCGGGCAGAAGCCAGCTTGTTTCTCTTCAGGGGCTGATGCTCACCTTCTCTTCCTGCAAATGCAGGATGCGGATAAATGTATCAAGCAAGGGGGAAATTGCAACCAATGGGGGAAAGACAAACTGTTTCTCTTGTTAATACCCATCAAAGACAAACCTGGACAAATGCCGCTCTGGTCGCTGGTAGCTGTATCAGTGCGATCACGTTGAGATTTTCACAAAAATTTCATTTATGAAATGTTTTCAGGCTCCTTTCCTGTTTTGATTAGCCTGACATTACTAAGCTTAGAAGAACCCATTGCGAGTTTCGATTTCTATTTCTTATCTAAATGACGTTTTACATTTGGAAGTATCAGAACACTAACCTGATATGTAAATGACTACCTTGCCATGTGTATCACAGTGGAAGCTTTTTTTTTTTTTCCAAGATTGATTTATGCATAAAAGAACTGGGGTGCAGGCCAGAGGTGTAGGCGATGAGGATTCACCAGAGACAGAGCAGGGAACAGAACAGACGGATCTACTGAAACACGCTGCTGAGGGGAGCAGCGGGGGAGTCAGGAGAGGTCTGCTGCGCCATGTGGGTAGCTGCCTGGCGGGGGATCGAACTCATGCTGCAGTGGCCTGTGAATAGCTTGATAGTGTTGAAACGTTAACCCCTTGCGCCATCAAGAAGGCCCCAGGAAGCTTTATTTGTAATATGAAAGAAAATAGCCTTTTCTACATTTCAAAGCTTTCAATTTGAAAGTACTATTGAATTGATTTTAACAAAAAAAGTCAGGAGTCAAAATGTTACAGAAATAAAACATTTTTTTCCCTTTTTTTTTTTTTAGAAAACTGGTGACTTATTTGCTATCAAAGTATTTAATAACATAAGCTTCCTACGTCCAGTGGATGTTCAAATGAGAGAATTTGAAGTGTTAAAAAAACTCAATCATAAAAATATTGTCAAATTATTTGCTATTGAAGAGGAGGTAAGTAAAGCCAAGCTTTAATTAATCTTATGCATATTATAGTTATTACAAATCAGGAGACATAATCTAATACAATTGATGAAATCAAGACGGCTGCCACTGAATATATTATTCTCCAGGACTCTTGACTAGATATAACAGTAGAAATGAAGTTTTATGCAATCAGAAAAAGTACTATAGGAAATAAAATATAGACTGTGTTTACCAGAATTATTTAAAAAATTAAGTGACATTAAATTGACATAATTATAAAAGAAACAGAGAAAGTCAAACAGTACAAAGATTTTGTCAAGGAATAAAAATTCCAGGACTTTAGAAACAAATATATGAAATATAAGAGAATTGATTTTATCAGTAACAGCAAAAACAAGAATGTCATTAGGAAACTTACCCAGAAATAATGAAAATAAAAATCTATTTTAATCTTTTTAGACATGGATAATCAACAAAATTGCACCTTTTGAACACAGTTTGGCAGTTCATGCTCCTGGTAATAATGATTTCATTACTTTCTAGGAAAAATCAGAAATGTAAATTTTTGTTTTATGCACAGATGTTCTTTGCTGTGTGTGTATAATAAAGAATTGTTAAATGAGTTAGAATGTGTGATGGATAGTTACCTGCAGTGGGCCAGACTTGAGCTTAAGAGCCTCACCTGCTCAAGACTTCTGGCTCTAACTGCAGAAGTGTTTGACAAACCGCACAGTGAAAGAACAGTTCCCACGAGGATGCACTCATTCAGACACTCACTCACTGCACCCTCGGCCCAGCCCAAGCCGCGACCGGCATTTCAGACCAGCTGGCTGCAAAGTCACAGGTTGCCATCACCACCACAGATTTGATGATTTGCTAGAAAGTTGAATTACTCAGAGCTAAGGGAAAAACTATACGTACAATTATAACAAAAAAGGGATACAGTTTAGAGCTACCGAGAGGAAGAGCCTCCTGGGGTCACATAAAGGATGTTCCAAATATGTGAATCTTCGTCATCTTCAGTGACACATTCTTCTAGCATGGATGTGTGACAGTGTGCACAGAATACTGCCAACCTTAGAGATTCACCTGAGCCTTTGGTGTCCAGTTTTTACTGGCACTCAGTCACGTCCTGCCTGCCTGGCTGACATTTAGTCTCCAGCCCTCCCCAGCTGATCTACATATTCTGACACCCCATCATAAATCACATTGTTAAACTGTCATGTGATCAAGGTCCCGGGTGAACAAAGACACTTTTATGAGACCAGACATTTCAGGGGCCTGGAGAACACTTCCTGTAGCCAAGGGCGAAAGCCAGACTTCTTTTTAGATAAAGTGAATTCTTTACTGCACAGTAATAAATAGAAATATATACCAAAATTTTAATCACCTGGGAATATGCTGAAGTGTACCATTTGGCAAGAAGATCAAAGTTTGCATGTGTGTGTGTGTGTGTATGTATATATAGATGTAATATATACATATGTATATAGTATGATACTGATGATTGTGTATTACAATGTAGAAATTGTGGTATGTATTTATAATGTGATTTGATACATAGTAAGAAGAGTAAAAGGAAATATACCAAAACTGTAGCATAATTAATCTCTGGAATTACAGATATTTCCCAAATTTTCTTTTTTTAAATATATATTTCCCAAATTTTCAACCAAAAAATCAAAGTTTAAAACAAATCAGCAGCTCCTACAAATAAACAGTAGATGACCATAAGAGGGGCCACTCACTGTTCTGCCACCCATTTGTTTTTAGGGCTGGAGCTACATTCCTTGAGGTAAAAGCACTTGTCGAGAGAAGAATGACAAGTGTTTCAAGAGATTTGGTAGGAGAGCAGTGTCCTAAATGTACTATTATATATTAGAAATTAAAGCTAATTTTAACAGAACCATTATAATATTGTAACAGTGATTTTCTAGTTCTTATTTGGCCAGTTTTCTCTGTCGTTTGATTGTCCTTGAAATCAAATTCAACTTTTTAATAGGAATTTCAACAATGTTAATTCTTACATGTGTACAGTCAACAGATACTGAATGAATTCCAGGTAGAGCAATTCAAAGTGCCTTCATCATAGCAAATTCTACATTTAAATGAAATCAGATAAGTACTGTCATAAAATAAAATCTGTTTTTCATATTGTATACCAATCAGTGCTTTCTTCTTTTCCCAGACAACAACAAGACATAAAGTACTTGTTATGGAATTTTGTCCATGCGGGAGTTTATACACTGTCTTAGAAGAGCCATCTAATGCCTACGGACTACCGGAGTCTGAATTTTTAATTGTTTTGCGAGATGTGGGTATGTTTATATGATTTTTTATATATATGTAGATGTAATTTAATGTCATAAGAATTTTAAAAGGCAAATTTCTTGCATTTAAAAACACTTTATGCAATGCTTTCTTAGATATGACACCGAAAACGCAAATATAAAAAGAAAAAAGGTAGATAAATTGGACTTCATCAGCATTAAAAACTTGTATTTCAAAGGATAATATCAAGGAAGGGAAAAGACAATTCATAGAATGAGAATATATTTGTAAGTCTTATATCTCTTAAGAATTTTATCCCAACTACTCAACAATAAAACGACAATTTTTAAAATAGACAAAAGATTTTTTTTTTAATTCTTTTTTTTTTAATAAGATTTATTAATACAAGCGCTGGGTACAGTCAGAAGCACGGGAGGGTGAGAGAATTCACCAGAGCCAAAGGGGAGAGCAGAGCAGGCAGACTGACGAAGCACACTGCTGAGGGGAGCAGTGGGAGGCAGGAGAGGTCTGTACGACATGTGGGACCCTCGCTGGCGGCCGGGGATCGAACCGGCATTGCAGAGGCTGCGGGCAGCTTCGCAACCCAGCGCTCAACTGCTGCGCCACTGGGGAGGCCCTAGACAAAAGATTTGATTGACATTTCTCTAAAAAAGATACAAATAGCCAACAAATACATTAAAAGATGCTCAACGTCAGTCATTAGAGAAATACCAATCAAAACCACAATAAGATGCCACTCCACACTCAGCAGGATGGCTCAAGTGGAAAAGACGAAACAAGTGTTGGCAAGGATGTGGGGAAATTGGAACCCGCATATACTGTTGGCTGCATGGTAAGAAGATCCAGCCACTTTGGAAAGTAGTGTGGCAGCTCCTCAAAAGGTTAAACACACACTTCCCATATGACTTCGTGGTTTTATTACTGTGTGTTTACCTGAAAGAATTTAAAAAACATATTCGCACAAAAGTGTACACACTGTGTTCATTATAGCCAACAATGGAAACAGCCACGGATAAAATATATATCCCTACAATATATAACATTCATAAATAGAAAAATAGTGATACATGCTGTCATGTGGACGAACCTTGAAAATTATGGTAAGTGAAAGAGAAACAGATGCAAAAGGCCAAAATATTTGCATGATTCCTTTTATATGAAAGATCCAGAATAAGCATGTCTGTAGAAACAGAAGCTAGGTTAGTGGTTGCCCGGGTTTTGAGGGAGGTGGGCTTGAGGAGTGACAACTCATGAGGGATTTCTTTCTGGCAAAATGAAAATGTTCTGAAATTAGTGATGATAGTTATATATACTCTACTAAAAACTACTGAATTACAGGCTTTAAGATGAATTTTATATCTCAATAAAGCTGTTATTTAAAAAAAAAAAAAAAGGACCTCCCTGGTGCCACAAGGGGTTAAGCAATGCACTGTGAAGCAATCCACAGCCTCTGCAGCACGAGTTCAATCCCTGGCTGGCCAGGGAGGTACCCACATGGCACAGCAGACCTCTCCTGTCTCCCTGCTGCTCCCCTCAGCAGTGGATTTCGGTCAGTCTGCCTGTTCTGCTCCCCATTCTGTCTCTGGTGAATCCTCTCACCCCCGCATCTCTGGCCTGTACCCTAGCTCTTGTATGCATAAAGAAATGTCTTAAAAAAAAAAAAAAAGAATATGGCAAACAAAGGGAATAACATCTTTGGAAGGAAATGAAACAATATTTAAGGAATAGGGACAGCGAGTGATAAAAAAGGTAATGGGAATTCTTGAACTTGACACTGGATGTCATGTGGTGAGGCTTAGGTAAGGACAAAATGAGAAAGAAATAATAAATGCTACAGCCTGTTTAATCAAATAGAAGTTATAATCACTGTTTTCCTATGTATACTAGTAGCCTCAAATTTTCATAATTGTACCTTGATATTCCTAAACTTGCTTTCACGTGTTATAGTCGGACATTTGTCTATCAATTGTCAAACGAATGTTTTAAACTATCACTCAGGGACACTCCCTATCATTTAGCCCAAGCAGCTTAATTTCGACAATCTAGTTGCCTTCCCCCTTCATAAAAAAAAAGGAGGGCCTCCCCTGGTGGAGCAGCGGTTGAGCACTGGGCTGCGAGGCTGCCCACAGCCTCTGCAGCGCCAGTTCATTCCCAGCTGCCGGCGAGGGTACCACAAAAAAAAAATTAATTAATTAATTAATTTAAAAAAAGGAAAATGACCTTTTTCAAATAGCACTAAACATATGAGAAGTATATTTTTATGGAGAGAAATCTGACGCCTGTCCTCTTTTTATTACATTTTTACTATGTTATGTATTAAGTCCATCTTTGGGGCATTTATTTCTCAAGGCAAGTGTGGTGAAAGGTTGATATTCTATGGTGAAAAGTTGATGTCCTCCTTGGGAATCGTTACTCTTCAGCTTGGGCAGATGCCATGTGTATGACCAGCAGTAAGTCAGGACCATGCTGGTTTCAGCAGCACACACCAGTATGGCCCCTGCACAAGGATGACAGACAGATTCATGAAGTGTTCCACTTTTTCTTTTAAGTGACTCAGGAAGTCACATGTGCAAGATCATTTTGTTACATTTATTTAAGAGATTATTCTCATTTAATACCCGAAAGATTGGGCTCTTAGCATTTGAGAGAAAATAGACTCTTATTGAGCCTTATATGCTGAAATTCGTTATACTCAAATAAGATGTAAAATATTAATACCATCTATTACTTCTTTCATAAAAATGACTTCGGACCAGCTGTGGAAAAACATATAGACAACAGCCCTCTCCTGTCTCGCCCACTGCTGCTCTTTGCAGTGTATTTCAATAACTCCACCTTCTCTGTTCGCAAAAAGAAAAGAAAAACCTCGTCAGTATGAATGAATTAAGCCAGTGAGTTTAACATGCACGTGCACAATAGCTGTTTACATTATGATTTCCTTTGTTTGACGTTGTTGAAGTGGGTGGAATGAATCATCTCCGAGAGAACGGCATTGTGCACCGAGACATCAAGCCGGGAAATATCATGCGTGTCATCGGGGAGGACGGACAGTCTGTGTACAAACTCACAGATTTTGGTGCAGCTCGAGAGTTAGAAGATGATGAGCAGTTTGTTTCACTGTATGGCACGGAAGAATACTTGGTAAGCCATGCGTCACGGATAATTTACTTAAACTAAAGCCTGGGTAACTGGTCAACCACTTAACTATAAAATGTTTTATGTAACTTTTATGACAAATTTTCTATTCATGAAAATGGTGTGTGATGAGGGAATTAGGTGCTGTTTTAGAAGAGTACTGAAAACACACACACACAAAGAAATGCCTTTTGACTTGAAATGCAAGAATGCTAGAAAAACTTTGTGGTTCACAGGGTTTATGTAGGTGTGTTAGTGTGAAGTAAAGAAATATTTAAAACACTTGGGGATATGTTTTTAAATAATTTAACAAAACAGTTATAATACATACCTAGCAGTAACTCTTCATTGCTATGGGTTTGGTCTTGAAAATCTTAGATTCTGTGGCTTTATGCAGAATATTCTAAGTCTGACATGAATTAAGATGTCTTAAATGATTCTCCTATCAACATAAAACCCCAGGTAATGCTTTAGTTACATTTTGATACTCTATTAATAAGAGTACCTAAAAATGGATTGCATTCATTCAATACATATTTATGGAATGCCTGCTATATACCAGGCACTATCCTTGATCTTGGGACTTCAGTGGTAAGCCATATACATACAATCTGCTCTTATGGAGCCCACATTTTAGTGGGGAAAATCAGCAGTTAACAAGTAGGCAAGTAGGGGCCTCCCTAGTGGCACAAGGGGTTAAGTGCAGCACAAGTTCCACTCCCAAGCCAGGGAGCTGACCCACATGGTGCAGCAGACCTCTCCTGACTCGCCCGCTGCTCCCTCAGCAGTGGATTTCAGTGCATCCGCCTGTTCTGCTCCCCACTCTGTCTCTGGTGGATCCTCTCACCCCCTGCACCTCTGGCCTGCACCCCTGCTCTTGTATGCATAAATGAATAAATCTTTTTAAAAAAAAAGCAAGTAAATAAGGTAATTTCAGATAACTGAAATGTTGGGAAGGCATACAGTAATAAGATAAAGAGTGACTAGAATGGGAAAGATAGCTAGGGAACGCCTCCTTTAAATTCTAAATGGAGGGGCCTCCCTGGTGGTGCACGGGGTTAAGATGCAACCTGTGAAGCTCACCGCAACCACTGCAGCACAAGTTCGATCCCCGGCCAGGGAGCTACCCACAGGGCGCAGCAGACCTCTCCTGACTCACCTGCTGCTCCCCTCAGCAGTGGATTTCAGTCAGTCTGCCTGTTTTGCTCCCCACTCTGTTTCTGGTGAATCCTCTCACCACCCCCCCCCAAAAAAAAAACCATTCTGGCCTGTACCCCAGTTCTTGTATGTATGAATAAATCTTTAAAAAAAAGTAAAAGCTGAATTCTAAATGGAATGACTCCGGATAAGAGAAAGAAGTCACACCGAGACTTGGGAGAAGAGGCGTGATTGTAAGTGGAGAGACCTGCAGAGGACACAGCCCTGGGCTGGGAGAGAACAGCTGTCTGCCGGGCACGTAGGGAGCAGAGAAGCAAGTGGTAAGAGTTGAAATTGGAGAGGTAAGCCAGGGCCAGCAGATCACACAGAACAGTCTTTTGAAGTCTGTCAGACCCACACTCCTTTTTAATAATGTTTTTGCAATGTTCCTTTCAGTCTCCTAAATGAAATTCATAGGTGATATAAGTATACCCTGCATACCTAATTAAAAGAACAGGGCCTCCCTGGTGGCGCAGGGGGTTAAAGCACCATACTATGAAGCAATCCTCAGCCTCGGCAGCACGAGTTCGATCCCCAGCCGGCCAGGGAGCAACCCACATGGCGCACCAGACCTCTCCTGTCTTGCCCGCTGCTCCCCTCAGCAGTGTGTTTCAGTCGGTCTGCCTGTTCTGCTCCCCGCTCTGTCTGTGGTGACTCCTCTCACCCCCCGCATCTCTGGCCTGCACCCCAGCTCTTGTATGCATAAATAAATGCATCTTTTTTTAAAAAAAGAATAGTATATCTTAATAATAAAAGAAAATATAATAACAGTTATTAATATGTCAAAATTTAGAACTAACTTCACTAGCAAGCAAAAGTAGTAGTCAGATGCTTGCCCATCTATGTAATATCATCTCAAATGCAAGTACTTTGATAACTTGTATATCCTATTCATGAGTGACGTTACAAGTTGTGGGGTTGTCACTGACATGATTTTCCAAAGCAGTAAATTGATAAAACTTCTTGGTAAAGTTTCTCACAACACAAAATATACTTACAGGTAGCTGCACTCTTCCAGCTACAGAAGGACTTTATGTCCAGAAATACTCTGTTTACATGTAAAATGAAGGTGATTTTCTTTTTTTTAAAAGATTTATTTATTTATTTATACAAGCACCGGGTACAGTCAGAAGTGCGGAGGGTAAGGGAATTCGCCAGAGCAGGGAACAGAACAGGCAGACTGACAAAATAAGCTGCCGGGGGGAGCAGCGAGCATGGCAGGAGAGGTCTGCGCGCCATGTGGGACCCTCGCTCGGCAGCTGGGGATTGAACTGGCGCTGCAGAGGCTGCGGGCAGCTTTGCAGCCCAGCACTCAACCGCTGAGCCACCGGGGAGGCCCCAATGAAGGTAGATTCTTACACAGACATGTCATGTTTGCAGATACCGGGATGTTCACCAGGCATGCGGGTCTGAGAAGCACCTCTGCTCTCTGCCCATCCAGCACCAGTAAACTTTCCCAATTGCTGTGATGCCCAAAACAGAGTCCTGTGCCAGCCTTCACAGGGCTGACCCCCTGTCTCCAGCCAGTAGCCTTTCACATGTCTGCCCGCCACCCACAGAAGGGTGCTGGAGCTGTCGCCAGGTCAGAACCTTTCTGCCTAGCTGCAGGGCCTATACCCGCCGCCACAGACACAGAGCAGAGGGCCTTTGGTGCAACTTCACTGTTTAAAAATCTTCAAGTCAACGGTATATAATCTTCATAAAAGAAAATAACAGGAGTCTAAGCATTTTTAAACCCTAGTTATTTTCTACCAAGCTAAACTGTCCGTTAAAATCTGTGTCTGAATTTATAAGCTCCTTGGCCATGGCCTGTAAGATCCTTCTGTGCCGCGGACCAGCACAGCAGTAGACGATGAGGCCACCTCAGGGTTGAGAGAAGCGTGCAGGGTGGTCAGGGCGTCGGTGAAAGAAATGACAAACAGACGCAATTCAAGAGTGAAAATCTGAGTGTAATTTTCTTTGAGTTTGTGACCAATATATATATATGTTTTCCAAAGGCACAGGGACAATGAATATCAATGAAATCAGCTTGCTCATGGGCTCAGTCTATCACCATCAGGGAGGTGATCTACATAACAAGCAATGATTTTTGTAGAAGAAAGAAGGAAGTTTAGAAAGACAAATAAGGGATTAAAGTTTGTAGTTCTAGAAAGACGGGATAAGATTTTTAGCATTCTTGTAGTGGTTCCTGGTGGTCGTTATCTTTTGATAAGCTTCTGTCTTTTCAGGGAACTTCCGCTGTGCTTCCTCTGCTTCAGGGTGTTATGCTGTTCTCCCCCTGCGCGCTGGTTGCCCAGCCGGACCTAGGGACCGTGGTGAAAGCCATTCCTAAAGGTCACTGCAGGGGGAGGTGCAGCAGGTATGTTGGGTTTTGCTGTTCTTCCCCTGCGCGCTGGCGGACCTAGGGAATGTTAACCCTAAAGGTCACTGCAGGGGGAGGTGCAGCACTTCTGTTTTCTGTGGAGTGGTGTCTTCCCTGCCCAGGGTGTGTTTAACATCCGTCCAGCTGCTTACCTCAGTGGCTTGATGCCCGTTGAACCCAGGCAAGCTAGTCCTCTGAATTAATTCTAGGAAATTTAATTTTCATCTCAAGAGCCTACAGGACTTGCTCTGATGGATTGCATGTGAGAAATGAGGGGGCAAATCAAAACTGCTTGACAGGTTTTGGGTGTGCACACCTGGAGAAGTGTTAGTAGTGTTTACTCCCAGGACAGAAATTAGACGGAAAAGATTGGAGTGGGAAGACCAGGAATCCGTTAAATTCGTGCTACTTTTTAGACATTCAAGAAAATAGTGGGATATAGGAACCCAAAGCTCAGGGTAGGAGCTGGCTCTGGGGACTGAATTGTGTGGATGATAGTGGTGCCGTGGGCCTGAGTGGGAGATGAGGTGGTCCGTGTGCACAGCTGTTTTGAGGAGTTTGCTGTGGGGCCAAGTCAAGGCTTTTTTTTTTAAATGGGATCTAGTAAACTGTGTAAGCTGAAAGAGTGGTCTACTAGAGAGGGGGGAATTGATGCGTAACATAAGAGAGGTAAGTGCAGAAATGGATTCCTTGAGCTGCCGTAGGATGGCGTCTGCGGCCTAGACAGACGCGATGGCCTTTCATAGGAGCAGGGCTGGCAAGTCTGGCGCGTAGCCTGGAGTGTGGTCACAGGTTCAGGTAGGTTGGTTTGCAAAAAGGCTTCAGGGAGAAGTTGATCTCTGATTGTTTCTACTTCCTTGTTGAATTGTGAAGGGAGGTCATCAGAATTAAGGCCAAAGAGGTTTTAGTAGCTATGTAAGGGAAGAAAGAAGGTATGAAATAGTCTTTTCAGATTGGAGAAGTGAAATTATTAGGAAAATATAGAATTTCTAGGCATTATTGAATACTTTGTGTGTGTGTGTTTGTGTGTGGGAGTGAGTGTATAATGTGTTACAGCAGAGTACAAATTAGCAACTGTTCTCTTCCCCTTTCAGCACCCTGACATGTACGAGAGAGCAGTGCTGAGGAAAGACCACCAGAAGAAATATGGCGCCACGGTGGACCTCTGGAGCATCGGGGTGACGTTCTACCACGCGGCCACAGGGTCGCTGCCATTTAGGCCGTTTGAAGGGCCACGCAGGAATAAGGAAGTGATGTAAGTGGTTTGTCCATCTAAAATTAGAAATAATTTTTAAATGTATTCCCAGCTTATTTTGTTTCATTTTGTTATAGGTGTGCCCTAAGGAAAATTGGTTTAGCCATCATTTTTTATATTTGTAAGCTATTTGATTTTAATAAGAGTGTGCCTTTGTAAAAGTATACAAGCATGATTTCCATTTTTAGTTTAAATATCTTAAATACAAAGTAAAAAATGGCATCCAGTCTTTGGGCTGTCACTAAAAATGTACTATTTTCTGTATTGTATTTCAGCACACTTTCTATTTTTTTGCTTACTTTCATCAGTCTTTCCTCCAAACAACTGAGAAAAATAGTATTTCTGTAGAGGATACAACCATTACTGAATCTAAAAGAAATATAATTCTCATCCTGAACTGATCTTATATCTTTCACCATTTCAAAAATAACATTTAATATAATATTAATTTTTTTCCAGTGTTGCAGGTTATTCCAGAGACTGAAGACACTTTTCATTTTATTTCTTCCTTTTTTAAAAAGATTCATTTATGCATACAAGAGCTGGGGTACAGGCCAGAGATGCGGGGGGTGAGAGGATCCACCGGAGACAGAGTGGGGAACAGAACAGGCAGAATGACTGAAATCCACTGCTGAGGGGAGCAGCGGGCGAGTCAGAAGTCTGCCTCACCATGTTGGTTGTTCCCTGGCCGGCCGGGGATCAAAGTTGTGCAGAGGCTGCGGATTGCTGCATAGTCCCATGCTTAACCCCTTGCGACACCAGGGAGGCCCGACTGAAGACATTTTTCTAATATGTTACACATTCACGTACTTCCAGAATTACTAGGAAATAATTACTATGTATATTATCATTTATGCAAATCAAATAATGGAGAAAGAGAGACCAATTCCTAGGTGTGAAATTTATTATAAAGTATATTCATGTATTGACCTCATCTTTTTATTTTAAAAGAAATCAGTGAGTGGCCTTGCTTCATGAGAAACAGCCAGCCCACATGTACATAAAGCCATGAAATTTTGAGTGGTATTCAGTGAATGATTTGGGACAGTAGCTCACTATAAGCTGAACATTTCATCCATTCTTTTATATTAGCTTTTTCCCTGAGATCTTTATCTGCCCCTGCCTTTTATAAGCATATGTAATTTGAAGTAATAATCACAAATGTGAAAATACAATCTGTAATCTTTTCTCAGAAAAATCAGGGAGAAGTATGTTTCTCCTTTTGTTGGTCTGAGGAAGTAAAACCAATTCATCTGATACAGTGACTTTTTTTGTTTTGCAGCAACATTATGTTTTTTATTAACCATATTTCATTGTAGACATTGATTGATTCCCTATTGAGAACCTGAGAACATCAGCGTTAGCTATTAGTTTTACATGATACAGTGACTTTTGCTAAAATCTGGGTATGTAACTGTTTTCCGGAAAGGATAATGTATGTTTATGGGAAGAGACATCCATTAACTGTACTGATGACTTGATATGGCATCATCTTGGCCCTGCTTTACTGCAGTGTCCTTTTCATAAACTCTCTTCATTAATGAAGACTGAGAGTCAAATTTATTTTTCTCGTTAAACATAAATTGTACCTAAGGGCCTCTCTGGTAGCGCAAGGGGTTAAGCACTGCACTGTGAAGCAATCCGCAGCCTCTGCAGCACGAGTTCGATCCCCGGCCAGGGAGAAACCCACATGGCGCAGCAGACCTCTCCTGTCTCCCCACTGCTCCCCTCAGCAGTGGATTTCAGTCACTCTGTTCTGCTCCCGGCTCTGTCTCTGGTGGATCCTCTCACTCCCTGCATCTCTGGCCTGCACCCCAGGTCTCTCTCTCTCTCTTTTTTTTTTTTTTAAAGATTTATTTATTTATTTATACAAGAACGTGGGTATAGTCCAGATGCGCGGGAGGGTGAGAGAATTCACCGGAGACAGAGCAGGGAACAGAACAGGCAGACTGACGAAATACGCTGCTGAGGGGAGCAGTGGGTGTGACAACAGAGGTCTGCCGCGCCATGTGGGACCCTCGCCGGCTGGCAGGGATCAAACCAGCTCTGCGGAGGCTGCGGACAGCTTCACAGTGCAGCGCACAACCGCCTGCGCCACCAGGGGAGGCCCAGTACCCCAGCTCCTGAATGCATAAATAAATAAATCTTTTAAAAAAAAACAAAAAACATAAACCATAGGTAACAATAAATCATACTTTTGTTTTCATAGGTAAGTTCTAAAGCAATATCAGCCTTTTATACTTCACTAGAACTGGATTAAATAAAGTGTAGTGTTTTCTAATAAAGGAAACATAGAACTCATAAGCAACTAGGAATACTGGGTGATTTTTGTCTCACCACCATGTGAGCAAATAGATTATTAGAAGATTTTATTTGTATAAAACTCAACTTTTTATGAATACTTTTTATGCTAATAAAAACTTTAAAGGTGCTTGAAGTAATAACGACTATTTTTCCTTACTAATGAATGATGCATTCATCTCACTTTTTAGCAATATTAATCCCCCAGTTTGAATGAATGTGTTTTTATATATGGATCTTCTTAAAATTAAACTTTTTAAAGAATTTGTAAACATTCCCTTAAGAATTCTGCCATTTGGGCCTCCCCTGGTGGTCAGCGGTTGAGCCCTGGGCTGCGAAGCTGCCTGCAGCCTCTGCAGCACCGGTTCAATCCCCGGCCACCTGTGAGGGTCCCACATGGCGCGCAGACCTCTTCTGCCGCCCGCTGCTCCCCTCAGCAGTGTACTTCGGTCCTTCTGCCTGCTTTGCTCCCCGCTCTGGCTCTGGTGAATTCTCTCCCCCTCCTGCGCTTCTGACTGTACCCAGTGCTTGTATAAATAAACAAATAAATAAATCTTTAAAAAAAAAAAAAAAAGAATTCTGCCATTTAGTCTACTCACTTTCCTTTTCTTGCATTAATTTCACCTATCTCTGCTAATTTCACCTATCTCTGCTAATATCCTTCTCACATGAATGCAACTTATTTTTCACATTAATCTCCTTCCTTTGAAAAATGTCTAAGACAGAAATCCTGGCAACCTCTGCTTAAGGAAGCAGTAAGCTGTCTAAATCAGTTTGCTGGTTTATCCTACTTTTTTAAAAAAGAAAACAACTATATTTGCTCAGAACACATGTATCTAGACATTAAAAAAAATTTTTAAGATTTATTTATTTATACAGGCACTGGGTACAGCTAGAAGCGCGGGAGGGTGAGAGAATTCACCAGAGCCAGAGCAGGGAACAGAACAGGCAGACTGACGAAATACACTGCTGAGGGGAGCAGTGGGTGGCAGGAGAGGTCTGCACGCCATGTGGAACCCTCGCCAGCGGCCGGGGATCAAACCGGCACTTCAGGGGGCGCGGGCAGCTTCACAACCCAGCACTCAACCACTGCGCCACCGGGGAGGCCTGACATTAAATTTTTTTAATGTCATATATAATGTCTATGAAGTTATATAAGACTTTTGTTATAACACTTAAATTTGCGTCTGGCCACAAGTATTCTTGAAGGCATAAAGTTTTCCTGTTTCCCTACTTTCAGGTTTTGTTTAGAAAAGTGTTGAAACCTCAAAGGCTACTTTGATTAATTTGCTGTATCATCACAGTAGTCTTGATTCTCCACCCATCTCTTTTTTTTTCAGATTATCTTTATTTGTATCACCTTCATCAAGAATCAAATTAACTTGGGCTTTTAGTTTTGCTATATATATCTATTCATATATGTATATACATTTTTTCACATGTAAGGAGTTTTTCTTGGTGTGTTGTGCTATGTATATAACCTTTTAAAAAAAAAGTGTGTTGCTCCATGGCGTGCAGACTTCTCCTGCCGCGCCCACTGCTCCCCTCAGCAGTGTGTTTTGTCAGTCTGCCTGTTCTGTTCCCGCTCTGGCTCCGGTGAATTCTCTCACCCTCCCGCGCTTCTGACTGTACCCAGTGCTTGTATAAATAAATAAATAAATCTTTAAAAAAAAAAAAAAGAGTGTTGCTCATTTTGCAGGAATTTGATAGTCCGGTTGACTGTGCCTTTGATTGATATGCATAAGAGGAATCAGATGTTTTTTCCCATAGTGTAGAAACATTCTGTAACATAACTTTTTGTGTTTACTGGATTTTTTCAGATGGAAAAAGTTATTATTTTTATTGTGAACATCAAAATGCTGTTAGATGGCACTCTGAGATCCCAAATGAAAACTAATTATGGCATATGTATAAAGTAATCGAACGGCCACTGCACTGCTTCGGCCAGTCAGATTCAAAGTGTCTTGATTGTTTCAGAGCTCCTGTGAGCATCAGTCACAGTTTCATCTAGCAGCTGATTGTAGGTGCAGCTGAGGACATACTTCTGGAAAAACCGTTGATAGGAAATGCACTAATGAACTGCTTATTTTATTCTGCTTCTATTCCTCCCAAGGTACAAAATAATTACTGGAAAGCCTTCTGGTGCAATATCTGGGGTGCAGAAAGCAGAGAATGGACCAATTGACTGGAGTGGAGACATGCCTGTTTCTTGTAGCCTTTCTCGGTAAGAAGACACTTGGTGTGTTTTTTGTTTTTGTCTTTTTTATTATTAGATGTTATTGATGTATTTGCTTTGATTTGTGTTGTTTGTGACAATGTAGAGTTATCCTGATCTATGTAAAAAATTTCACCACATCTCTGTGGGGATGTAAGTAAGGCATACTGTTCAAAGATTGCTAATCCCTTGTCTTGGAGTTCTGTGCAGTGTGGGACTCCAGCTTAGGACCTTGGTGTCTTTTGTACTGACCCTCATTTTGACAGACCACAAATAGAGATATAGATAGGAGTAATTAGTATTAAACACTCAAAGTTAATATTATCTTTGTTTTTTTAAAGTATTCAGATTATTCAAAAAGTGAGAAATAATCATTTTTAAGAACTTTTTTCAGCATTTCAGGTGTTCATATGGGTCTTCTTTAATTTACCAGCCAGGGCTCAAAAAAATTTACATTGTCAGAAATGAATCTTGTTATCACAAAGTCTAAGATAAAAGGTATTAAATACAGAAATTATTTTAGATTTTACTCTGGAAATACATGTTTAGAATTTTTTATTATTAAATTAATTTCCATTTTTCCTAAGTGTGGTAATTGATTAATCCACAAGTGAACATATATAAGTTATGATTAACAACTTAATTCTTATTATAATATGTGGGTGCTTTTTTGTATGACTTTTAACATATAAGATAAATAAATGTGTTTATTTAAAAGCAGTACATATAATATGTACTTATAAATACAACATTTATAAGTGACATTGTATAAAACAAGCTAATAAAATATCACCTATAGGCCTCCCTAGTGGCGCAAGGGTTTAAGCACCACACTGTGAAGCAATCCGCAGCCTCTGCAACACAAGTTCGATCCCCGGCTGGCCACGGAGAAACCACATGGCAAAGCAGACCTCTCTTGTCACGCCCGCTGCTCCCCTCAGCAGTGTATTTCAGTCAATCTGCCTGTTCTGCTCCCCACTCTGTCTCTGATGAATCCTCTCACCGCCCCCCCCCCACACACATATCTGGCCTATAACCCAGCTCTTGTATGCATAAATAAATAAATCTTTTTAAAAATATATATCACATATATATGCCCATATACAGATTATATGTGTATATATATATATTGATTACTATAGATGCTCATGTAAACCAAGATTTCCGCTGCTAAAATAATTTTTGAAAAAAAATTCGTTTTCATTTTTTGTTGTTTAAAAAAAAATTTTTCAAAATAAAATTGTATCATGTAGCTAGGATTACCCTGAGAAATTCATCATGTTGAAGAGCTGAAATTTAATATTATAATAGTGATTTGTGTTAAATTTTGATTTAGGAAATACTCATTTGGGAGATGTCAAGCAAAGCTGATAAAATTTAAAGGAAATGAATACTTTCTGTTTACCATTATATTGTTGAAACTCAGAATCTCTAATTTAACACCCTGAACTACCAGTTGTGTATGCAGGAGAATAACAGATTTTATCTATCTAATTAATCTTCGGCAAACCAAGTTATCAATTCCCTGATAAAAGTTGCTTAGTTAGCAGAAAGTATATGATTTTTTTTTAAGATTTATTTATTTTTTGAAATGGTTTTCCTCCTAAAGGACATTTTCTCTTTTTTTTTTTTTTTTTTAAGATTTATTTATTTATTTATACAAGCTCTGGGTACAGTCAGAAGCGCAGGAGGGTGAGAGAATTCACAGGAGCCAGAGTGGGGAGCAGAGCAGGCAGAAGGACCGAAGGACACTGCTGAGGGGAGCAGCGGGCGGCAGGAGAGGTCTGCGCGCCATGCGGAACCCTCTTCCAGTGGCCAGGGAGCAGCCAGGGATCGAACCGACACTGCAAAGGCTGCGGGCAGCTTCGCAATCCAGCGCTCAACCGCTGAGCCACCGGGGAGGCCCAAGATTTATTTATGCATACAAGAACTGGGGTACAGGCCAGAGGTGTCAGCGGGTTAGAGGATTCCCCAGAGACAGAGTAAGGAGTAGAACAGGCGGATCTACTGAAATCCACTGCTGAGGGGAGCAGTGGGGGAGACAGGAGAGGCCTGGGGCGCCCTGTGGGTAGCTCCAGGACTGGGGATTGAACTCATACACAGTGGCTGCATAAAGTTCCATAGTACTGAGACTGTAACCCCTTGCGCCACCAGGGAGGCAATGTGATTCTTTTTTTTCCCCAATAGTAAGGGCCTTACATATCATAAACCAGCAATGAAAATAACTATCAAAAATGTAACAACTCAGAAAAAGATAATCATCACTTTCTTGGATGTATTAGTCACAGCCAGAGAGCACATGAGCAAAGTCTTAATTCACCTTATTTGAAGGCAAAGGTTATTTTTGATTGAATTGGCACTAATTGATTACTAGTTGATTATGGTAATATGCTTCCTAAGCAAATATTCTATAAAAGGCAGATAAATTCAACAAAATTTTATATAGAGGAGAATCAGTTTGAGGACATTAGAGACACTGAAATGAAAGCGCATATATACAGTGTTAATATGTGTTTGAAAAACTAAGGAAACTTGGGAGGAAGCAGCACAAAGAAAATCATCAGTAAACTATGTTAATATAGAATTTCTTTAAATTAGGGTTTGCAGTATTAAACCAAGGTTCCCTGACTTTCTGAAAAGTTGATGGATTAAAATTTTTTTTATCTAATCTACTAAAGTAATAGCTATTCCTTTATAAGTAATTAGTATGTTCATAAATACTAGCATTTATTTGTACTTTTACAAAATATAATGCATTTATTCTTCAAGTAATTTTTTTCAATACTGTTTCAGGGGACTTCAAGTACTCCTTACCCCCGTTCTGGCAAACATCCTTGAGGCAGATCAGGAAAAGTGTTGGGGTTTTGACCAGTTTTTTGCAGAAACAAGTGACATACTTCACCGAATGATAATTCATGTTTTTTCACTACAACAAATGACAGCTCATAAGATTTATATTCATACCTATAATACGTAAGTAACTTTTTATATTTTCTTATATCACCATGTTTTGTTATAAATATGTTCACAAATTAGGAGCAGAAGTATGGCCACCTAGTATGTGGGGAGTGCTGTTGTCCTTTACAGAGGAGGAGACAGCATAGAATAGTAGGACAGCTGGAAGGTGAGCCCAGGTCCTCTGAGCCCTTAGGCTTTGTGCTGTTTTGTTCTCTCCCTGCCATGAAATATTAAGTAGTCACCAAAAAAGGAAAACAGTTCTACGTATTACCTATATCCATTTGAGGAATCCAAACAAAATGTTTTAGGATTGATTGCTGTATGCAGGTTATGTGGAATTTTCAGTTTGATAGACTTTATAATATCCGTATCATCAAAGCAGTGTTTGGAGGAACTGGTCATGATCTAAAGTTGTCATATTAAAAAAACGTTTTGTACCTCTCATTTTATCTCAATTATATTGTCCGTTTGGATTTTTCTCACACAGTGATACTGTATTTCATGAACTGGTCTATAAACAAACCAAAATTATTTCTTCCAATCAAGAACTTATATATGAAGGAAGACGCTTAGTTCTAGAACCAGGAACTCTGGCCCAGCATTTTCCTAAAACTACTGAGGAAAATCCCATCTTTGTAGTAAGCCGAGAATCTCTGAATACCGTAGGACTGAAATATGAAAAAAGTAAGTTAAGATTTCTCTTGTTCTTATTAGCCATTAAAAAATAAAAATAATAAAACTGATTATTAAAATGGTTGTCATCTAAGTAAAGCTGATTGATGATGGCATTAATTTTCATAAACAAAACAAATTTTTCATAAACATTAGGATTTTGTAAAGTAGCTGGAAAAGATACTAGTAGTAAAGTTGAAAAGCCTCTAGTTAACATAATTCAACCTGGAATAATTCATTTCACAAAATAGTGGAATATTTTATCATGATATCTTATTATAGCTCCCTGCTTTTAATACTTTACTAACGTGCAAAATAGCTTCTTGTATAATAAATTTCGGCAAATATTTATTGTGTCCAGTTCGAATAGGAAACTTTGCTTATCTTTGGAATCTTTGAAATTATTAATCCTACTAGTGAAAAAAATTAGTTTTCACATTTCTGTTTGGATTTTGGGATTTGATTTAGATTTAAAGAGAAGCAATTGAGCTTGTTATGGTAAAATATATTTGAAAAAAAAGTTTTTAGAAGTATTGCAGGTAATTTGTTAATAATTTGTTAAGGAATAATCATTGCTATTTCAAATGTTTCATTAACCAAGAAAACAACATTAGAGAGTTTTGCCACTAATGTTCAATTAGAGGTTACTATTTTAGAGTTTGCTGTATCAGAATAAAATTTAGTCAAAATTCTTTATTTCTGAGCTTAATTATTTTACTTTTTATTTCAGTTTCCCTCCCTAAAGTACACCCACGTTACGACTTGGATGGGGACGCTAGCATGGCTAAGGTTAGTATTTTAATTAAATTACTATGTAGGGCCTCCCTGGTGGCACAGTGGGTTGAGCGCAACACTGTGAAGCTGTCCACAGCCTTTGCAACACGGGTTCAATCCCGGCCGGCCAGGGAGATACCCACAGGGCGCAGCAGATCTCTCCTGTCTCCCCACTGCTCCCCTCAGCAGTGCTTTTGGTCAGTCTGCCTGTTCTGTTCCCCACTCTGTCTCTAGTGAATAGTCTCACCCCTGCCTCCGTACCTCTGGCCTGTACCCCGGTACAGGTCAATTACTGTGACCTGAAGAAGCAGGGTGAATAGTAAATATAAAACATTAATAAATCTTTTTTTAAAAAGTGCTATGTAATGGAATCAGTAAAATATGTTGTGTCTTGCATGTACTAACATAATTTAGAAAATCAGTCAAATTGTTATCCATTGCAAGTTATTTTATATATGTTCTTTACTTTATATCATTCTTGAACTCAGAAAATTACCTCTGTTGAAAAATGCATATTTAACATTTATCATACTGAGGAAGAAATATTTATTGTAGTTATAGTGATCCTTAGCTTTTAGCAATTTATAGTTTGTTAGGTTTTTAATCAATCTAATAGAAATACATAAACTTGAAAAAAATTTAAAGATTTATTTATTTATGCATACAAGAACTGGGGTGCAGGCAAGAGGTGCAGGGGGTGAGAGGACTTCCCAGAGACAGTGGGGAACAGAGCAGGCAGATACACTGACATACACTGCTGAGGGGAGCAGTGGGGAGACAGGAAAGTCTGCTGCGCCCTGTGGGTAGCTCCCTGGGGATCAAACTCGTGCTGTGGAGGCTGATGACAGCTCAATAGCGCTGTTAACCCCTGTGCCCCCAGGGAAGCCCTAAGCTTGAAAATTTTTGTGGTAAATTTTTTCTTGCTCTGTACCACAATTAACACCAATTCTGACATGCTGTATTTCTTCCCTAGGCAATAACAGGAGTTGTGTGTTACGCCTGCAGAGTGGCCAGCACCTTGCTGCTTTACCAGGAGTTAATGCGAAAGGGGATACGATGGTTAATGTAAGTAACAAATTGAATTTGGAAGTTTGACCTTCCCTTAGACCTCACAGCAGAGCTGGCAGTTACCTGGTTATTTGACACTTTCCCTCTTCAGGCTAGGTAGGGACTGGCGCTTCATTGTTACTATAAGACATTTGCTTCACATTTAGTTTACAAAGCATTTAGCTGTATTTAGTAGCTATTTTTTTAATAGCTCATGAAGTAATATGTTTATTCTTTTTTTTTTAATTGCGGTAATGGTGGTTTACATTGTGGTTGGTGTTTTGGAAGTATAGGATCCCCCCTTTAGCTGTGGTTACCACAGTGCGCACCACCAGAGCACCCACAGGCTCCTGCCGCCGTTGGGTTTGTCCCACCTCCCTTGGATACCACCTTCCCGCTGCCCCTCTTGGTGCCTCAGCTCTATAGCCAGCTTCCAGGGGTCAGCTTTTAAGTTTGTTTTTATCTGATCCTGTGTTTGATTTCTCTGTATTCCACATTTAAGTGACACCATCCAGTATTTGTCTTTATCCCTCTGACTTATAAGGCTCTATCCATGTTGCCGGAAATAGCATGAGTTTATCCTTTTTTTGATTGCTACATAGTATTCCACTATATATATGTACACATATTATTAAAATAACAACAAAGTTATTAAAATATAATTCAGATAGTACATAATTCATCATTTAAAGCATACAACTTAAATGATTTTTAGTTTATTCACAAATTTGTGAATCACCACTAATTTTGGAATATTTCTACCACCACCCCACTGGCCACAAGCACCATTCCTCCATGGCCTGCCCTGGGCAGCCGCTACGTCTCGTCATGCTTGTTGGCTCTGACCTGCCTATTCCAGATACTTCACACAAGTGAGATCTGCAGTATGAGCTCACATCACCTTGACCAGCAATTTTTTAAGTATTTATTTTTGCATAGAATTACTTATTTTTTCTATCACTAATTATAATGCTGTACTACTCTTCAAACAAATTTCATAACATTCTTGACGTAGTATGAAATCCAATTCACATTATTAAAGGGCAGTGTTAATCAAGGCACTCATGCATACCTAGGACACAAGACATTTCTGCTTAATAGGTTAACAGTTTAGAAATCTGAGGCATTAAAATTATATTGAGGGATAAAAAGTAATCTATAAGCACTCAAATAAATTATATTTTATGGCAACAGAATTCTTACTGTTTTTAATAAACTGCTGTCTGGTTTATACTTTAAATCAAGTACTGTGACCTGAAGAAGCAGGGTGAATAGTAAATATAAAACTGAAAGGTTTTCGGGCCTCCCCGGCGGTGCAGCGGTTGAGTGCTGGGTTGCGAAGCTGCCCGCGGCCTCTGCGGCGCCCGTTCGATCCCCGGCTGCTCCCCGGCCACCATGTGGGAGGAGGGTCCCACATGGCGCGCAGACCTCTCCTGCCCCCCACTGCTCCCCTCAGCAGTGTACTTCGGTCCTTCTGCCTGCTTGCTCCCCACTCTGGCTCTGGTGAATTCTCTCACCCTCCCGCGCTTCTGACTGTACCCAGTGCTTGTATAAACAAAACAAACAAACAAACAAATAAATAAATAAAACATGCCTCTATTAAAAAATTTAAAATTAAATAAATAAATTAATTTTAAAAAACTGAAAGGTTTTCTATATGAAGGGTGACATACTAAAAATGAGTCGATTTTTTATGGCATGTAAGAATGGAATTTACTTTTTAAAAGCTGCAAAACAAAATAATTTCTAATTTATTAGGTGAACTAATGAGAATAATTTTTTTTTAGAGAATTAGTTAAAGATGATTATAATGAAACTGTTCACAAAAAGACAGAAGTTGTGATCACACTGGATTTCTGCATCAGAAACATTGAAAAAACTGTGAAAGTGTGAGTAGATTACTTCTTTATTTGTAGTGGTTAAAATGCTGAATAGTGTTCTATTTTTGTTTAATTTATGTAGCTACCTTATTATTTCATGCTTTGCAAATTTGTGTTAAAAACCAACCTTAGATTAAGTTACTTCCTCACAAAGGTAAAAATAACCAGTCGTCTGGGTAAGAAATAAATACCATCTCCCTGGTGGCATATTCTCCCTCCCCCTGGAAAAGAAAAGGTAATCTGGGGTAGAAATGTCTATTTTTTACCTTGCAAAATAGACCCTCTGCATAGGAAAATACAAAACCTGTAAGCAAAAAAGGAAGTAGAAGTATTCTAGAACTGTATTTTGGGAGGATTTTTAGAATTTGGGGATTACTATTCATTCATTTACTCAGACTTACTAATCTTATCCTTGAGAATGTCTTTTGAAACAGTGAAATTTTTAAACTGTCCTGTTCCTAGGCTATCTGCTATTTGAATTGCATAGAAAAAAATAACATCAATATTTACTGTTGACCTCCATTAATTCTGAAATCCAGGATTTTCACTATTATCCTGATTTGTCTTTCATCTGTTATCTCTTGACACACATGAGTAAAATGATATAATATTTCTTCTTTAGGGAGACATTAAATTTTCTTGGAATCTTTTGCTTGTAGGGTTTGCATTCAATATTTTATTTTTAAGTGGTATTTTACTATAATAAATCACATAATTTATACAGTATTTTTAATCTGTATATATAAAGCCCATTTAATTTTTCCAAAACTTATTTTTTACACAGGTATGAAAAGTTGATGAAGGTCAACCTAGAAGCAGCAGAGTTAGGTGAAATTTCAGACATACACACCAAATTGTTGAGAGTAAGTATTTATAAAATTGTGATAATTACAGGTTCCTGATCTATCCCTTTGTTGGAAAGACTAGATCTAAGCTTTCCTAAGGACATAGACTATAGTCAAGAATTCCAGAGAAAGAATAATAGCCTTTTCCCTTCTTTAGGGAATTATTACAATATTTAAATACCTTATTGCCATGTTGTTTGCAAATGCAAATTTATAAATGTAATTTACATTCAGAGTTATTCAATTTGTGTAGAAATCAGCTTAAGTTAGGAAGGTATTAGATCTTTTCTATAATAAAAAGTTACAAAGATTTGGCTTCCTAAAGGCAGTGAATCGTTTCTATAACTAGAAAAAAAGAAGTTGAGACAGAAGTCTCTATGGAAAATGCAGTAGCGTTTCGGGGAGTCTCTAGCTCTGTTAGTAAAATGTGTCCCGGAAGAGCAGAGCATGTCTGTGTGGGGAGGGTGGATTGCTGAGACCAGGTCTCTCCTTGCACCTAGGGCTTCCTGCCTGGCTGCTTCAGTGAGCGCGTCCATCTTCGCATTCTTTTTTCCCTCAGTTATGCAGTTTCTAACCCTGCTTATCTCACAGGTTCTACCAGTTCAATCAAATAAAAATAGCATACTCATGTCAGCTGTCAGCATTCGAGTATTTCATAGAAGGATGTTAATTTAAAATTGAAAAAGCGGGCCTCCCTGGTGGCGCAGCGGTTGAGCGCTGGGTTGCGAAGCTGCACGCGGCCTCTGCAGCGCCAGTTCGATCCCCGGCCACTGGGCGAGGGTCCCACATGGCGCGCAGACCTCTCCTGCCGTGCCCGCTGCTCCCCTCAGCAGTGTACTTCGTCAGTCTGCCTGCTCTGCTCCCCGCTCTGGCTCTGGTGAATTCTCTCACCCTCCCGCGCTTCTGACTGTACCCAGTGCTTGTATAAATAAACAAGCAAATAAATAAATAAAACATGCCTCTATTAAAAAAAATAATAAATTTTTAAAAATAAATAAATAAAATTGAAAAAGCACTTGGTATTGTGGGGGAGAGGGAATCTCCCTGCACTGCCCAATCTTCTCCGGCTGGTTGGGTCAGCAAGTTGTCCTCAGGCAGATTAACAAGAGAAAAACAATTTAATTTTGTTTGTCCAGGAGCCCATATAGCCATGAGGGTCTGAGGACAGAAAGGTCAGGTGGGGTTTTCCTGTCATCCTGGGTTAGGGAGGGGGAAACGGTGCAGGGCTTCAGGAGCGGAGGCGCTGACAGGAGGCAGAGGCTTGCCTGGTAATTACGGGGAAAACCTCAGTTTACATTCTTCTGGGTGGTTAGGGAGGGGGAAAGTTTCTCCTGAGCCAGCCCGCAGGACCCCGTTCATTTCAGCAGGAGATGGTCACAGGCCAAAGCGCCTTGGGAAGGCCGGCCTGAGCACCCTCCATGTGACAGCCCTCCGCTCTTTCCTGGCTCCTGCTGATTTTAGGGTTTTTTCCCTCACTTTTAGATCTAGAGCAGTAGTTTTCAAAATAGGAGTCATGAGCGACTAGTCCATTGTAAAGTTTAGTGCATTGCACTCAGCGCTTTTTTAAACCAGAACAGAATAGAAATGACAGAACGCCTCACATGCAAGAGAACTGTTGTCCGTGACACTTTCAGTTCATTTTTATACACACAATTCAGTGACACTGGGTTAAAACAAGAGGGATTTCTTATTTGGACCTAAGATTTCACTTTCCATTTTTAAGAGGAGTTGCTTTTCTTTGGCTTCTAAAAACAGCACGATTCTGCATGCCTGCATTTTATATTTGCAACTCTGTTAACGGTTCCACTTGGATTTTACCACTCTTACGAGGTAGAACATTCACTATATTTTACAGATAAAAAACAAACTTAAAAAATATTTTATAAAGTATATTAATACTAGTTAATCTCATGTTTTATCATACTATATATTCTCAGTAGAAATTAAGCTAAGAAGGCATCCTTGCACTTAAATATAAAAATAATTATCCTGATTTTGAATTTAATCTACAAAAAGAAATAACGTTTAGACTTTAGGCCCCATTAGCATAATATTATCACTTCTGGGCCTCCCCGGTGGCGCAGCGGTTGAGCACTGGGTTGCGAAGCTGCCTGCAGCCTTTGCGGCGCCGGTTCGATCCCCGGCTGCTCCCCGGCCACCGGAGGAGGGTCCCACATGGCGCGCAGACCTCTCCTGCCGCCCGCTGCTCCCCTCAGCAGTGTCCTTCGGTCCTTCTGCCTGCTCTGCTCCCCGCTCTGGCTCTGGTGAATTCTCTCACCCTCCCGCGCTTCTGACTGTACCCAGTGCATGTATCAAACAAACAAACAAACAAATAAATAAATAAAACATGCCTCTATTAAAAAAAAATTTAAAAAAAAAAATATATTATCACTTCTGATTTTGGCAAATCTGGATCTTCACCCATTGGTTTTATTTAGCTTTCCAGTTCTCAGGGAACAATAGAAACCAGTCTTCAGGATATCGAAAGCAGATTATCTCCAGGTGGATTGCTGGCAGATGCGTGGGCCCACCAAGAAGGCACTCATCCAAAAGACAGACAGTAGGTTATCATTTTATTGGTAGTTTCTACTTTTATTATTAAATATCCTTTTTCACATTGACTCGGTTAATTATTTGGGTTTTTCTTTCTTAAATAGTGTAGAAAAGCTACAAGTCTTGTTAAATTGCATCACAGAGATTTACTATCAGTTCAAAAAAGACAAAGCAGAACGTCGTAAGTAAAATTTGCCATTTGCTAATGTAATGAGTCGGCCGTAGTAGTTGTAATTCAGTTGAATTTGGTATATTTGTAAGGGTGCCTACTTAGTATTTCAATGATTTGATTCAGTCAGGAAAGAGGTAGAATGTACTAAAAATTATTCTGAAAATCAGCCTTTTGAATATTTTTTTTCTATTTTATTGAGAAATAACTGATAGAATGCTGCGTAAGTTTAAGGTACACAGCGTAATGATTTCCGCAGCAGTGAGTTTAATTAACATCCACCTTCTCGCATAGATAGAAGAAAAAGAGGGGAAATTTTTTTTTCTTTTGATGAACCTCTTAGGGTCTCTCTTAACCACTTCTGTGTATACCGTGAGGCATTGTCAACTACGGCTCCACTGTGGCTAGTCAGGAGTCGTGCGCACCAAAGCCTCTGGGCCAGGCACATGACAGGAGGACGGGGAGGAGCTCACTGCTCATGCAGCTTCTTTTCCAGTCTCGTGTTTCTCAGGAGAAACTAGACATACAGCTTTTATTAGAAATAATTCTAATTTTTAAATGTTGGCAGTTTTGGTTTTTATTTTAATGTGACCACTGTGGAGAGCAAATAGAAGCACTTGTGGGCCAGGTCTAGCCCGTGGGTAGCAAGCTGGTGACATCACCCTAAACGCTTGGCCTTTTTGAAAATGATAGTCCCCCAAAAAAAGTTATGCATGATTTAATGAGTCTGATTTACTAAAATATATTTTCTTATTTTTAGGACTAGCTTATAATGAAGAACAAATCCATAAATTCGATAAGTAAGTGATCAGATTGTTTTTGTTTATGTTAGTAACATGTTTTGTCTTAAATGAATTACAATAAAAATTACATTTAGGGGCCTCCCTGGTGGCGCAGGGGTTAAGACACAACCTATGAAGCAATCTGCAGCCACTGCAGCATGAGTTCGATTCCCGGCCGGCCAGGGAGAAACCCACATGGTGGGACAGACCTCTCCTGTCTCCCCACTGCTCCCCTCAGCAGTGTATTTCAGTCCATCTGCTTGTTCTGTTTCCCACTCTGTCTCTGGTGAATCCTCTCACCCCTGCATCTCTGGCCTGTACCCCAATTCTTGTATAAAAATAAATAAATCTTTAATAAAAAAAAAAAAAAAATTACATTTAATCTTGACTTGACAGAGCTGCACTACCTGTGCGGATTTTGGGGGTCTGCTCACTTGGCCCAGGGGTGAGAGGTTAGGAAGCAGGAGAAGGAGGAGGCGGCCTTCTCCGCCTCGGGTGCTCTGGTCACGGAGGCTCAGGGACAGTCCAGCCTCCTCAATAAATGCTGCTCGGCCGCCTCTGTCTTTCTCCTCTTGCTGCCGTGAGTGCGTCCATCTCAGAGACCTTTGGTTTTCCACTGCAAAGATTCTAAAGCCACAACATTCACTGCAGGAGACATAAATTTCATGTTTGAAGACTTGTAATATTGAAAACAGAAACAGTAATGTGGGTTTAAGCTTTGATTTTTTCTAAATTACAGGCAAAAACTGTATTACCATGCAACAAAGGCTATGACCCACTTCACAGATGAATGTGTTAAAAAATATGAGGCATTTTTTGATAAGTCAGAAGAATGGATGAGGTAAGTAAACTTTTAGGAGGTGTTTAGTGACTACATAATGTGTGATTTAATGTATGTTGTATATTTTAAGTAAGAATATGAATTTTACAAAATAATATTTTAATATAAATATATCTTTTATTACAAAATTATACATTATTAATAATTAGAATATTATTTATTACAAAATAATATTATTTTCTTACTGTGTTGTTTTGGGTTTCAGAAAGATGCTTCATCTTAGGAAACAGTTATTGTCCCTGACGAATCAGTGTTTTGATATTGAAGAAGAAGTGTCCAAGTATCAAGACTACACCAATGAGGTACAGCTGTCAAGTGCATCTACAAAAAGTTTTTTCCTGATAAGAAAACCCTAAACCCTCCCCAGGCCCTGCCTGTGCCCGCCCGGCAAGGAGAGGGCCGGACAGTGTCCTGCGCTCGGCTCTGCTGGCCCATTTGCGATGTGCATTTTCACCCAGATTTTAAGAACTTAAATATTTTACGACTAAAAACATGAGATAGGCTTTTCTTTTTTACTCATTAAATATAGGCTGATTTTTCTGAATGCGCAGCTGGTGGACCTGTCCATGCAGTTCCCCCAGCAGCCAGGGCTCCACCCTTTCCTGGTGTAAACTACCTGAGCTCCGGGTTTTGAAACCAGTTCAGTCAGCCCGTTCCCCAGTGCTCCTGGAGGGCAGCGCTGGCCTGGCACCCACAGGCACTCGGCCTCTCGGACGCAGCATGTGGGCGTGTGAACTTCCGGTCGGGGACCTCCTTGTAGAGTTTTTACATATAATTTCATCAAACGAGACATTATTTGAGCTTTTATTGAGTTTGTCCTGAACTTTGCCTTTGAAACACTTCTCCGTGGCCTTGCCTGCGCATCTGCTCACTGGGCCTGTGTCTCTCCTTGCTGCTTCCCAGCATTTATCTTCTGCCTAGCATCCCTGGGCTGCATCTCAAAGCTCGAGAACAGCAGCCGCCACAGCAGCGTGGCTAAGATGTCAGACCAAAAAAAAGCTGACTATTCTTTTGTCATCTGTAAGAAAAAGTTTATAAAGAGCAATGATAGAAGTACTGTATCGTTGCTATAATACTTATCAATTTTTTTTTAAAGATTTCATTTTTTAGGGCCTCCCTGGTGGTGCAAGGGGTTAAGACGCAACCTATGAAGCTGTCCGCAGCCACTGCAGCATGAGTTCAATCCCTGGCCAGCCAGGGAGCAACCCACATGGCACAGCGGACCTCTCCTGTCTCCCCACTGCTCCCTTCAGCAGTGTACTTTGGTCGATCTGCCTATTCTGTTCCCCGCTCTGTCTCTGGTGAATCCTCTCACCCCCCACACCTCTGGCCTGTACCCCAGCTCTTGTATGCATAAATAAATAAATCTTTTTTAAAAAAAAAGAGCTAGAGTACAGGCCAGAGGTGCAAGGGGCGGTGAGAGGATTCACCAGAGACAGAGTGGGGAGCAGAACACTGAAACACACTGCTGAGGGAACAGCGGGGAGACAGGATAGGTCTGCTGTGCCATGTGGGTAGCTCCCTGGCCAGGGATGGAACTCAGATCACAGTGGCTGCAGATAGCTTGGTAGCGCTGAGACTTTAACCCTTGGGCCACCAGGGAGGCTAGTACTTACCAATTTTAATTTTAATTTTGAAATTAAAAATTAAATCTATGAAGACCCATAACATTTGCTCTAAATTCTGGAATAAGTACTGTATTCTGTGATTAAATTGACCCCAGTTTTTTTGATGTTTTAGTTACAAGAAACTTTACCTCAGAAAATGTTTGCAGCCTCCAGTGGAATCAAACATGCCATGACCCCAGTTTACCCCTGTTCTAACACATTAGTGGAAATGACTCTTGGGTAAGACATTGACAGTTTGGTAACTAAAATGTTCCCGTTTGTTTTTGTTTGTGTGTGATCACGTTCTTTTTTTTTTGAAATGTTTGATATTTACTGTGAATATGCTTACTGTTATTTAATGACTAAGTTCAATTAGGAGAAATAAAACAATATAAATATAATTCTAAAACATATACTTTTTATGAACAGAGGTGCTTTTTTCCATCTTTAATTTGTGTAGTATGAAGAAATTAAAAGAAGAAATGGAAGGGGTGGTTAAAGAACTTGCTGAAAACAATCATATTTTGGAAAGGTGAGTCATGCAAAAATCTCTCTGCCCTATGATCTTCTATGCATTTGAGTGCGCACGTACATGCGTGTGTCTGTCCTCATCCCAGGCTGGGGGAAAGGGATACAAAGTCAGAACACTTGGTGTGATGAATTCTGCAGCGCCTGCCTGTAGATGTGTTTGGGGCCATTGGGAAAAAAACAAATCCACTCAGGCTGACTAGTGCATCAAAGCACTGCTTAATAGAATTACTAGTATATTTGAGTCCGCTTATGCCAACGAAAATCTTTTGCACATCATTTTTAATAACATTTCTCATTAACATAATAAATTTCAATTTTGGAATCCGTTGCTTACACCGCACCAGCACACCTGACTGTCTCTGTGTCCCTTACAGAGCCTTCTCCACACCCTTGCACATGTCACCTGTGAGGGCGGCTCTCGAGGAGCTGGTGTCTACAGAACCCGGATAGGTCGGGGGGAAGAGAGTTGGGAACATGCAGACCACTGGGATGAGCAGTCCTGCCCTGGTTCCTCAGACCTCCCAGGCCCTTCTCCTTCAGACCCTTAGATGCTCCTTTACCGGTTCTCTGACCCCAGAGATGCTAATAACTCATTCATGGTTGCGTTCTGTACGCCCGCAGTCACTTGCACACTGCGTTATCTCACTTAACTTGCATCCAGCCCCGGGTTCATCCCATCAGTCACGGGTATCGCAGTGAAAATGATTGTCCCAAACACTGATTTAATCATGTATTCCCTCAGCTCAAAGCTTTCTAAACTCCTATTACCTCAGCCTATTCACCCAAATTTATTTCCCGCTACTGCCCCAAGTAAGTCTATTCTAGCAAGTTTCCCCATTCCGTAGTGTCAGTTGAGTAAGCCATTATGACTCCCCACTCCACACCCTTGTTTACAGATCCCACCCCAACACAAAGAAGTTACCGGTTCTCACTCACACTTTGTCCATTACACCACTCCGTTTTCTCTTAAGTCTCTGCAAGTCACTGAATTGGTTTTTTCCCCCATACTTGTAATTGTATCGCTGTATTTCAGCGAGAAATGGAGCAATATATAGTTGCTTAGAGTCTTCAAAAATAACTCCTCATTCTCCTGAAAAGTATTCTGTATTTTTCTTTAAAATGGTTGGGAATCAAATGAATTCATCTTTTCAGATTGCCTTTTTTCTTTTGTGTTACAGATTTGGCTCTTTAACCATGGATGGTGGCCTTCGAAATGTTGACTGTCTTTAGCTTTCTTAGAAGCTTGAGAAAATTTCATTTTGCACAAGAAGATAATGCTGAGGCATGAAATGAGGGCCTCTACCGGTGATCTCCTGTTTCTAGCTTCAGTATTTGATGTGTTTGTATAAATATGTACGATATTGTAAATACATAAAAAATATATAAATTTTTGGCTGCTGTTAAGATGTAATTTTACCTTTTAACATTTATAATTATATGAGGACATTTGACCTCAGTGAGCAGAGAAGAAAGCCATGACTGCTGTGTTGAGACACTGACCCTCTCCTCCTCTGAGTGAGGCTGACTCAGTCTTGCATCTCTGACTACCCACGGGAAACATTTTAAGTGGAACCGACAGTGGCACCCTTACAGATCAGAAAAGACTGACAGCTGGCATGTCTGCAAGGGGTAGAGAGAGGTGACTTCTGTGAGTGGGGAGCAGAACCAAACACTGTCTTCATAGGGTCACAATTTTTTTGAGAAGGATAAAGTGGCATTATTTCATTTTACAAGGTGCCCAGATCCCAGTTATTCTTGTATCTGTTTAATTTCAGATTATTATTGAGCAAAATTTTTGAAGTGATTTAATTATTAACAAGTCGTTTTTATTTTGACCACAAAGTGTAATTGTTATTAAAAAATTAGGAAAATTTCAACTGTTTCAAGCTGTATATTCTTTAATTCTGCTTACCACTTCATGAAAAAAAGTCAATAAATTTCTCAATTTTAATGTAAAGAGTTTGTATTTTTGTTTGAGAAACAAAAGTTATGTTTTGCAAGAAATAATAGGGGTAGTGATGGTAGATAGTTTTCGGAATATTGCATGGAGGGACATCCTTCTAAACCAACTGATTCCAATTTTAGTAGAAGTTCTTTCATGAACTTTCTTGTATGCTGTACAAATCCAAAGGTAACATTCTCTTTGGAAATCTGCCCAGATTTCTAGAATAAAGGATTATGCCCAGCAAGAAATTATTTCATCTATTCAAAATTTAGTTTTGTTTCCTGTGTTACCAGGTTATTGAAGTGTGATTTAGCATTTTATTTGAAACCTCCAGTTGCTGCATCAATGTAGTGAGGGAATTTTGTGTGTCACGTGTGGTCTCTATAGAAATCAGTGCATGGGTGAGTGACCATTAAATACAGTTATGTTATCCCCGGTCAAATACCTGCTTGTTATGGGGTGAGGAGGTGCTTAATCCCCCTTGATTTTAATTCTCCATGAACTAGCTAATATGTATGTCTTTTAATTATATAGGTTAAGTGTTTATAACTGTACTTTTTTTTTATAACTGTACTTTTAAGTAAAATTTTACTTAAATTATGTGATAATATTTTTGAAGATTTTTTTTTTTTTTTTAATAGAGGCATGCTTTATTTATTTATTTTATTTGTTTGTTTGTTTTGTTTATACATGCACTGGGTACAGTCAGAAGCGCGGGAGGGTGAGAGAATTCACCAGAGCCAGAGCGGGGAGCAGAGCAGGCAGAAGGACCGAAGGACACTGCTGAGGGGAGCAGCGGGCGGCAGGAGAGGTCTGCGCGCCATGTGGGATCCTCCTCCGGTGGCCGGGAGCAGCCGGGGATCGAACCGGCGCCACAGAGGCCGCAGGCAGCTTCGCAACCCAGCGCTCAACCGCTGCGCCACCGGGGAGGCCCTATTTTTGAAGATTTAGTTTTTATTTCAGCACATCTATTTCCACACACCAGTCATCAAACCCTTCTGTGGGGATTGTGTTTTTTTGAGTAGTACTAATAAGGGTAAGTTTATTCCACATTAGTAGTGGTTAAGACTTACTGTTTTATTCCACATTACAGCAACATGAAAACCGAGCATTCTTGCTTTCAATGTTTGACCCTCAAAAATGCTTAATATTCAGGGCCTCCCCGGTGGCGCAGCGGTTGAGCGCTGGGTTGCGAAGCTGCCCGCGGCCTCTGCGGCGCCGGTTCGATCCCCAGCTGCTCCCCGGCCACCATGTGGGAGGAGGGTCCCACATGGCGCGCAGACCTCTCCTGCCGCCCGCTGCTCCCCTCAGCAGTGTACTTCGGTCCTTCTGCCTGCTCTGCTCCCCGCTCTGGCTCTGTTGAATTCTCTCACCCTCCCGCGCTTCTGACTGTACCCAGTGCATGTATAAACAAAACAAACAAATAAATAAATAAAATAAATAAATAAAAACATGCCTCTATTAAAAAAAATTTAATTTAAAAAAAATGCTTAATATTCAAAACATCTTAATAAATACATGGTAAAACCGGTCTACTAACCTGATTTTCAGAGTGACTAAGTGAAACTTGCTTTAAAATAAGATGCGTGACCAATTTAGAAGCTTCTTAAAAATATTGTGATATATTCCCAAAAGATAGGGAGTATATGTTTTAAAAATATTATATATATATACGAGTAGATGAGTTAATGACTCAACCTAAAAGAGAGACTATAGTTCTAACAGCAAAAGAAATAATCAGAAATGAGCTCAGTGAACACATACTCTATGGGAAGAAGGCTGTCTTCCAAGCATATAAAAAAAGAATTCAAGATTAAGGAAGAAACATGATAAATAATCCCATAATCTCTTCTAAAGTTCAGCTTCAATTATTTTGAAAATTATCAAATACTGTATTCGTAGCTTGTAGACCACATTCATTACACTGTGGCAAGCAGAGTATCTTCTCTTAGAAATAAAGATTCTTTTTTCAAAATATTTCTTTATATCTTCACCTATAAATTAAAAATTATAATACCCCAGGATTTTTCCCTGTTATTTTTTTAAGCAATGAAGTTCACTCTGTGTGGTGTTCTGTACTGAAAATAAGAGGTGGTGTGTTTTACGTTAGAAAGGACTATCTGTCAGAATAAGCAATCTCAACCGAGATGGCAAATGTCTTCTCCCTTCTGAGAGAAGCTCGTCTTCTGCGGGTGTCAGAAGTGCATTTTGCGTCTTGTGCTTTGTCTTTCAGGGCTCCAGAAAACTTGCAGTTACTCAAAATTCTAAAATTGAGAAGTGCCAGGGCAGGCAGGCCCTGATGAGAGGAAACATAAAGAAGTCTTTTTTTTTTATTGATTTTTTGTTTTTTGGATTTTTTTATTTTAACATTTATCATTTTTACATAAAGAAGTCAACACTATTGTTTGTGGAATTCAACCACCCACATCCCGTCAAGAAGACAGAAAAATCTGGAAAAGTCTTACGCTTGTTTTAGTTTGACTTTCTCCCTGCATGTCACTTACAAGGCTCAAAGTTCAGATTCCTAAAAAATACTAAAAATGGAATAGAACACAATACGTCTGACCTGAAAATAAAAGCTGGTAATGTATATTCTCGGGGATATTTTGAGAGAGTAAATAAGCTCTGGAACTTGAGTGTGTCCTATAAAGAACAGCCCAAATATTGTATCAGGCCCAAGCAGGCTGTTCTAGGGAGTAATAAGCTCTGGGTAAGTCTGTTTCTTTTGCTGTGGACAGCGCATGAGCGCCACTCACTAGACGGTTTCAGGGTGATGGTGAACACCCCAGCCCCAGCCCCAGAGCAGGCAGCGGACAGCGGTGTCTGCTGTCGTCATGCACAGTGCTGCCAAAGACAGGCCTCAGGGAATAGTCCGCAAAGGGTCAAAAGCCAAACCAGGACCCTGGAAGAAGTCGTGTCTTTTATACTTTTTTTTTTTTTTAAGATTTATTTATTTATTTATACAGGCACTGGGCACAGTCAGAAGCGCGGGAGGGTGAGAGAATCCACCAGAGCCAGAGCGGGGAGCAGAGCAGGCAGAAGGACCGACGTACACTGCTGAGGGGAGCAGCGGGCGGCAGGAGAGGTCTGCGCGCCATGTGGGACCCTCCTCCGGTGGCCGGGGAGCAGCCGGGGATCGAACCGGCGCCGCAGAGGCCGCGGGCAGCTTCGCAACCCAGCGCTCAACCGCTGCGCCACCCGGGAGGCCCCTTTTATACATTTCTTATAAGAATCAAATACTTCAGGATAAATTCCTGCCAAAGTTTAAAATAGGTGTATTTTCAGTGAAAAATAAGCAAATCAAATGAGATCGAGCCTGTGGCTTCTTAATGGCCCCCAAGTCCGAGGCGCTGCCCCTGGGGTTCTGCTGGACGCCGCGCTGTGGCTGCTGGTCAGCCCCGGCACTGAAGTGACCGTCTAGGAAGGGGGGCCTGTGTTTGGAAGTGACCCAGGCCTGCGTGAGGCGAGCGCTCCTGCTGTTTACAGCTGTGTGGCAACATCTGTCAGTAGTTTCTAGTTGTGAGGGCTGAAGGCTGAGGACGCCCCGGGGGTGACAGGGAGGGATCCGGGCTAGCGGGCCCCGACATGCTGACTGGGGTTCGCAGCCCAAGTGTCGGGTGTGGCCGCTGCCATGGTTTTCACCTCCGTGCGCTGCAGGGCGCGCTCGGGAAGCCTTGGAGCCGAGCTCGGCCCGAGGACAGACCCTGCCAAGCCCTCAGAGGGGCAGCCCCGCCTGCGCTGGGGCCGGCGCCCCGCGCCGCGCCCCGCCCGGGAAGCCCAGGCTGCTGTGCGCGGACACGAGGAGCCGTCTCAGGCGAGCACCTCAGCCAAGCCGGTTCCCTGCGCTGCTGAGGCGCAGCCGCCCTCAGCGGCCGGGCCGAGGCCCACAGCGCCGCCCGCGGGAGGCGTCGGAACTGAGCAAGGTTGTCTGCGGGGACGCTGCCGGCCGGGCGCGGCCAGGGGAGGGGAGCGGAGGAGGCCGGCGGTCGGCGCCCGCGGGGTGTCGGGCCCTCCGGGGCCGCCCTCCGTGCCCGCGGGCGGGGCGGGGCCGGGGGCTCCTGTCCTCAGGCGCCTCCTGCCGCGGGCGGGCGGCCCGTGCTCCTGGGAGTCCTCAGGAGCCCCCCAGGCGGCGCCACCCTGCCCGTTCATGAATGCTGCTTTTTTTGAGATTTATTTATTTTTATACAAGAACGGGGGTACGGGGCCCCCCTGGCGGCACGGGGGCTAAGCGCCGCACTGTGCAGCTGTCCGCAGCCTCGGCAGCCTCTGCCCGATCCCCACAGGCCAGGGAGCTCCCCACAGGGCGCGCAGACCCCCCTGCCGCCCGCTGTCCCCTCAGCCTGCTCTGCCCCCCGCTCCGCCTCTGGGGATCCTCTCCCCGCCCGCACACGCCTCTGGCCCGCGCCCGGCTCTCGTGTGATGAATAAATAAATCTTGGGGCGCAGCCAGGCGTGGGGCGCGGCGGTTCCTCTAACAGGACAAGCCGAGTTTCCGGCGGGTCCGCGCCCGAGACCAGACCCGGGGCGCCCCCGCGAGACCCGCCCGTGCCCGGCGGCCGCACCCCCCGCGGGCCCCCACGCAGCGGGCAGCCGGGGCGCCGGGCGGGAGCGGGGCGCGGGGGCGAGGGCGCGCGGCCTCGGGGGGGCGGGGGGGTCCGCGCCACTGGCCGGCGGGGCGGCCCCTCCCGGGCCGGGCAGAGCCGCGCACACGGGGACCCGCGCCCCGGCAGGAGCCGCCCCCGAGAGAACCCGCGCCCGGGAGGTCGCCGCGGCCTGCGGCCCCCCAGGAGGAGCGGGGTGGCCGGGCGGCTGCTGGGCCCCGCCGGCCGGCGGGGTGGGACCCCGAGGCCCGCCCGTGGCCCCGGAGCCGCGCGCGTGTAGGGCCGGCGCGCGGGGAGCTGGGCTCCCCGGGCCGCGGGGACACGCGGGGCGGCCGCTGCGGGCGGCCGGGGGCCGTTCTCGGGGCCGCGCGGGGCGCGGGGGCGTCGGCGGGACGGGACCCTGGCG